CCAATTATTATTTCCGTTACCGTTGAACGAAAACATGTTGAGGAAACCTGCATATTTTCGAAATATTAACAAAAAAAAATATTTCCAAGATATGTGAAGACCGTCAATCCGCAGTGGGGCCGCGTGGTGGACTATGCCCTGATACCCTCTGTATAGAGGAGGCCTTTGGCCAGCAGTGGGACATGTATAGGCTGTTAATTCACTTTTTTTACTTTTATTATTACCGTGCACAGCGAGATTGGTAAACATCGCAACAACGGTTCAAAAGCCAAAACGAATTCATTTATACTATATTGAGCGCCTTCGATTGCCCTCATTAAAACCATGCCGTGCACCTTGAGACATACCCATGCTTTGACCTGACCTGGATCCGTGAATTAATTATTCCACGTTTTCAAGAAACGTTCCTTCGAAATGTCGCACGCGAGAATCCTAATAGCGTTTTCTCGTTGATTAATATAAAGATTACATAACAGTTGACATCAAACGTAATCTGAATGATTTAGTTGCATAGTGGAATGTCAGGCCCTTGGTGAGTGTCCACCAATAAAGCTTCGACCATAAGGTCTAATATGGTTATGCTGAAGAGCTGAACAGGCAAGTTTCACAAATACAGCGTATTTAGTACCGGAGCGTAACAGTAACGGAGACTTTGGCCGGAAGAAGTTTTCACCTTTGTAAAGACAAAAACTTCTTTTTAAACATCTTCATTATCAATTTAACCAATTTACCGATAGCTAGGTGTCCGTGCCCTCGCTTTTAATTCTATACACTCTCGAGAGTGAGTTTTTATCTCAATGCCGGCATCAGTTAAAATATATAACTGTAATGTTAACAGCTTATTCATCACGTACTGTATATTTTCAAAATAATATAAGATATCGTGAAGTTTGCCAATCAGCGATGGGGTCGCGTGATGGATTATGCCCTAATACTCTATGTAAAAAACCTCATTTGCTCATTAGTGAGTCATACATTCGCTGGTACCGTCTACTACCCGTAGAAAATATTTGTTATCACTGTCAGAGGTCCATCATGCGTTTTTTAATCATTTTATCAATTACGCTGCAATTACCCACCCTACTATATGCAGTACGTAACAAACGTAATTGTCACAAAACCTTGAAGAAATATCACTGCCAATTAATCTCATTTGAATTGCAAATAATTTTCACGACCCAACAGCATTCCATTCACGATTATAACAGAGGAAGTACGATGACCGTCAATAAATTAATATGAATATATTTATGCCAATTATAATGACTCGATGGCGCCGTCGCTAGGCTATTGGCTTCGGAGGTTTCGAGTTCGATTCCCACACGGGACAAGTTTTTGTGTGACACACAAATAATTGTTCCGGATCCGGGTGTTTGTTTTGTTTGTGGGAACAAGGGCGGCAGGATGATGATATGATTTATGCCAATTATAACTATTAATTATGATAAACCTTATGTTACATTTTAAATCAGTCTTAAAAATTATATCTAGTAAAAGGGTGTAAGCAAACTTAAATAACATTCAAATGATAAACTAATACAAAATATATACTAGAACAATGAAAATAAAACTAAAAACCTTAAAAAAACAAAAAATCATGTAATAACTAAAATATATTATTAAAAGGAGTCTCTTTAGGCAAGGTTCCGAAGATACTGAACTGGCAACGTTCCCCCTTTGTATAGCTAGACTAATTCTTTGTCCGAGGTAGCTGCCAGCTCTTCGGTCTCCTGTGATGTCGATCATTATCGGAGCCTAGACCACTGTATTGCCAATTATAATGTTCTTCTCAATGTGAATGTCAAGGTTTTACAAAATAAACTTGTAAGAATTATTGAACTAGGTTAATTGGGTTGTTTATCCGGTCGCTTGAATGTTTTATGGGAGAAGGTGGCTAATGAGCGGGCGGTTCACCTTGCGTTGAGCCCCATCCGAAACACGAGTGAAAACCTTAAAAAAGTAACGTTGACTCCAAATCTATACAGATAAATAAAATTGGAGTGTGTTTGTAATATTAAAATAACCGCTTTTTAAAACTAAATGCACATAGATGTATACACGCTACAAATAAACAAATATCGAAATAACATTTTTTACAATTTTTGTATGTCTGCCTGTCTGTCTGTTTGTTTGTTCCGTTATATATGTTTGTTTGTGACGTTATAACTATGCAGCAGTGTTTGCTCTTGCACGAATGGGTAGGTATATTTTTTTTATGCGAAAAGTTGTTAAACGAGCAGACGGTTCACCTGATGTTAAGTGAATAGCGCCGCCCATGGACATCTGCCACACCCGAGGGTTACAGATGCGTTGACAACTTTTAGAAAATTGGGCTCCGGCTACCTCACTCACCAGACGAAACGCGAAAGTATTTGTCATGCTTCCACTTTACGCTGGTCTTCTGTGAGGTCGTGGTACTTACCCGGACGGGCCTGCCCATTCGTGCAACAGCCGAGGCTGCTGCGTGGCCCTACCACCGTTTCGTTATATTCGTTGACTATTAGAAGAAAGGCCTCACAGTAGACCGGCGTAAAGTAAAAGTGGTATACCGTAATATGTTATAACGCCGAAATATAAGTGGTAATATGGTATAACGCCGAAGCGTTTTCTCTGGTGAGTGAGGTGACCGGAGCCCAATTTTCAAAAGGTTGTCAACGCATCTGCAACCCTCGGGTGTAGCAGATGTCCATGGGCGGCGGTACTCACTTAACATCAGGTGAACCGTCAGCACGCATGGCTACTTTTCAGATTAAAAAAAAATCAGGTGAACCGCACAGCCTACTTGCTAACTTCTCACATTCTTCTGACGACCCAAATGCGTAGTGTACCTGCCTCCTGCGCCAGAGGGTGTGGGTTCGATCCCCGCTACTGGAAAAATATTGTGTGATTTGTGCTATTGATAGCTCAGTGTCCGGGCGCTCGCCTTTATTTCAATATACTCGAGCAACCTGAGTTCGATCCCCGGTGCCGGCACCAATGAAGTTTTTAACTATAAGTGCTGACTTATCACGTGCTCCACGGTGAAGGAAAACATCGTGAGGAAACCTGCATATTTTCGAAATAATAACAAAAAAAATATATTTCAAAGATATGTGAAGTCCGCCAACCCGCAGTGGGGCCGCGTGGTGGACTATGCCCTGATACCCTCTCTATAGAGGAGGCCTTTGCCCAGCAGTGGGACATGTATAGGCTGTTACTTTACTTTTTTTTTTACTTTTGTGCTATTCAAGTGTCTATTGTAGTGTATGGGTGTTTATACATCTTTAATATCTATTCATTTACGGAAGAAAAAGTATGTTTATCAGTTATCTAGTAACCATAGTAAAAGCGTTGCTTAGTTTGGGCCTAGAGATCGTTGTATAGTAATGTGTTCTAAAATATTTCAAAATATATATTGTTCTAATATATCTTTAGTCCAGGACAATATTACATGCTAGTAACGCGTGTGTTATCCTTGCATACTGTAGGTCTATTCCAAGTTGGCTCGAAACAGAGTGTCGTGGTCCATTTGATTTAGTACTCTCGGCGGACATTAAAAGCGACCTTACCACAGCCGTTCTCTCGTGCCAGCTTCCTGCTTTGCGGCATTATATTTTACTGCGCCATAAAACGACGCGATTCGTACAGTTTTGGACACGTTTACTCAATAATACCGACATAGCTCAGAAGATCAGTAAGCTAAAGTGGAATAAAGAAATATATATACAGGGTGGTTTTTCTACGTGTATGCATTTTTTTATTAGATTCTAGGCATACATAATGTTATATAAAAATGAAAAATATTTAAAATCACTCGTAAGTAATTAAATACATTCATTTGAACTTATCTCAAAAAGTGCGTCATTTATACGCAACTCGTTTATTTTACGCGCGATCATTCATAACTAACACGAACACAAGTTCCCTACCGCTTAGACTACCGCATTGTCAACACGTTCTGTTTTTTAGGGAATAGAATGGCATTTTTTTTTTTGGAAAACAAAACTTTTATTTCAATAAACGATTATACTACCGAGTCTGAACCTCCTGTGTTTATACTACATACTATTTGGGCACTTCTCAAAAAATCTCCCTGTATATATATATATAAATATATGTATCAATATAGCTCGTAGAACCGATAAACAATGGACAAGAAAGGCTGCTGTGTGGAAGCCTCGTACTGACCATCGCAGTGTACGACTCCCCTCCATATGGAGTAAACACCTGTGCAAATCTTCGGGAAGCCTAGAAAGTCTTCACTTACAATTAAAAAGTTAATTTGTTAACTGTTAGTGATGACTGACATTTGAACTTATGTTGCTCAAATATATTAAATAAATATTAAAAAATTAACTCCTTTGAAACCGCATGTAAAGAAATAGCAATGATAAGATAAAAGGAAATAAATCCTTTCATATTATTACAAATTCGTCATGCAAAATACATTAGGTTGCGTTTAATACTGAATAAGTTTCTGGGAACGCTTATAGTTAGTTAACAGTTTACTCCTTACACATAATAATTATAATCTCCGTGATAGACGTGTCTATTTCCTAGCTTCGGATAGAACAATACGTTTTAGAATGTCACTGCACTAGTCTACATTCTAATTTCGCGTGATGTCATTAGTTCCGCAAATTGTTCTACTGAACTACGAAGGCCGCCCAGTGAACGCCTTGCTTTGAACTAAAAAGTTATATATAGTTGCTTATAGTATTTACCGTTCCGTTTGTCGTAAATCATGATAAAGGAATGTTCCTTTTAAGCTTTAAGTAAATCTCATCATCAATGTAAAGACGCTTGTCATTATCTCATATCTCAATTAATATGTGTGTGTTAAGTGATAGGCTGTATCCATCCATGTATGCCATTGCTGGGAAGATACTGTGTGTGTTAATATATTGTGTGTAAAATTTTTATATTCAGTGTAGTTTTTATAATAATAAGAAATAATGAGGTAATATTTTACAGTTAAATGCAAATGAGTTTTAAATTTTAATGAAATTTTCTTTTTTCAGGCTGAGTAGAAATGCTACCGAGGAAAAGAAGCATGCTTGGTATCGTCGTTGCACTGTTGCTGTTTGCGCAAAACACAGAGCAGTATGGATCTGGTGCTCCACCTGGGGTCAGTAGAATTTAATATAATTACTAATACCAACACCGGATATATTAACTGTGGTAGGACCGCGCATTGGTTTTCGCTGTTGCACGATTGGGCTGGTCCGTCCGGGTAAGATTTATACACCACTATTTTTATACTACCCACTTTATTCTAGTAATGTATTGTATTGCAAATATTTAAAAAAATGTACAGAAAATGGCAGCGTTTATCACTTAACTTTAGGTAGACCACCAGCTCACTTACCACCTTCTCGCATAAAATACAAATATAATTCCCCTATCCACCATAGGACACGTGGCAAACTATGTTTCCGTTCAACTATGCACTAACTAGCCACGCAACGACAAATATTGGTACAAATGCAACATTTTTAGGACACATTTTTACACAACGTTAAGAAACGCTTGATTTGGGTAATATATAACTGATAAATAACATTAAACATCCTTTTTTTTTTGTAAATAAATACATTTTATAATATAAACGCACAGACATTGGAAAAACACTATGTCCATTACACGAAATTTTAGTAGAGGGGATCGAGCCCACACCCTCTGGCGTAAGAGACAGGTTCCCTACCCACTAGAAAAATTAGAGTCGTCAATAAAAAAGGAGTTAAGCCTAATAGAGGACGGGAAGGATGTCGACCGCTTATCTTAGTTGCTGGAGCATCTTTACGCGTAATCCGCGAATCTTGGCAACAATTTTACGATAGTTTTACGTACAAATTTTTAAGTTTCCATCTATCCCGTCCAAACATTAAAGAGCTCCAAGCATTCGTGATAGCTCAGTGTCCGGGCGCTCGCTTCTAATTCAATAAACTCGAGCCACCTGAGTTCGATCCCCAATGAAATTGTTAATTTCAGCGTTGTCTTTATCAGATGCTCAACGGTGAAGGAAAACATCGTGACGAAACCTGCATATTTTCGAAATAACAAAAAAAATATTCCGAAGATACGTGAAGTCCGCCAATCCGCAGTGGGGCCGCGCGGTGGACCATGCCCCGTTGCCCTCTGCAAAAGCGGAGGCCTCGCCCAGCAGTGGGGCATGTATAGGCTGTCGCTTTCACTTTTAACCATTGACTCCAGGCCTGCGTGGACCAGATGCCGCGCCACTCCGGCATAATGGCGCAGACATCGGTGCCGCCCTACGCGCTCACCGCGTCCGCCTCTCAAGTGCGCCAGGGTTCGATTCTCAACGTCACCATCGGCAGCCCGTTTGGGGCGCCGGTGCCCATCGGGGGCTTCCTGCTGCAGGCTAGGCAGGTCCAGGTGAGCCTTGGGCTGAGTTCTTTCAGCGTGAAGATGCTCCACTACGAATCCTCGTGACGTATACGATAAGGAGACAGTTTCAATGGTATTGGTTAGAATGGACGGACTGAATCTGGAATTATATTAATATTGGATGGGAAAATGCGATAATCCGTAACAAGATTTGGTACTTCTAGTACACGTATATCTCCCGATTATTTTATTTAATTTTTTGTGTATGAATAAAAATTTTAATACTATGATGATTATGTAATTATGATTTATGAATATATGGCGGTCTATCCCGTGACCATGAACGCTGGAAAGGGTTTAAAAAGTCGGGAATTTAAATATTTCTATAAAAATAATTTAAAAACTTAAATTATTTTAACCAATAAGACGTTTTTTTTGTGTATGTTAATAACAAACTCCTTTTAATTTTATAACATGACATAGTTGTTGTCCATTGGAATCAAGCTATCTATTTGTAAATAAATAGAATAAAATCCAAATCCAAATCATTTACCATCGAAATAAGAAATATAATTCATTTATCGATAGTCATTTTTTAAATCTACCACCGTTTCGTAATGAGGTTCCTCTAACGGGGAAGAAACGGGCGAAAGAAACTCCGTAGATATCCTCTTTTTTGTCATTTTTTTTTCTCAACAAATATATAGTTATTCAGTACATATTTTTTTTTAGAAACAGCTTAGGAGCGATCATCTCATTCCCAGGGGTTATTAGCGTTAATGTATTCATTTATATTATAATAACCCTTTTTAAAAAGTTTTTCTTCAATAAATTTCTTAAACCTGTTAATAGAATATATACTTAACTTAGAAAAATATACTTGACTTGCCTATAGATGATTTGTAGATGATCGATAGAAGTGTCGCCTGTGAACGGACGATAGAATTGCTAAATTTTATATCGCATCGAGACGAATACCGCAGGAAGTACATTTCTTCCAGAGCCCCGACACCATAGAGGGGACGTTTGTGGGCGTGCCAAGCGCCGCGATGGCCCAAATCATAAGCTGTCGCGGGAACAACGATTCCGTGACCCACACCTCGCCAGAGGACAAGCCTCCTCTCACCTTCCAATGGAGAGCTCCGGACGATTTACTCGGCGGGGTGTTCTTTAGGTGAGAATCTTGCCTAAGTTTTTTCATGTGATAAGGTGGCAAACGGGCTGGCGGTTCACCTGCCGACGTTTGAAACACCCGTAGGGTTGCAGAAGCGTTGCCACCTCTAAACAAAGTATCTCATTCACCAGACGAAACGCAGAAGTGTAACACTTTTACTTTACACCGGTCTTCTGTGAGGTCGTCGTACTTACCAGGACGGACCTGCCTATTCGTGCAACAACATGCGTGGCCCTACCACGTAACAGCTTTGGCAAGTAAACAGCCTTTATGTGTCCCGCTCCTGAGCAAAGGCCTCCTCTGTACAGAGGCTATTAGGGCATAGTCCGTCTCACTGCGAATTGGCAGACCTCGTATATTTTTTGTTACATTTCCCCAAAATGTTCAGGTTTCCCCGCGTTGTTCCTTTAACTCGAGACAAGCTAGCGCTTAAAATTTCAACTAACAATTCGGGCAAAGTCAGGCTGCTCGAATCTGGAAGTGGAAATTTCTACATTCATCCATTTCACCGTGTGACCAACTCTTGCGACGCTCGCCTCACATCCTCCCATACGAACAACGCGGAATCGAACTGGCGATTCTCTGTGACAGAGCAACGGTCGCGCAAAGCTACGCGACCTTCTGGAAGAACGTCGAATCGCCGGTGGTCGAAGTGGTGACCCGCGAAACTGCCATCGCCACCACCGAGGCGACATCCACTACGCGTAGGCTCCCGCAAACCCCACCGTCCATCATGGAGACCAAGGTAATAATAATAATTACATTGCGCGTGCTGTCAACGTTTTCTTACACATCCCCATGAAACGACCATCATGGAAACCAAAGTAATAATAAAATTCGTTACGTTTCTTACACATTCTTATGTAATGATATTATACATATACAAATAAAAGGTAGATATGAAACTGAGGCACTCAAATTGCGCCAATCGATTTGACATTGCAACTGTATAGACTGCTATATATTTCCGAATCATGCGTTCTATACCATTTGTCACATTCACTTATATCATTATATGTCATGTGATTTAAAGCGGATTTTTCGAACAATTTATAAACGCCGCTGAGTGTGACAGATGATATAGAACGTATGATACGAAAAGAGATAGAAGTCTATATGTATAATTGCAATTTAATTATACCAGTCGATGTGATTTCAGTGTCTCGAGTTGCATCAGTGTCATATCTTTGTATATAACATTATTGTATTGCAGCAGTTATGTCTAATTAAAAATCTAAAATTTATCTGTATTAAGACAAAACAATACGGTAGATTTTTCACCTCGGCCTGTCTTTTGTTTGTTAAATCGTTATTGAAGATCCAGTATTTATAATCAAGTCTACGTAAGGTTAATTTAACAAAAGTTTTAAGTCACTATTGATGACTCCGTGGCGCAGTTGCCAAGGTATTGGCTTCGGCGTCGGTTTCGGGGATTTGATCCCCACATGGGACATCTTTTTGTGATCCGACATTGTGTTTGTCCTCGTGTAATTTATGTTTGTAAAACGTCCTTACAAGACAATGTTATCCTAAATGGAGTAAGGCAAATGTTTTCTTTTTAAATTTTTTTTAAATTATTTTGTGGAAAATTTGAAGTCCACACCCTGGTCAGGCTCGTCCGTCTGTACGTCCATCGCCAATCCAGGTGAAAAGCACCACGCCGCTGCCGGACATAGTGTACCGGGGCTGTGGCGACACCAAGCTGTGCTTCGGGGTGCCTTCGGGGTGCGTGGACAGGGGCGAGTGTCGGGCCGTCGTGGCCGTGCTGGTCTCCGGCGAGGAGTTCGGCTTCGAGCTGCAGGCCGACGGCTCGGCCCGCTACGTGGCGGCCGCGCTGAGCCGGGACTCCAGGATGGGCGAGGACAGCGCCATGGAGTGCGTGAGGAGCCAGGACGGCAGCGTGTCCCTCCACTCGTCCTGGACCTACCCGAAGGTGGAGCCCTACGTGAGCAGGGCCGACTCCCCGCAGAGCATCCTCCGCCTGCTCGGCTCCTCGTACATAGACGGGAAGCTGTACTGCAAGTTCGTCAGAGATCCCGTCTCGGTGGTGCAGGGCCGGACCTTCGATCTGGTCAACGACAAGTTCTACCTGATGGTCGTCTCCGGCGACAGCATGAAAGGTGAGCGGTCGATTGGGCGTCTGGAGATTTATTCATATTAGATAAGTTCCGTTTTAGAATTTGTAGAAAAAACCCGCTAAGTGCGGCAAAAAAAATAAAATTTGTTAATTAGAAGCCTCTTTTAAATTTTTTTTTGATTTTATAAATCTTTTTGTATCCGTTGTTATAGCGAAAAGAGAAATAAATCGTCTGTGAAAATTTTAACTGCCTAACTATCATGGTTCATGAGATTCAGCCTGGTGACAGATGAACAGACAAACAGACAGCGGAGTCCCAGTAATAGGGTCCCGTTTTACACTTTGGATACGGAACCATAAGACGATAGGATTTCTCTAGAGGTAGGATTTTTAATATAATGTGTGAAAAAGGATTTCTTGTTTAAAATACTTTGGGGAATCCCTGGTCTAGTAGCAACAATGCCATAGACAGACACACAAATACACAGACAGACATTTGAAACTTATAACACTGTATACGTCGAGAGTTAAAAATAACTTAAAAATTCCATCAAAATCAGGGCGTTTTGATGCCCACAAAAAACATCAAACACATCGATCATACATTACTTATCCTTACAGATATTAATAAAAACTCTATCCACGCTTCATTAACAATCAAAGCTTACAATCGTCTGTAGCGTTTCGCACAGTGCTACAATCGAAAGACTCCGTTAGTGAGACGCGCGTCGGGGGTTCCCCAGACGCGGAGCGCGTGGGCTTCCACTCGTTGGCGTACGAGTCGACGGGGACGCCCCTGGCGTTGGCGGCGGTGGGCGCCCCAGAGGCGGCGCCGAAACTACTCATCAAGCTGCACGGCGCGTTGATGCTGGCGGCCTGGATGGGCAGCGCCTCCGCGGGGATTCTGCTGGCGAGGTACTTCCGCGCCACCTGGGTGGGCAGGCGGCTGGCCGGCAACGACATCTGGTTCGCGGTAAGTATCCATCCATGTATGCGGTTTCATTTAGCTCGGACCCGTACGGAGTTTGTTTGTCTATTTATTTGGGTAAAAATTTGGAAATTGAAATTTAAGCACCTCGCCGTTGTCAGATCGATCTGAAATTTGGTACACACATTTCATTTAGATGACAATACAATATGAACAAAAAAAAATTTAACAAAAAAAAACATAAAATAAAACCGTTTAGCTTAAAAGTTTTTTAAAGTTATTATTTATTTTTTATTTTCCATGAATGCACGAACAATGAAATCAAAAAAACTTATCTGCTCATCTCGATTTAAACAGGTGAACTATATTTTTCTAGGGTTTCGTGTATTTTATTAAATATATATATTTGATGTTACGGTGGTGGGGCCACGCAACAGTCTTCACTCACATAAAAAAATAATAATAATCAGGGCTGGATTTAATGGTCTAAAGGCCTCGGGGCAACAAAAAAGAGAAAGCGAAATTATTTTCCAAATAAAATGAACATTTTTTCAATCGACTTTACCAATAAATAATTTATTGTGAAACCAAGTATAGATCCTTTTATTATTAAACGAACATATAAATATAATCGGAAACAAGACTTGAAGGAAATGAAAAAATATGAACGGAAAAATTGTTTACTAGTCTGAATTTCAACCGGGGTCCCTCTTGTGGAGGCCCCGGGACTAGCCCCGGTAGCCCTCATCTAAATCCGGCCCTGTATATAATCCGTGTAACTAATATTCTTTATGACGAACAAACATAGATGTCTTAACTCGAATGAAGAGGGTAAATATTGACCAGAGGATTCAAAACTGCGACGTCTCGAGTGTTTGTGTTTAAGGGTTTATCTCTATTTTCTTAATTATATTTTCGTTTCCATTCATTTTAAACATTATCTCCCATAAAACATTTTTCTTTTATTTATTTATTACAAAATCCACAGCACCCCATAAATTGCAATATAACAAGTATAATACATAATGCCAATAACGGGTTTACATTTTCTATAAAATTATATATGCTAATTTTAAGAAATTATTTCCAACACTTTTTTTAAAAAAAGCTTTTTTTTTCTAAGTTATAACTATAAGTATTTATCAATTAATAAGAAAGCAAAATTCGTTGTTGTTGGCTACGCGCTAGGTATGTGAAATCCGCCAATCCGCGTGGACTATGCCCTAATACCCTCTGCATAGGAGGCCTTTGTCCAGCAGTGGGACATATGGGCATTTACTTAACTTTTTCAGACTGTCGCTTTATTCGATAATTGATTTCGCCAGTACCACCGCATTCTGATGGCGGGCACGTGGGTGCTGACGCTGGTGGGGTTCGTGGTGATCCTGGTGGAGGCCGGTGGGTGGGCGCCCGGCGGTGGGAACCCACACGCCATCACCGGCATCGTCACTGTCATCCTGTGCTTCATTCAGCCCATAGGTAAGATCTCCATGTTCATTTATAATAATGGACAAAAACTCTGCATGCCTTCTTGGCATTAGAGCACTAAAACTGGGCAAATAGGTGTAATTAGATTGAAACTCTATAGTCTGCTATCACTTTCTGTATCTTATGTTCTATACCATCTGTCACATTCACTTTTAAATGTCATATAATGTAAAGCGTAACAGACATATGTCAGTATATATGTCTTATCTATGGTAACAGATTTTAAGCGCCACGCAGTATATTTGACGGTGTCGCACGAATGGACAGGCTCGTCAAGTGGAAGTATGACAAATGCTTTCGCGTTTCGTCTGGTGAGTGAGGTGGCCGGAGCCCAATTTTCAAAAGGTTGTCTGTCAACGCATCTGCAACCCTCGGGTGTAGCAGATGTCCATGGGCGGCGGTATTCACTTAATATCAGATGAACCGTCTGCTCGTTCGGCAACTTTTCACATAAAAAAATGGTCTTTCGTCGCCTTTATCAAAACATTGTGGCGACTCATTTGCTACTGTGTAGCACCGCTCTTATCTTTTACACCCTTACTCTCATCGGTCTAGCATTACCCTATTATTGACAAATTTCTATAGCAACGGGTGACAATAAAAGATTATGCTTTTCTCAACACGGCTTGTTCTTTGTACTGCATCTTAATTATTCCCTCCTGCCGGCTCCCAAAACATCATTGGACCAGCACTAAAAATGTGCATGTGAGTGTACGTAAGTACGCACTTCAGATGTTATACTTCTATAGCGTAAGAAAAGAATGATAACTGAAAATTTTATCCCCAGTGCCAGTAAGCTTTGTTTGTAAAAAAGGCTTTAAATGCAATGGACATTGGTTTTTGTGTAAAAAAAAATAAAAACATAAATGTAAACGTGAAAGATTTTTACACATACATCCGTTGCCCTTAGGAGCATACTTCCGTCCGCATCCTGGCACTAAAAAGCGCCCCATCTTCAACTGGCTCCATTGGTTCATCGGCAACGCGGCACACATCCTGGCCAGTGAGTAAACGATTCTTGGTGTTATTTAATCTGTTTAAGCAGTTATATTGGTCGAAGCGGACGATACGCAGCGCTTATTATCATATTTGTGATTAGTCGATAGTAGCGATATCATATTTGTGATTGGTCAAAATTTGGACGGTCTTTCCTAGATTTTATGTACAATTTTCACAAAACTAACGATAAATTAATATCACAAGGTATTATTTGCCATGTAATATGTACTCACTATGCATGGAACTAAATAAAGCTTTATTATTATCATTTACCATGTCAGCCTTACCAAAAGTATGGTAGGATGACATTTATGAATGTATATTTAAAACAGAAGGCTTAATTTTTACATACAGAATTATAAATTTATCTATAAATATAATAACCTATTTCATAATAGAGTTTTATTTATTACGGTGGGATATATGTTTATTTTTTCCCTGTCATATGTATTATGTAATTACCACATTAATTTAATTTATTAAGCTCTCATAATAAAGCATTTTACATCCAATTGACTTTTTATAACCATCGACTGTGGTATTTGTAATCTCCATGACAAAGCCGTCGCCCAGTGTGTATAATGTGTACCCAGAACAGTGGTGACAAAGTCATCATCCTTTTTGTTGCCCACCGTGATAAAGTCATCGTCCTTATTGTTGCCCACCGTGACAAACTCATCGTCCTACTTGTTGCCCACCGTGACAAACTCATAGTCAATTTTGTTGCCCGCCGTGACAAAGTCATCACCTCTTTTGTTGCCCGCCGTGACAAAGTCATCACCCCTTTTGTTGTCCGCCGTGACAAAGTCATCAACCACTTTGTTGCCCACTGTGACAAAGCGATCGTCCTTCCGCAGTTGTGACGATATTCCTGGCCGTGTACCTCCCGAAGGCGGAGCTGCCCGTCTGGAGCGTCTACATTTTGGCAGCGTTCGTCGCATTCCACGTGATAATGCACGTCTTGCTTTCGGTGAGGAATTCCTTCTTTTTATCAACAAACGGGGAGTTGTGAGTTTTTTTTTAATGTTACAAAGTGGCAAACGAGCTGGCGGTTCACCTGATGTTAAGTGATTTCCACCTGCCCATGGACATTTGCCAGCTCTTAATAAAGTGGGCCCCGGCTACCTCACTCACCAGACGAAACGTAGAAGTATGACACCTCCACTTCACGCCGGTGTTCTGTGAGGTCGTGGTTCTTACCAGGAGGGGCCTGCCCAGTCCTGCAACAGCGAACAGTAATGTGTGGTCCTACCTCCAATTCCAATTTTAGTTTTATGGCTCAATCAATAAGGTCCTACCTATTTTAACGATCTACAGCCTACAGATAGATTTGATTACTAGCGATAGGCATTTGACATTAGCCCCATAATACTTACGTCAAAATTCTATCTCCAGTAACCGAATCCATCTGTAGATAGAATATTGAATATTGATGGAATATTGAACAGCCGTAAAACAGTGAATTGTGTCTGTTTATGCCTGACGCAGTGGATGAGCCTGTCTCTTGCGCCAGTGTGTGGGTTCGATCCCCACTACTGACTACTTTTTGTCCAGTGTCTGCATATTTATGTATTTATTTACAAAAAGAATAGTATGTTCATTACCTATAGTTCAAGCTTTGCTCAATAAATTTTTTGTGCTTTGTTTGCATTGAAGCTAGTTTACAATGGTCGCACATAATGCTTATTGGCAATTTATACCAGTTAAACCTCATGAAAATAGTGAAAACAAATGGGTGATAATAGAAAAATGAAAAAATATTTAAAAATTAATGTTTATACATAATATAGGTATATAATTTAAATATAAAATAATTGAATCAATTAAAACAAATATAAACATGATGATAGATAAAAACGATATATGGAGGTATATAAACACGAAGAGAAGTGTTTTATAGTATGTAGTTGCCATAATTCCTCATTTATAAAGTATCTCAGGTACTGATTTAGTAGTGGGCTTTCAGCTAACTCATATAAAAATAAAAGTTTGGCTTCACGCAAACGTTTATCGTGTTGGTTAAAAACTTCACAGTAAGTAGAAGTCATTAAATTTATGTAAATGATTATATTATTTTTGTGTGTTATTTGGGCCCCAGTGTTGAGAGTAGTGCGCCAGGGTTGGCAACGCATCTACAACAGGTGGCAGTAATCACTTAGCAGACGCGAACCGCACACGCATTTGCCGTCGTGTCGCATTAGTAAAACAATCATTCGCATTTCAGCCGTATTTGCGTTTACAAAGAAATATAATCACAGTGTTTTTCTTTTCTTTCGTATTGAAAATCATCGCCCTTACTTTAGGATAACCCTGTTGTAAGGATGTTTTACAAACATAAATTCGACGTGGACCAACGCCCAGACGCGAAACAAGTGTGGGTCGCACAAATAGCTCCCGCGTGGGGATCGAACCCGCGGCCGCCGACGCCGATACCTCGGCAACTGCGCCACGGAGTCATCAACATTTATGTCGTGTTTTAAAAAACACCGAGGAATAATGAATAGACGGATTGAAATATCGTAGTCTGGTGCGTATCTGTTGCGTATGCGTGTGAAAGTGAAGTGTGTACTCAGCTGAGCGCGTGCGCGTCGAGCGGCCGCGTGAGCAACGGGCGCGTGGCCTCGTTCCCGCTCAAGGAGATGGCGCGGGGCGTGGGGGGCGCGGGGGGAATCGCGCCGCCCAGGCAGCTCGCGCACGTCGACGCGGACGCGGACGCGCCGGTCGGTGCCCCAACTCACGCTCATCCACACACCGACTCACACGCTCAGTGACTCACTGACTCATACGCTCACCGACTCATACGCTCATTGACTCACTGACTCACTAACTCATACGCTCACCCACTCACCAAATCATACGCTCATTGACTCACTGACTCATATACGCTCGCCGACAGACTAATTCATACGCTGGCCTACTCACTACCTCATATCTTCCCCCACCAAACAAACTCATACGTCATCCACCCACCCACCAACTCATACGTTCAACGAATCACTAACTCATACGTTCGCCTAATCACTAACTCATAAGCTCGACAATTCACTAACTCATATGCACACATACAACCACCGAACAAGTCACCCATCGACCAACTCATAAGCTCACCCACTCACTCGTTCACCCGCTCCCAAGCGTACTCGCATTTGCCTGCTCACCACCGCATCCAAACATACGGTCTCAGATTTCAAAACTCTTAACAGTTTAATCAATACAAATTAATCTGCCGTTCGTACTGAGTGAACATAAATTCAGCTTTTAACTATCTCATGCTCTAACGCACTCTTGCCTATCCGCCTGATATTAAGTAGTTTAAACATTATTCACTGAATCCATGACACATTCTTTTAGATGTTAATGTTCATGTCAAACAAAAATCAAGATATTTTTTAAACTTCATAATAACTACGATTTATTAATGTATACTAATTATTATATTTTATTTAACAGTTCTCGAGTTTCCGGAGACACATGCTGAGCATCTACGTCGCAATCACACTTATCTTCGTCGTCGCCATGATCTGCCTCGTCGCTTTGGCGCCAATATCCGAAACTTACAACAGCATTGCCGGCGTTTAGATTCCAAATATATAATTAATATCGAACAAATTATGTCTGAGGCTACAAAATTACAATTAGGAGAGAGCAAGACAGAAATACAATTTCCGTTTTACTCAGACTCGATTACTTTAATTTATTCGAATTCTTTGACAGTTTAAAATCAAACATTCAAAGTCGATACTTAAACTTCCACTTCCAAACCACTTCTATATTAGAGATAAATGCAGTATGTAAAAGAGAGTCAAAAAAAACCTTATTCATATACGAAAAGTTACCAAAGCGACATATTTTTTATGTGCAATGGAATTTTTATAATACATAAATAATACTTTTGCAATTAATAATCCTCTGATGGTGCCTTTGAAAATTATCAGTGTTTTTTAAATAATAGTTTGTAGGAGAAAAGAAAGTTTTATTTAAATACCTTAATATTATTATTATATTCTTGCTGGTTATAAGACACGGCCGAGTATATGTTACATGTCACAGTACGTTGGAAAATATAGGATACTGTAATCATTACACCCATACAGGTGTTAAAACAAGTATTGATTCCGTAGCAAGGACAAAAGTCCCGACAGTATGCATCGCCTTTATGTTATAATTTTTATTTTGTATAAAAAAAAACAATACTTGTCATGTACTATCTACTATATCATAGTTGGAATCCTAAAAAATTTGTTATATTTTCCAAAGTATATATATATATATACTATATATATTTTTTAAAAACATTATGACTACGAGTTTTGGAACACGATATTTTTTTTTTTTAAGAGATGGATCTAATGGTATTGTAAGCTAGTGGCTGGCAATACCATTAGAAAAGTGTTAGGTTTCCTTCACCCAAGGATATTAATTTATCATTCAATAATATGTAAATATTTTAAATCGTGGTCCTATTGTGGTACTCTGAAGAATGTTGTGAATTTCTTATACATTTTTTTTTATTATATTAGACAAACTAAAATGACTAAATCACGGTAGTCTATTTTATAAGACAAGTTTACTAATTCGTATTATTTAATTTTGGTAATAGTTTTATGTAAATATAGTTGTATGTAATAATAAATAAGTGAAACCATACATACTTATTTTGATTTAACACCTCATTAATTTAAAGACACCAAGTAGCCAATTGTAATTACAAGTGCCGATTTTACCACGTCTTCGGTCAGAGGATACCATTGTAAAAAATATGTATATTGCGAAGGGAAGTGAAGTCCTAAAATGAAAAGCCGTGACCAGCATATTACCAAAATAATAAGAAAATAAAAATATTCTAAGATTAAGTCCGTCAATCCGCAGAGGGGTTACTTACTTACCTTTTTAGGGTTCCGTAAAACGGGATCGTAATGCATGAAATACTAAAAAACTAAAAAATATTTAAGCGGGACTCCCATACAACAGGCATGATTTTTTGCCGATTTTATAGATAATGCCCATAAATCACGCACTTTTTGAGATAAGTTCAAATGAATGTATTTGATTAATTACAAGTGATTTTAAATATTTTTATATAACATTATTTATGTCTTCATGTCTATTTATGTCTATAATTTAATAAAAAAAATGACATGAAAAACATGAAAGCATACAATACTTCTTCATGTTGTGTTTCTGTGCCGCTGCCCATCCATGCTGTTAACCAACACAGTTTATCTCTGTATATCCCTTTTAGGATGATGTGGGAGTATCAAGATGTAAGTGCATGGAAGAAATAAGCAATTTTTATATGGCAACACGGATTATCGAATGTATTTTAATGTATCAGTTCAGTTCACACACTGGTTTAAATACCAGTGCACACTAGCATAAATTAATCTTGTATAAAAAAAATGTTTGTGTCATTACTATTTATATTTTTACTTTAAAGCCAACATAAACTACTTTATTATCATATAAATTATAATAAAATAGTAATAATTCAATAAATAACATTATATATATATATATATATAGCAATCAATTTACATGTCCTCTTTTGGTATTTGAGAATCTTCGACAGTTCTTGAAGAAGGTATGTAAACTTTAAATGAATACTCTGTGCGTGGGAAAGATCCCGGATTAGCCACTTGACAATTCTGATATGCTCTTGTGTAGGGTTGAAAATGGTCTGCAACTACAATTAAATCAGGAGTAGGATATAAACTCAAAGCTTCAGCGTGTTTCCAATAAACAGGCTGGATGGCTAATGATAGAGGTGATAAAGTGCATTGACTTAAAAGAGTTTTTGTTAAATGATCAGGTATGTCACCCGTTTCTGGAAAATGTATAGAGTTTCTGCACATTTTAGTAACCAAGTCCTGTCGGAGCAAAACAATTTCCTGAGTGCAGTACTGTACCCGGCAAGGGTTTGTTGTGAAAATAACAGAGTCACCCAATTTTTGCCTAATTTCCTTTGTCAGCGAATTTGGAATTGGTGGTCTCGGCAGTATATTTGCAGCTGCAGGGTCACCCCTGCCAGGTACAAAAATAAATTTGCAAGTTTCTCGAAGCTTTGTAAATGGATATATCATATCACCTAAGTTTGTTAAGGCGGCTTTAAGCTGGGTGCTATGTTCATAACCATATGGACATGATAGAAACTCACCAAAGAACACGATTGCTATTGGTGGAAAATCATTATAGCCAGTAAAGAGGACTTTCAGCTTGGTCATGACTTTCAAATTGTCAAACCAAACATCAGAGAGAAACACAATCATGCCATCTTCATTATCCTGTTCTATTTTTAATAAATTTTGGGAATTTTTCAGTAATGTCTTTGATTTGCCACCAAAAGTATTCAAATTACCGAAGTAGGGCAATGATGTTGCTCTGCTCTCTGATGGTGGTAAAACAAGGCCCATTACATGAAGAACTTTATCATCATAATAACCTTCGGCTAACACAAAGCTACTCTCTGTAAACAGCCCTGAATGATATCTTGTTTCACTCATATCCAATAAAATGCTTCCTGTTGGATCTTCCAAGTAAAATTTCCCCTCAGTGAGCTGTGTTAATAGTCCTAAGACAATCACTTCATTAATTCTACTTGATGAACTTAATAAAACTTCTATTCGACGTAGTTGAAAACGATTCTCACTTTCCATAGATGGTAAGGTTTCCTTTGCAAACAACTTATTCCTGACAGTCCTTTGCCAAATGACAGTATATCTGTCTACCAACATTTGAGCTTTCCATTTTGGTTCAGGGTATAAATTTTTTTGAGCGCCAGCGTCTTTCAAGAACTTCTTTCTTTCGTGATCGTAACGTAATTTCGGTACATTAAAAGCATCGATGACCGTTAAAACAGTCTCAGTTTCCTCTAATCCTAATGACAAACACTCTTTGTAGGCAACTTCTAAATGTTCTTTTTCTAAAACAGGATGGGAAAGGCATTGATGAAGAAGATGAGCTGTTAGTTTATCTATCATTTTCCTTTGCTCTTGCTGCGGTAGAGCAGAAAGTTGCTCAGCAACAAATATACTAGCTTCCCGCCGTATGGTAAAACCACTAAGTTTGAATGCATTGTTAACTTCTTGCCGTATTTCTTTCAGATCACCCATTGCTATATTTTCAACGTGAATATTTCTTTCATTAAGATGTAAAAATAATATCGAAATTAAAAATAAAATAGCGATTCGCGCCGAAAGTTGACTTTGACATTAAGAGATTCTTCATCTTTTCTTTGGATTTTATGGCCCGGTATCGAGGACTTTTAGGCCATGTCATTAAGGGATTTATAAGCAATATTGTTATGTATGTCAAATCGCTCCCCTCACTGAATAATATCGTTATCGATAAATTAAAATTTTACAGGAAAAATAAAAGAGTGTTTTTTGACGATTATTTTAAAGATTGTCTAACTTAGGAGGATGAATTATATATCAAATGAAAGGTAATTTTTTATTACATCATTTTAAACAAAGTTATTCATTTTGTACTTTCTTAAAATAAAGTTATTATAGAAAACATTTTTTACTATAAATGCTAGACAAACATTTATTTGCAAAATAATATTACGATATTATTCGTGTAAAAAAAAATAGATGCCATGAACAATAATGGCATACCACAATTTTATTCGTTAATGAAAGGTAACCAAACATAAACGGTAATAAATTAAAAGGGGGTTTTTCGCGGATGTAATGTATGTTACATATTAAAGTTTTGTTTGAATACCATTGTCTTATCGTATTATCTACAAAGTAATATTAGTTACTTGAAATATGATTCTCAATAAAACGATAGCTTTTATGAAAGAAAACCATTTATTAAGGGAAAGACAGGAAATGGTTGAATCATAATCATAATTGCAGCCTGTTTGAGTCCACTACTGAACTTAGGCCTCCCACAGACTGCCACGAATCACGATCCTGAGCTACCTGCATCCATCGACTTCCCGCACACGTGTACAGATGTACAGATACTCTTTGGAAACTTCGGCATATCTTCTCGTCTAATATCACTCAATGTTTGAAGACAAAAGTCTACAATCAATGTGTGTTGCCAGTGATGACCTACGGAACCGGGACGCGGTCCTTCACTGTTGGCCGTATGAGGAAGCTCAAAGTCGCTCAGCGAGCTATGGAGCGGGCTATGCCCGGTATTTCTCTGCGTGATAGAGTTCCTAACCAAGACATCCGCAGAAGAAACAAGGTAACCGACATAGCGCAGAAGATTAGCAAGCGGAAGTGGCGATGGGCCGGCCATATATCTCGTAGAACCGATAACCGTTGGGAAAGAAGGGTTCTTGAGGTGGCAGCCTCGTACTGGGCATCGCGGTGCAAGACGATCCCGCACTAGATAGAGTGACGACCTGTGCAAATGTGCGGCAAGTCGATGGATGCAGGTGGTTCAGGATTGTACTTCGTGACAGTCTATGGGGGGGCCTATTTAGAGCAGTGGACTCAAAGTCAAGTCTTGTCTGTTGAGATGAAGAAATAGCGACCTATTTCTTCATCTTTTAGTTGGCGTACTTTAGCCTTTCGTAGTAAATACTGTTTATATTTCTATTCGAATTTAGCTTTCTCAGCTTATTCATATAACGAGCACGTTCCGCATAGATCTTTTTTGGTTTGAAAAATGTGTAATTATATTGTGTGTTAAATACAGATTCGTTTTGGCGTTTGGATGCAAATAGTTCCGGTGTATATTGTTAATTTAGAAACCATACGGTATACAGTCGATACATTTTAGCAAGGTGTAGTTATTCAGATAAATATTGGCGCTTGGATCTCTTACGTGTATTATGAGATACAACAGACGGAATGAGCTGTTTCCGTCTGTGTTCCATATGTGTCATTATATTTTTTTGACGGACATCCTATGAGGTCTTTTGTAATGAGTTCCTCTGTTGTCTAATTAGGGTCTCGTCCTGCGCTATTTTCTCTTGAGCTGTAAAACTACCTGTTCTGTAATACGTAGTATAAAAATACAAAATACAAACTTGAATAGATGCATGGTCCTGCTTAAAATAATATTAAATGGTATGTATCCTGTTATTTTTTCTTTCTAAAGTGATGCGTTTTACAGGTTGTGCTTGAACGTGTCTCACGATATATTGCCATTGGAGTTCATGATCTTTCAGTCTATAAAAAAGTGTCAAATATCGCCTGTAGTTGCTCCATAGAAAATGTTATGCCACAATCATTTTGCATGAGCATGAAGGACCGATGTCTTTAGTAGCATACAGTTTTTTTTGAACGTGCACCTTCATAAGATTCGCTGCTATTTTTGAGTCTTTTGGTCATCGTTTCCTAGTTAATTTTTTATTATTAGAATTAAAAACTACTTCAGTGTTTGTCTCAGCCGTGTCTTGCGCAATAGTAATCGCTGTCACACAGCATACACAGATATTAATCCTAATATTAACATTATTTGCTGATATTTATTGCATTACTGCATATCACGTAAATTATACAGAGTTTTTAAAGTCTGTTTCATTATAAAGCGGATTGATTGTCTGAATTGAAGCCAACCCCGGTGAAGTTGCTGTATCCACTGGGTGGCATAGCGCTGCCAGTTGTAAGCATGCCGTGGCAAGCTCGCTAGAGAGGCCTAAGGCCTACGAACCATAAGCGGCACCCTCTACATGTGCATGAGCTCCCACCGCGAAGGCTGAAAAGTCGAAAAAGTTTTTTAAAATATGTTGTCCCCCTCACAACCGAGCCCTCTCAAGCGAGATGCAGCATGTGGCGTATTCAAACTCTGCTTCCGGATCCCTTTGTCCCGCTTTCTGAGAGTCTTCCAGCTGGTCATAGACTACCTTGGCCAACCTGGAAGTCTTTAATTAGACTTCGGACTCAGGTTGGCCGAAGCAAGGAAAATATGTTCAGGTGGGGACTCTCAGAAAACTCAGAACTGGACTGTATGTGTGGAGCAGTGCAGTCTATGGCCCATCTGATGTCCTGTCCTGCCTGCCCTTTTACCTGTTCGCAGAAGGATCTGATGGATGCCACAACGGTACGGTTTTACGGTGGTAGGGCCACGCAGCAGCCTCGGCTGTTGCACGAATGGGCAGGTTCGTCCGGGTAAATACCACGACCTCACAGAAGACCGGCGTAAAGTGGAAGTATGATAAATACTTTCGTGTTTCGTCTGGTGAGTGAGGTGGCCGGAGCACAATTTCCAAAAAGGTTATCAACGCATCTGCAAACCCTCGGGTGTAGCAGATGTCCATGGGCGGCGGTACTCACTTAACATCAGTGAATCGTCTGCTCGTTTGGCAACTTTCCACACGTAAAAAATAAAGAAAACAAATTGTGCTGTCGAAGTGGCTAAGTTCTGGGCTGAAAAGATATGATCTGTCATCGTCACGTACAGAAGAAGAAGAATTGTCCGAAGAATTTCAGTAATTACGACATCTTCAGTCAGTGCACTTGAAGTGGATGGCTGGATGTCTGAAAAAAAAAATGAAGTAGAGGGACAGTATAAATTAGGTATTAACTGAATATTTTTTTTAAATTGCTGTGGCGATAATCCATCAATTTAGAAACTAGATTGGGCCTATGCCCAGTACTGGCCAGCAACCGGCTGAAATGATAATAATGATGAATACCTAGTCTTCATGTACAACAACGAGGTATCTCCCTCTTCACATGGTTGGCAACGGATTAGAGTTAGTTACCTCTAAAACCTTCTCAAAGGCACCCGAGCCACGGTCATTTTAGGTAGGTTCATAGTTCTATTAGCCAAGCAGTACGTAAGCATATACATACGTAAGTATATAAATCTTATAGGTACTTACCTTTAGGAAATTTCAGTAAATCCAGAATTTGCCTAGGGGGTTTTTCAAAACTGTTTTTTTCATATTCTTTGTGATTTTATCGTATTCAAAATCACACTAAACACGATATTAATGTAAAATACAAAAAGAACTCGATAATTATGTAAGTAAGTACTTATTATAATATTGATACTGAGAGCGCATCACTTCACTACCTAAATATTTTTTGGTACGGATTTAATGTAAACAAACACGGCGATTAACCAGCACGTGCCGAGTACTCGGTATTGCTCTATCCCTTTCTTTATCTTAAGAAAAAAAGAAAGCGATGCGTATTACTTGTGGCTCGTGGTAATAAAGAATACAGCAATCTTAATTTGAGTGTAAACAACGCCTCGGTAAATTTTGCAAAAGTCATAACTGTATTTTTTTTTAAATACAATTAAATGTTAACCAACATTACCACATTTTTCAAATAAAATTACTACAGGAATAGTATTGTCAGAATACTTTACTAGAACTCGAGTTTGCTCTTTTTTACTCGAATAATATCGTTATAGTCAACATTTAAAACCTTATTTGTAGTGCAAGTAGTAATCACCAGTAGCGATTTTATTCATGTAAATAATTATACTAAACCTGTAACGGAATAATAAGGATATGGTTATTATATAAATGCTAGTTTCAAAATTACTCACAGGAAAAATGTGAAAAAAATTTAAAAGATGTAAAAGGATGTCTACATGACGAATATGCAATAAAACCCAAAGTATCGTTATAACATATTACCATATTATTCGGTGGGAGGAGCGAAATATCTATAAATACATCCTTGATACTTTTAATCGCCATTATTTAATCATAAATTGATATACAGCGTGTCGCTACTAACGCAAACATAAATCAATACACATTTAGAGGACAACTTATTAAAATTGTATTAATCATTGACATTCCTTAAACATCAATATTTACAGAGTTATTGAATTTTCAAAGACAAACAATTTATAACACTTACATATGAAACTTTAACGTAAAGTTCATTCCAAAGGCCACAAAGCATATGAATGAGTTGAATGAAGTAAAGAAAGATAAAAGATACTGTTAGAAGGAGAGATTTGTAATGCGACGCTGCGGCAACGAATGAAAAAGTGTCTGAATGTTTGAATCAGTCAGTTGTAGTTGTATGGGATGTTACCATTTTTGTTTCTTTTTTATTTAATTAGTTTGTTTGAAAAATATTTTTTTAGTTATGGATTTTTTAACGTTTTATATTTTTTTATGCTTATTGGCTTTAGACGTGTGTTCATTTATTGTCGCGGTTGTAACGACACGCTGTATAATTAACAATATTGAATTCGTAAATTTTAATGCTAGTTTCATGTTAAATATACTCAATAATCCTTATGCCTTATTTTATGTTAAAAATTGATCAACTCAAATTACAAAAGATGAGCAGATTCGTTGAAAAATTTGTATAAATTATGAGAATTTCACGCCACTTGTTTTTAAAGTCACCCTTAAATACCTAATTTGTAAGGCTTAAAGTTTCTTCAACCGTGAATCGGACAGTGCCCAAAGATAGAAGCTACTTGACAAGCACATCAACAAGTGGGTCAATATTAAAGTAAGTGATTATTTTTGTGAACGTTTAGTTTGCCGTTAGGTCGGCTTTCATAAAGTTGAAATTGCAAAAATTTTATCATGAGATACGTAGGTACATCGAATCGATGGCTTACAAAACATATATTAACAAAAATTATTAAGTCTAATTTTTTTTACGAATGCATACGTAAAATATCGTAATTTTTACATAAGCAGAATCGCTATTAAATTAATATTGATGTAAGCGGTTCAAAAACGGCACACGAGAATATCATGGATACGATAACCGATTCTTAGCCAATCGGGAACCTTGGATTCGCAGGAGACCGCTTTTAGCCATGTGTGTATCATTGCCTTGTATTGATTCTTAAGTTATTTATCGCTCGCATTAATACTTTGTAAGGTATTTTAAAATGTTAATGGGTACCCGTAATCTCAGATGCATGGTTCAAGAGAGTGAAGAATATATACTGAAAGCTATAACCAACTAACTTGTATTGATATTGGAGCAACAGTTGAACCAACTCATTGGTATTGATTTTTTTAACAGTGTCTTCTCGGCTTTTATAAGAATTTGGACACGGTTGTTATTTTCTGGTCGCGATGCAATTCCGCATGCGGAACGCGAAATTGCATGAATTACTACATGTTGTATGGCACTGATTGCATGCAGAAATTTATTTAGCATCAAGTACGTACATCGCTTTAGTGGCCAAGTCGATGTGCATAATGTCTTGAAGATCCACTCACACGAGTTCTCAAAGCATGTATAAGTCGCATCATGACATACGTAAGTGTCTGTCTGTCCTGCTAAACATTACAGTCCCCTGCAAGTGATTAAAAATCGATTGCTTAGTCGGGCAACTGGCGTCCCGGGATATTTGCGGAATACCAAATTGCATCGTAACCTTAAAATAGGTACTCCGTTTGTCGCCTACCTTCTTTAAAGCAGTGTCGACAAGCCATTAAACGAATAAATAGTTAACAGAGATGGCGGAGATGCAGCGAATCGTATCAGTCAACGTGTCGTCGTAATAAACCGGCTTCATTATTTCTCCAGAGTTCATGGTTCGTTTACTCACGGACCTCTTTTTACAAAACAGTGTAACATATAAGATAACAAAAAAAAAAAAAAATATTTATGTTTTTGACAGATCAGACAGACATTTATTTCTTCTGTTATTTATGTTCTAATTCCATCTGTCATCCGCGTTTACGTCATATCATACTATTGCACCGCAAATTATTCCTTTCATTATAATTTCACTTTATGAGCCATAAAGTTTTTTATAATGAAAATACTGTTTGATTAATTCTTTATATTTTATGAATGGTTTCAAATGTTCATCTTTTATTCATAATTTGTTGAATCGGCGTACTTCGGTAAGTATTTTTCCGTAACAATTAAATAAGAAGTGTTTCTAATATTTGTTTATAATTTTGACCATTTATTTACAATGAAACGTTTGTATAATATATGTTTTCATTACTATCTTTTTAGGTAAATCTGAAGACCATGGATATTCTGCGTCATTTTCAAACGTTTGCTTGGTAAGCAATTTTAAATTTCATTCAACACTTATACGACGTACTTAGAGGTTTCGTTTATTGTATTAAATAACAATAAAATTTTATAAATGTTGAACGTAAGTAAGAATTTGAAAATACTTGAATGGGGAAAATAGTTGCAAAGTTGTCTTTAACTAACTGAAGCTTCTATTTTTCTCAGAACTAAGTTTAAGAAACAAGTTTTGTTTTAACTTTTTGTAATACACAACACAGCTTGTGTTAATTTTCACAATTTTCATAGGTTATATATTGGTAGGAGATGTCATAAGGTCAGTTTGATCTTAACTCCTTATTCTCATTTATGATAAATACATACTCCTAGCTTTTGTATATAGTTGAAACTGATTTTATCTGTGTATATTGTTTCATATAATTATGATCTTATAAACTTTTAAGGTGTAAGCCAGATTGGTGCTACCCAAGTATGGGAAAGGAAACAAATGAACTTCTCAGGCAATGCATAGATTTGCCTTCGGTCACGCTGGTGGATGACATTGAAGAAATCATTAAGAAGAGTAAAGCATTTCCAATACCTTTTCCAATTGAGACTGTCAGGTAATCTTCTTTTATTGTTTAAAATATTTTTAATGCCGTTTTTTGATTAGGATTATTATTCTATGTTCAACGCTAATCTGCATTCAAGATGAAATTTAAATGTTATTTATGCACCATATGTGCATCATGTGATAAACTATTCCATTACTCACATTTATTACTTGTATTTAAATCAAATTTTAATATTTGACTATAAGGTAAAAATACTTAATGAAATAATAGAAAGTTATTATTTCATTAAGTATTTTGAATTAAAAATTTCACAGGTACAATTATTTATATAACTTCTGAAATTGAACTGTGTAAAGGTAAAACATTTCTTGGAATTTAATTTTTTTTTCAAATAACTGTTGCCAATATACCTCAATTGTTAAGCTACTATCATTGTAAAATTCTAACCTGATGCATAAATCTATCATGTATAGAAGAAAAATCATAAATTTAAATTTTGTTTTAGATTAGAAAAATTACAAGTCCGGAGGCCAGTTGAAAAGCTCAGAAGAAATATTGTCTCCACTTATCCCCTCATTCATGAGAGAGTTCTGCTCCTAATGACACACTTTCTAATTTATAAGAGGTATCATATTATTTTTTAACATTAATGACAATCATTGTCCTGTGATGTTTATACATGCAATTTTAAGTGAAATATACAACTTCTATTAATCTGAATATATTGTTTTGCAGGGAATTTGGTTCAAACATAGAAAAGGTACTTTACAAAGACATGTCAGTCCCGGAGCTGATTGATAGGATATTGAAGAAGAGAGCTGTCACTTTTATGGGAAAATTGGATACTTATAAATTGCTCACTGGTGAACAGGGGTAATTTCAGTGATGAATAATGTTCTTATTTATGTATTTTTGGTTCTGATATTTTTACACTCATATGTGAAATTTTTCCCAATACAAAAGATTTTTTCAAAGCCACTATATCTTAAATTAGTTGAAGCATTTTTTTTAAACTTTAGAATCTCATAGCTGAAATAACAGAAGCAAAATGGAGAATTAAAAAGATAATTATTTTGCGATAGGGCCACACAACAGCTTCTGCTCTTGTGCTTTATTTACTATATCGGAGACAAACAGGAACAAAAGAGAAAATAAAAATTAACATTCAGCATGCAGATATTTACAGCTGCTCCCTTAACTAAAGTCTCACTGAGAACAAATTTGTTATTAGTCGGGTTGTGAACATAAGGTGAACCGACTGTCACATGACAACTTTTCACTTAATAAAAAGAATATACACACAAATAATTGAAATCTTCGGCTTTCAGGAGAGAAGGTTGGGAATCGGTTGGCACTTTACATCAGAAGCCACCGCTGGTGCTGGAGAACTGCCTGAGCTATGACGAGATTAAACTGGCCTCGATGGTCTATGTCAGCGGGCATACAGAGTGTATTAATGACGGAGAAAGAAATAACGCCGGCGTCATAAGGGAGGAAATAGCGGAGGACGATGCAGTTATAATAGGTACAATTTTTACAAACAATTTTATAACAACAACCAAAGTTACTTCAACAAACCAAAGCGGTACACTGTCCGACACATCAAGGGTCCCTTTGAGTTAAAAGCTTTAAAAAATAGAGATAGGTACCATCTTTTACTACTAAATAAGACGGTTCTTTTTTATCAATTAAACTCATTCTAAAATACGCAGCCTCGGCTGTTGCACAAATGGGCAGGCCCGTCCGGGTAAGTCACGACCTCAGAAGACCAGCTTAAAGTGGAAGTATGACAAATACTTTCGCGTTTATGATGAGGTAGCCGGAGCCCAATTTTCAAAAGGTTGTCAACACATCTGTAACCCTCCGGTGTAGCAGATGTCCATGGGCGGCGGTATTCACTTACCATCAGGTGAACCGTCTGCTCTTTGACAACTTTTCACACACATAAAAAAAAAAAAAAACATTCTAATAATAGCAATAACAGTTCATCAACCTAGACCTGTCTTATGATTGATTTCACTTTCAGTCAAATATACATTTATATAATTATGTATATTCATGTCCCAAAAATGGGAAGGATTACGTATATATAGTAAAACAAAATCATAATTCTATTTGTATGCATAGTATAGGATCATTTACCTACAATTTGTTTTTATGAGACACCTTTGCACTGGTTACAAACACTCAAATAGCTTTAACAGAACTCTTACAAACGACTCTGTACTATTTGTAAGATAAATCACACAGAAAAGAATCCTGCTATACAGGGTTGTGCCGTGTGTGCGAATATTAAATCACATAGAAAAGAATACTGCTTGGTAGTATTTATAAAAACAATTTGCAGGACTTGTGGGTCCGCGTTTCCAGCGTCCGGGTCGCATGGACTATGAGGATATACTGATCACCGAGCAACAGAACTGCCTAGAGCACGGCTACGGTGAGGAAGTGACGCCCACAACTTGCCTCAACGTGCTGAAGACGACCTACGTGAGGAACAACCAGTCAGCGAAGCACATGTGGAGACAGATGTGGTCGGAGTTCTACCAGGTGAGCTGTACTATTGTAAAAAATTAATTTATCACGTTTTTCACCACTGACTAGCGCGTTTTGTACTTTAAATACAGTTGCTAATGACATAGATTTGTTCCATTGGTTATTGAACGAGTTCACATTGGCTATGTTCCTTGTTTAGTTATAGTTATATATTATTTTTCACTGTATTGGAACTTCAACTTCGCTTTAGGTATAACCTGTAGTGGTAGTTGTAAGTTGATGTATAAAATAAAATAAAGTGTCAGTCTACATATGTCCCACAGCTGGGCAAAAGACTCCTCGATATTGTGGGCAAAATTCACATATTGTCTAAATATTTTTTTGTTACGTCACATCTTCCTTCACTGCTGATGATGATTTTCGGAGATAGTGATGGAACTCATAGAAACATGACAGGAAATCAACCCGCGATTGCTGCTGTCGAATAATTATGCATTATTTTGCATGTAACGTTGTAATAGTTACGTACATCATTTTAATTGAAGTCGGTTCTTTTTTTTTGTTAAAAAACTTTTTTTATACTTATAAATACATGGGAAAGTTTTTAAAATTCGTTAGAATTTAGTTATAATTTGTATAGTATTAATAAACTAGTGAAGTTTAGTGAAAAATTATTGCATTACCGTTAATTTATTGGAAATGTTACTACAGTTTATTGGAATAGATGTTCAATTGCTGTATAAAAGGTATCAACGCATGTCAAATAGACATTAAATTGTTGAAATGGTTATCTCTATACCTTCTGATATTATTACAGCTCTTTTAGATGTCCTACTTTACTGTGTTAAACTTTGTGCAAGTTTAACACAGTAAAGTAGGACATCTACCATTTTTTTAAATGGCAAACGAACTGACATTACACTTGATGTTAAGTGATAACCGTCCATAGATATTTGCAACACCCATAGGGTTGCAGATGCGCTGCCACCTTTAAACAAAGTGGGCCCCGGCTACCACACTCACCACAAGAAACGCAGTAGAGTAACACTTCTACTTTACGCTGATCTTCCGTGAGGTAGTGGCATTTTTCTAGACGGGCCTGCTGATTCGTCCAAAAACCACAGTTAATTATCTATGCATTTCCTCACTGCTCAGGTCCACAGCTATACCTACGAGGAGCTGACCTCCTACGTGAACATCCAAGAGAAGTCAGAGGACAAGAGGTACACGGACAGATATGTGAAGAAGCCATCCAGCGAGGATATCTTCGACAACGAAGTGTACTACAAGAGGCTGTGTGTTCTCGCAGAGGTGGCGCTTTTGGAGGCGGATTTTAGGGCCAAAGAGGCGGGGAGACAGGCATTCCTCAACATCATTGGATGCGGTAAGTTTAAACCACTAAACATTACCCTATTTACTAAATGAAACTATTTCTCGGATTTATCGCGTTTATTTGCTTATACCGGTGGTAGCCCGAACTAACAAAGACACTCAGACGTTTAATGCCTCAGTCTGTCCTGTGACCATGAACGATGTAAAGTGTTCGAAACGTGAAACTAAAAATAAACACGATAAATCGGTAAAATAATTACATTTAGAAATTTGTAATCGCATGAATACAAGAAATTATAATAACTCGATTAGTTTCTATAAAACCAATTTAGAAATTCATCAAGATATATATTTGATATATTCATGTCACACCGTGTAAGTCGAAAAATTAAAAAAAAAAACCCGCTGAGTTTCTTTCGCCGGTTCTTCTCAGTACAGTGGCTTTCTTTTCCAAACCGGTGGTACAATTTTGACTATCAATAAGTGAGTGTAATGCTAGACATTACACTCATTGAATAAAGATATTTGAATGTTCCTTTTTTTTATAAATGTTTCCTCTTCGGCAGTGAGTGAGAGGTTTCTGTTGCAATTTTTAATGACTATTTAAAAATTAACTGTTTAACTAGGTGGGCACTGCATGATACTCAATTAACCAAGCCGGGGAACTTAAACTATTTTTGATGTAAGTGTCAATTTTTAGGTTTGGGTGTTTGGAGGATATCGTTACACCAGCCCGATGTGTACATCCTGACTTTTTTGGAGAGGATACGATCGTTCCTTAAGAAGGATTTGTTGAATCACGTCTCCGATGTCAACTTCGCCTTCATAACGCCGAGCAAGGGGATATTAAGTAAGTTGATATAAATTTTGAATGCTGTGGGATTCGAACCTACGGTCTCGCGATGTAGCAACTAAGCTAAGCCGATGACCTCACGGCATGAAAATGTGGATATATATCTGCGTTATTTCTATTGCATCTATTAACATTAAGAGCGAAGAGGACAAATTAAAATTATTAAATCCCTAGAGGAGGCCTATGCTCGGCAGTGGACGCTTGCAGGCTGAAATGATGATGATGAAGAGCGAAGGGGATATGTCCTGTTACAAATGTTTACCGTTGATTATTCTTAGTAAGGCGTTGTATGCTGTAAATGATGCACACTAGACGGCAAATTTTTACAGTGCCAATATCTCTACTTGAAACATTAAAATTTATAGAACAAGTGACAGAAAGTGTTTCACCGCTGCGGGAATCGAACCCACGTCTTCCGGAATCTAATAACCACTGGAAATCTCAACGTATTTTTTTTATTTATTTATTTTTGTATTTATATAGTATTGCTTAATACTTGGTGCATCTATTGTTAAGTGCTCATTGCTTCCCATCTTGTTTTAGATCTATTCACAAACTCTGAAGTAGCCGAAACGCCAACCGAGAAGAGGATATTCTTCGAGAGCAAACGGCATCCGAAGGGTAAACTTTACTAGAGCTTAGAAATTGGCCACAACATACGAGTTCTGAGTTTGATTCCATTTTTAGAAAAACGTTTGTTTCAGTTTAAATTTTCACTTTTAGTTATTATCAGCGTGCTTATTTGTAAAGTTATTTTTCAAAACTTAATTAACGTTAAAGTAAATGATAATGCTTTATGTGAGGAGGCACGCTGTTTTAAACATTCTTAAATAGACTGTTAGATACAAATATTTTACATAAAAAATTACAAATACAAGCAAATTGTGTGTGGTTTTAGAACTTCGTGCCAATATTAAGGGCGGTGTTTTTATCTTCTTTAAGCAACAAATTAAATAGTACGATGGCATTCAGGCATTATCGGTGGTATGTCCACACAACAGCCTCTGTTGCACGAATGGGCAGGTCTCTCCAGGTAAGAACCAGGAAGCGTTGTACTTCTGCGCTTCGTCTGTTGAGTGAGGTAGCCGGGGCCCACTTTATTGAAAGGTGGCAACGCATCTGCAACCCAACGGTTGTTGCAAACCTACATGAGCGGCGGTTATCACCTAACATCATTTGAACCGGCAGTACTTTGTATTTATTACTAAGATTTCTTATTGTTTTTTAATCTTGTGTTAAAGTTTTTTATTGTTTCGCTAATTCATTTTTCCTTTTGTAATCGCTTGCTTAACTGGCTATATTCGTCGGCAGGTGGCATCAACGTGCAATTAGAGAACAGGCACCCTTCGGCGAAACTCACGGGAGAGCATGAAGGCAAACTGCTGGTGATGACCTATCCGTGGGATGGAAATGCACACCCTGGCAACGAGTTCTGGTTAGTTGGCCAATTGCATGTATGCAATTTACATTTTTGAATCTTAAGTTTTAAAGGGGATAGATAAATAACTAATTTTCACAAAACTTAAAGGTTTAAAGCATAAGATACGCCTTCAATACTGTAAGAAGTTGGTGCATAGGTCTCGCTAGCTGGAAATCGAGGGTTCGATCCCCGTATCAAATTGACCGTTTCAATTTTCCTGTGAAATTATCAGAAGAAATATAAATCACCAACTATTATTATCCGGGTTGACTGTCTTTCTATCATTTTTTTGAAGTTACACTTTTGTAGCATTTGGAAAAAAATGATAACAGTGATAATAGGCACAATCTTCTTGTTACTATGGTAACCGATATTTACCTATAATTCCAAGTTATTTGATTTAATCATTATCTGTTGCATTTACTACCTTCATTCACAAAAAAAAGTACTGGCAAATATAAAAAAATTACTTATTTTTCATTTGTTACTCTATAGAAGTATTTCCAATTAAGTAAGCACGTCCGTGTAGGGATGTCGAAAAAGTATCGATATGTAAGTATAGATATTTTTTCGGCATATTATATTTTTGATTCATATAGAATCGATATTTACAGCCGATATATTTTGATCCAATATATCGATATAAAATATTAAATATCGAAAATCGTATCAAAAACTTTTAAACTTATTTTTTACAAATTCTAATCCGGAACAGAATCCATAGGTGTGAAATGTTTAATACTCGACATACTTTTCTTTTCTGGCCAAAGGTTTCTAGGACTGTTTTCTCTTCGATACATCCAGGTTGACATTGATATTTTTATACATATCGATACATCGATATATTTCTTCACTTTCGACATCCCTACGCTTGTGGATTAACCACACAGAGTCGCTTTTAGGTGTCGCTCACTAATTGTAAACGACTTCAAAATTCCACTAACATGAAACGCGCCAAAAAAGTGTAACTTCAAAAAGCGCGTGCATGTTGGGTCGGTCTCGCTCGTCCCCAGGTGCGTTGAACGTTCAACGCAACAGTGCTTGACACCCGATCCGCGGCAGCGTTAAACGCTCAACGCAACCCCGTTGCGAGTCGCATTAGAAGTTTCACTTGAAAGCGTGTGTGTGCAACGAGTCCGTTCGCGGCCCAGGCTCGGCAGCCTGAAGTCGTCCGGGGACCCGGCCGCCGCGTGTTCCACGCAAGTGGCCGAGTTGCACAACGCGCACGTCAACCCGGCCGTGAGCGGGCACAACGCGCGGGTCGCCGGCCGCTCCGGCGTGGGCACGCTCAGCGAGTATTGCGCCTCCCTCTCCGCGTAGGGGGCGCAAGGGTGCGTGCGTAAGGGACGGACGATTTGCGGTTCAGTAACAGCGTTTATGTATGTTTGTATGGATTTGTCGAACATCTCTCTGACTGGGCTTTGGGGTCGCTAAAACGTCATCTGTTATATTCAAGCGATAATGGCACCTATGGTAATGTGCTTAGGTTGAGGTTTGTATGAACTATGTTAGGGCAATAATGTTCTCCATGTGGATTCCAAATAAAGGTGGGTTTCGTAAGAATCTGTCGAATCTCTTGCCTCCCGCTCTGCGTAGGGGGCGCGCGGGTGCGTGCGAGCGGATGGGATGCGTAAGTTTACGTCTGACGTGTAATTAGGCAATAATGGTTTTGTGCGCTCATTGTAATAAAGGTATTTATATTATAATATGAAGTCTTACATCTCTTGCGTAGTTTATGCGGTATGCGTGTGTGAGCGAGACGGATGCGTTAATGCACTACTTTTGTCATCAGGCAATAATATTATCTATGGGTGTAATAGAAATGAATTTTGTATGAATGTTTCCCCTTTAACATGCAAAGAGGTGTATTGTGGAATTCTCGCCAGGCTATAATGAACTCTAATGAACTCAAAATCGTTATTTATGCGCACATTAGACGGAATTCATTTATACTGTATAAGTGAGAGAGATGGATCTAAAATATTAGGAATTGTAAAAATGGAATCTAATCTTAATTTATTTTTGGGTGATAATTTTTGTAAAAAAAATGTACTTTTTTCAAAATTAGAAGGGCACTTTTGGCAACCCTTAGCGCGTGCAAATGGAAGTTTAAAGGAGTGTTTTGACGAGAAGTGCGCCTACCACGTTTTTTAACTAAAACATTGCCTCTTTAGCATACACATTTTTAAAAGCAATCTTATCTATTGAAATAGAGAGAAAGAAAGAAAATTATTTATTTGGTACATAAACACAGTAATTTTGTTACAAAGAAAGAAAACAATTTTAAATGCTAAATATGAATGCACCAAAAAGGTTTCCACTCAGCGTTAAATTCACGAAGTTTAAAAAAAAACTTCATGAGGGCTGATTTTCAGTGGAGCCTAGATAAGGAGATAGATGGCAATACCGTCAGCTTACACAAATATCTTACAAACATAAGTAATAGATCTAAAAACTATCAAATATGCACTGTTCCTTCACGGCGCTGCTTACCCCATTAAATTAAAAAGGCGGTCACACGACTGAGTGAGCGAGAGAGTAGACTCGAAGTCGAAGTATGAATGAGACAATATTTTAAACTAAGTCGTTTATCATTTTGTATGGGTATTTTCAACTTATGTAAGAATTTAGGAATTCAGGAATGTGTCTGTGCGTCATCTCTCTGTTAGGCTATTTCGAATTTTATGTCTGCGAAACAAAGTCTGTTGACTTGAATGTTTATTTATTGCTTTGTAATAGACTGCATCTTGCCCTATACAATTCGTTAAAACGCTTAATGCAATAGCTTTAAGGTTCAATTTGTTTCGAATAATGTCAAATATTTCTTCGAATACACTAATAGAAAGGTCTAATGAACAAAAACAATTATTAATTTATTTTAATCGTTTTCGATGTTTCCAGCAATTGTTTATCTCTACATGGAATGGTATTTTTTTTTTAATTCTACTTTAAGGATTTTCCTATTAATTATTTGTTTACATAATATCCATTAATTTAGGATAATGTATCGAATATTGTTCTTTTTTTTAAGAATTTACCATGATGTGCACAATTCTTAATGCAAAATAATTCGTGTTAGTTCAAGCATGCTGTTTTGAACTTGATAGGCTCTGTCAAAAGTTGACAAATTCACCAATTTCACAGTTTCAATTCAAATATATCTTTTGAAACGTTATTACTACGTTGCCAACTTGCCAAATCTTTTTTATAAGTGATAAAATTAATTCGTAGAGACTTATAAATTGAGACTGGTGATATGGATTAGGAGTGTTTATTTGATGAATCTATTTTGGCTGAAGGATATCTATTTAGAAACCTGAAAATTAGACAGGGATAGATTATAGATTCTATTGTCGTCTCTCTCCAATTCTATTTCGTAAGTATGTAATGAGTTTATGTCCTTAGAAAATTCTTGATCGAACAAAATACATTAAATTAAAGTAACAAATAAGTGTGATGGGAAAGAGACAGAGCGTAAATGCGACGGTACGTTATCTCTTTCTACAGAGACGTGTGATGTCAGACATATTTAGTGATATTGAGAAAATGATAGCCGTCTCTATTGCTCTACATAAGAACGACAGAGAAGGCTATGGGAAAATAAGTTCTATTTCTCCATATCTCATTTAGTGACCTATTTCGTCGTGCGAACAGCACATGATTTTTATAATTATTATAACCTGTTTTATATAATGAACTTGTTGATTAAATGTTTTCTGCAACATTGTTTAGTCGAATATAACAAAAAGCAATTGTTTGTGACGTGTTGGAATAAATCTGAATCCTTTTCTGTTAGCAGTAACCGTAGATTAAGCGAATCATTCACCGTTGAAAATTACAAGAATTTTATGTTTACCTTGTTTTTGCTCTTTTTTATTTAAATTTAATACACATTACGTATAGTCCAAAAACAAAACTGCACTGAAGAAAAGTGATTCGAGAGAACAGCTCAAAGAAGTTGCCTCGCGTACAAAAATCCTAGATGAAATCCCTTTAATCCTAAAATCCAGCCCACAAAAGTAATAACAACGTTGTTCGAAACTGTACACCGATATTTAGTGGGAGCAAGACAGAAAGCGTAAGAGAAGGCGATACACAATCGAACTTCAGCAGATTGTATTATTATTTGTTAATATGTCCTAGGACTAAAATGTTTCTAATATTCAAACTATCTTTTATAACAGAACTGCGACTTCAAATTTTTTCGTGATGTAAAATTTAATTTTCGTAATTGTCTCTATTTATTTTTCTGTAGAGTTGACTGTAGAGAACACTTAGTGGTATTAAGTCCGCAATTGTATACTATTGTGTAAAAAGATTTAAAATGAATAAAAACAAATATCTAAAATAAAATGAGTCTTCGCCGGAGTAAATTTACAATTATTATCATCAACCCAGTCTAGATCCAGTATCAGACTATTATAGATTATAGTAACGGTTGTTATTTGCTGTCGATTTGACGTGTGTATATTTAATTTTGTAATCTGTGCTTTCTAATGTAAAATTATCTATATCGTAGCCTAATTTTTGTAACTCAATATACCTAACTAAATAGCGGTAGAGGACTTTAAGTTTTAATCACTAATGGCATTTGTTATGTTTATTTCTCATATAAAAAATATATGCAGCTGTTATATTATAAGTTGTTTTATTTACCATTTTAATGAGTTTTAAGTATTCGACCAAACAGTACCTATTGTCAATATTCTGTTCGATATTATTCGAGGCAAAAAAATTTCTATTGCATTCCGCTCTGAATGATTGGCGGCAACAGTGCTATTTCGAAAACTTGATCAAACGAAATCGTCGTTATGACGGAATTAATTACCATTCTAGTCCGTTGGTTAACTGTGGTAGTGGTGGTAGAAGCAACCTTGTAGAAGAACGGCGTGAAATGGAAGAGTTATACTTCTGCGATTCGTCTAATTTTTCTAATTCATTCACTAATGAGGTAAACGGAAAAGCTGGCAACACATCTACAACTCTTCGGGTGTTGCAATATCCATGGGCGGCGATTATCATCATACGTCGGGCTTACTGCCAGCTAGCTTGCCATCTTATATAAAAAAACTACGACACCGACACCGAAGCCAAAAGGTTAGCACCAATGTTAAACAAATTGTTTTCAGGTTCCACTACGGATGATGGTGTAAACACCATCGCCCAAAGACAAACAATTCTTCATAAACAGTAATTATAAATGGCGTATAATTATATAATGTCGTAAATATAAAACAACTCCAACGTTGAGTTAGTAATTGCAACGAAGCGTAAACATGTCTAACAAAAATCGGAGGCAGCTGAAGTGAGTAAATGGCGCAAATATGAGTCTTTATGTTCAGATTATGTATTTGTGCCATTTGCTGTTGAAACATTAGGTCCGTGGGGTCCCCGCACATCAATTTTTTTTAAAAGTTTATGTCCTAGGCTTAACGCCGCGGCTGGTGACAAGAGAGCTGGTTCTTTTTCTCGCTCAAAGGTTAAGCATAACTATTCAGCGAGGAAACGCAGCTAGCGTTCTTGGCACCATGCCGCGTGGATTAGGTTTATTAGATAATATGTAATTTTAGATAAATTTAATCTTGTAAATATTAGATCAATAAAAATTTAAGAAATGTACAAAAATCAAAATCATTTATTTATCGACATAAGAAAAATACATTTCATTTATCGATAGTCATTTTTTTAATCTACCACCGTTTCGTAATGAGGTTCCTCTAACCATAGATAAGACATATATGCCTCTAACGGAGAAGAAACAGGCGAAAGAAACTAACTAAACGAATTCTGAAACAAAATGAAAATATTATACAACAAATTTTTCTTTTAGAAATTTGCCTCGAAAGCAATCAACTCATTTCCAAGGGTTGTTGTCATTAATGTATTAATTTATATTATAATGACCCTTTTTGTAAAGTTTATCTTTAATTAATTTCTTAAACCTGTTGATAGACAGGCTTCCTGGTCAATATCTCAGTAAATGTATATAGCGTATATGTCGCGCCCCATGAGTTACTTACTCTATGGAGTCTAGTAACTGGCGTTACAAGCTTGTGTTCGTTCCTAGTATTTACATTATGAACATCAGTATTCTTATCAAAATTATTAATATTTCTACGTACATACATTACATTTTCATATATATATTGAGAGGCCAAGGTTAATATATTTATTTCCTTAAATTTCTCTCTCAGAGATACATTAATGTCTAGATTATAAATTGCTCTTAAGGCCCTTTTTTGCAAAATAAAAATTGTTTCTACATCGGCTGCGTGCCCCCATAGCAAAATACTATATGACATTATGGTATGGAAATAGCTAAAATAAACAGTTCTATGTGTTTTTACGTCAGTTAGACATCTTATTTTCCTAATAGCATACGCCGCAGAACGTCTGTTGGCAAGTTTGGATATATGGAGGCCCCCATTGTAGTTTTGCATCAAGAGTAATTCCAAGAAAAACAGTTGTTTCCACAAGGCCTAACTCTTCTCCATTTATAAGAAATTTGGTAGCTCCCAAATGTTTAACATTAAGTGTTGAATATTTTATACATTTAGTTTTAACGCCATTTAATAGTAAAGTGTTAGCATTAACCCAATGAACTATTTCTGATAGCATTATTTACCTCGTTAAGAGTAGCAAGGTGTCGATCGATTTTAAAAATGAAGGAAATATCATCGGCAAATAACACTATACTTATCATGTTTATTCCCTAAAAAGTAAGGTAAATCATTGATTGATATAGATGAGAAAGAGAAATAGGCCAAGAATAGAGCCCAGAGGAACGTCCTTTGACACCATCGAGCCAGAAGAACTTGCACCATTTAATACAACTGTTTGGATTCTGTTACATAAATATTACTTAAAGAGGTCAAGTGCGGTACTTCTAATGCCATAACGACATAGCATTAATGAATACCAAGTCAAAGTATAACTTTTAAGCTGGAACAGAAGTTTCCTATAAATAATATACTGACGACCTGAATGGCGTAGTGGTTAGTGTACCTGCCTCCTGCGCCAGAGGGTGTCGGTTCGATCCCCACTACTGGAAAAATATTGTGTGATGAACATAGTGTTTTTCTAGTGTCTGGGTGTTTATATATCTATAATATGTATTTATTTACAAAAGAAAAGTATGTTTAAGTATGTTTATCAGTTTTCTAGTACCCATAGTACAAGCGTTGCTTAGTTTGGGACTAGAAAATGTTGTGTAAGAATGTGTCCTAAAATATTTATATTTATTTATATTATTTAATATATTATCTACTTATTTAGAATATAATAAGGTAATTGGAAATTAGTACCTAATCTTGGCAGTTAATAAAATAATATTAAGTACATCATATACAAAACTTAAGTCATAGATTAGTAAAAATCTACGTGTGCCCAATTGTTTAGCTAAACGATCTGAGCTTAATGCTTATACAAATTAATAACGCGCTCTTCTCGCGCTAAACATCGTACCACCATCATTACCCTGAGACAGCCTACACAACACGATTATACATAAGCCTAGGGATCTTCAAATACGAATAAGTACTCGATACTTTTATTTTCATGCCAAGTCAAATCATTTATTCATCGAAATAAGAAATATACATTTCATCTATCGATAATATTTTTTTAATCTAGGTTAAACCGTTTCATAATTAGGTTTCTCTAACGAAGAAGAAACAGGTGAAAGCAATTCCGTAGGTATCCTGCTTATCACTTTTTTCCTCAAGACAATAATACATTTATAGATTCACTAGCGACCCGTCCCGGCCTCGCACGGGTGTAATGTATGTCTAAGCATACATATGGACAGACATACAGCGGAATACATTTTTGAGTTTGTCAAAAAAGACAATTTTAACATAATTATTAAAGTACCATTGAGTTACGAGTTCTTTGCTTAAAACAACAATAAACTGGATAGTAATTGGAAAGGTTTCATTATCAAAAAAACCAAACAATGTTTTCACAACGTATGGTGGAAAAATAAAAATATCTGAAAATATTCGAAGCTTTTCAGCTAATCTCTTTTGAGTTGGTATTGCTTCACAACTGAATACTCAACAAAGATTCCTATACTATATATTTGTGTGAAAACCGGTTGTTATGAAATAAATTAAAAAAGTAATCAATCATCGTACAATCTTCTTACATTTTGATTAAAAAAATCTTAAAAATATCGATATTCGACACTTAACGGGTAGGTATCGATATATTGTGGATATCGGAACACCCTAATTAAGCTTCTTTGATTATTTATTTATTTGTCTATAAGACACATTGACCGTACCGAACGTGTTAATATAATATATTAAACGTAGTGATTATATTCTCTTTGGTACCGAATAGCGCAAATAAAGTATACTCTAATTGGTAGATTCGCTTCTCACTTACGTCAGTGTCATTTGAATCACTTACGGATAACCTGCTCAGGAAAATTAATTATTTATGCCGGTCTGTGCTGTCAAATTGTGTCGCAATTATGTCAGAAAAACGTATAATAACACCAAGATCACTTATCATCGGTTAGTTTTGTTATTTAAGCATTAGTTTCAGAAAACACGATTTTTTTTATGCGCTATTTTCTAGGTTAGTTAGTAATTAGCCGGTGTTGTCAGTTTATTATTAGGGAGATTTGGGAAATTAATGGAAACAAAAAGCAAATTTTATTATCTTTTGATATTTGATCAGAAAATAATAATTAACCTAAATAAAATAAAAGAAACCCGTGACATGCACTAAATTGGATATTTTTAGTTCTTTTTTCCATTTTTTAACACATGTTTTGTAACGTAAGTTTGTATCTACTAAGATAAATAAATAAAAAAAGAAGAGTAGTTCTTTTTTTAATTTTGGGGTTTCAGATTTCCTACGGATCCCGAACTAGCAGATCGTTGGAGAGCGATTATACAGCGGACACGAAATGAAGGCTATTGGAAACATCACAAGACTTCAGTCGTGTGTTCTGAACATTTCTCTGATGATGATTTATATTATACAAAAATGGGACTTAGGCGGCTTAAGAATGGATCGGTGCCAAGCAAGGTACGATATGTATTCGATCAAATGTTTTTTTTTTAACTTGGATAAGTTGTGCAGTAAGACTTTTAATAACACACCAAACTTAGAGCAGATTAATTTTAATTATTTGTTAATCTCTAATTATTTTGTTACAGTGTCTGTTTTTGGTAGGGACGGAAACAGAATCCCAAAAAAATATAAAAAAAGTAAGCGGATTGGCAAAACCATTCTACTACTAATTTATAATTTTATAACAATGATATTTAGTTTTTGTACAATAATTTATTTTTACAGGAGCCGTCTGCTTATAATATGGTGAATGATATTGAAAATCAAATTATTGAACCTAAGCCTTCGTCATCGAAGGAGCCGGTGAGTGACGATAATGAACTAACGACCGTTTTACAAGGTTTATCAGACTTGGAATCGGTGTATGATCTCAAATTATGTTGTTACAGTGTCTGCTTCTGTTAGTGGCGGAATCAAAATCCCCGGCAAATATAAAAGCAGTAAGCGGCTTGGCACAATCATTTTACTATTAATTCAGAATTTTACAATAAAAATCATTAGTTTTTGAAACTATTCATTAATTTTTATCAGGAGCCGTCCTCTTCTAATATGGTGAAAGATATTGAAAATCAAGTTATTGAACCTAAGCCTTCGTGCTCGAAGAATCCGGTGAGTGTGAATGAGTTAACCACCGTTTTACAAAATTTTTCAGACTTGAAATCGATATTTGATCTCGAATTATTTTGTTACAGTGTCTGTTTTTGTCAGTGACGGAAACAGAATCTCCGACAAATATAAAACAAGTAAGTGGTTTGGCACAACCATTCTGTTTATTTAACTTTAATTGCCAACCTTCAGTAAAATACGGTAACAAGGGTGGACTTAATGTCCGAAGGCATAATCTACCAGTCAACCCAAAATGCGGCCAGAGTTTATAGTAGGTGCAGCAGAAGATGCATAAAATTTTAATAATGAGAATAAAAATAAGAAATATATAGTAAGTTTTACTATTAATTCATAATTTTAAAATAATAATCATTAAGTTTTTGATATCATTTATTTTTAACAGGAGCCGTCTGCTTCTAATATGGTGATTAATATTCAAAATGAAAAATTTGAACCTAAGCCTTCGGGCTCGCAGGAGCCAGTGAGTGACGATAATGAACTAACGACACAAGATTTTTCAGACTTGGAAACGATATTTGATACTCCAACCGAAGCCAAGTTACGGCGTACATTACGTCGCAAGATAATACTGGAACGTAAACATAGAGCTACCATTAATGCGTTAAGAAAACAAAACATTCGTCTGAAAAAGAGGAATATCGAATTCAAATCTATTATCAATGCTTTGAAAAAGCAAAAATCGATCAATGAAGATATAAATGAAGTGCTTGAGGGAAATTTACTTGCAGATAATTTATACTCGCTTATGTCAAAAAAATTGAAAGGTAAAGGTAAAGGGCCTTTCAAGTACTCCCCGGAATTTCGGAAGTTTTGTTTGACGCTACACTCTATGTCGCCATGTGCTTATCGCTTTGTCAGAAGAACAAATTTCGATACATGCCTCCCACATCCCCACACTTTGCCTAAATGGCACTGCAATATCGATGGTTCTCTACTACTCGGTGAAGATGACATAGAGAAGGAACTTCTATAAATTACCTTATTTTCCATATTTATTCTTACTGAAATAAATAAAACTGATAATCTACAAAATTATTAGTTTATTCAACCCATTTCGTTTAACTTTCATCTTATTAAATAATGGTGAAAAGGTAAGTCGATATTTGGAGCTGGCATCCCTAAACATGTACACCTTGACATTTTGGTTACAATAAATAAATACACTACAGTTTACACTTTACTCACTACAGTAACAGTTTTTATCCCTTTCTAACTAAGGTAACAGTCGTGTAAGTATGAACAGAAAAGCTTTTAACAGCGCGTTAAGCCTTAAGCAACATTTTGTAAGGAACAAGAACTGTTATTTAAGTTTGTTCGAAACAGGTACAGTCTGTTATCTTAAGATACTTGTTTATCTTAAGATACTTAACACGTAACGATAGAATACGCGTCACTGTTTTAGTAGTACTCATACCTTTAACACGTAATCGTAAACAGATTTAGGCCGGGCGTCACGATCATTTACAAACTTATTTTTTTTAATTTCCAAAATCGGTCTTCCAGGTACTATGTATATATAATCGAAATCTCGGAAACGGCTTCAGCGATTTTCATGAAATTTAGTATGTGCATGGATTCGGGGGCGAAAAATCTAGTTAGGTTTCATTTTTAGAAAATGTCCTTTTGTCCCTGTATTCTGGGAATGAAAAATATCATTCGAATATGACGGTAAATTTCGCCGCAAAAGAAAATGTTATAATAGCTCGGTCGGTAATCGGGCGGCCCCGAAACTGAAGGCCGCGGTTCGTGTCACGATCATTAATACACTTATTTCTTTTTACTTTTTTTCTATGCCAGATTTTTTTTATTTCCTAAATACACGATTTACCAAAAAGAACCCTGCGGTCCTCCAGATACTAATCTATACAAATAATTAAAATTGGAGTGTCTGTTTGTAACATTAAAATAGCCGCTTTTTACTAAATGCATATGGATGTATACACGGTACATGTACCAAAATAATTTTTGTCTGTCTGTTTGTCTGTTTGTTCCAGCTTATCTCTGAAACGGCTGGACCAATTTGGACGGGACTTTTACTGGCAGATAACTGATGTAATAAGGAGTAACTTAGACTACTTATATTTTAGATTTTTTTGTTATTTTTAATTCCACGCGGACGAAGTCGCGGGGAATTAACACAGCTAGTCAAATATAAGCGTTTTGCAAAGCACGCCTCTAAGCTCGATCACCCCCATCTGACGGTACAGATAGTACTACCAAGGTAAATGTAAAGCAGAACGCCCCATGCATAGGCGCGTTGTGGCGCGTGTGGCGTGTTCAGTAGGCACTGTGTGTGAATATAACAATATTCACACACAGTGCCTACTGAATACGCCTACGTGCTCGGAAAAAACCAACCCATCACGTATCTGGGTTCTCGGCGCTCCCAGACGCTGATTAATCATATTACAGTCGTCAATCTTTGGGGTCATGCTCGAAGACCCGTCCTGGCAACCCCATCACTTAAAAGACGTTTGCCGTGTTACTATTGGCTTTCTCAAAAAACCGATTTATTAAAAATCGGTTTTAGAATTTTTATAAATAATCGATTTTTGGCATAAATTCGATTAATAAGAAATCGATCCCTTTTTCACATAGCTAACGTCCAATTCGTGGAAACTAACTTTTCCAGAGGTTCGGCATTAGATAAAGATGTATATAGTCTTGAAAGCATAACTTCACTAACTTCCGTTAAAACGAGACATTACGTCTCCTCCAACGGCGTTCACTTCACCACGAAACGTGCTAAGTTCGCTTTATTTTGGAAACGAAAATCATTTATTTACATACTTACATAATATTTCAGAGGTGAAATACAAAAAAATGGTGTCGAAACTTGCTATCGAGATATAACCTAACAAGTCTATTTTTATTAACGAAAAACAAAACCGATGTCAAACAGCTCGCATTGTATTTATTTTATAATTGATTTTTACGAGTTCTCTAAGTATATCCAGAGGCCCAGATCCAATACCAATGAAAATATTTTATAAGGCTCCATGGCAAGCACTAGCTTTCAATACCAATGAAAATTTATAAAAAAGTACAGTCTAATAGAAAACCTCCTCCTTTTTTGTAGTCTGTTAAAAACTTTACGATCCTTACAAACGAACTATTTACACAAAAGTGCCACAGCGCTTAATCAACTATCGTACTTATGTCTATCATATTGTTAAGTATGTACCTTATTACTGTTAGCCTATTTATGCATTTATATTTTATATTGACTAGAAAAGTAGTTTTATCTTGTATACTATCATAATATTTCGATTAATTATAAATTTATGTTCGATAAAACTTTTGTAAAATAGCAATAATCTTGGAAATATGGCAACATTCAAATGTAAATTAAAATCCGATATTTAATTTATTTTTCATAAAGACTTAAATAAAGCTGTAATTAATTGTCACAAATATTGTAAAAAATACTAAACTAATTTATTATGTATTTTTTTTTTATGCGAAAAGTTGCCAAACGAGCAGACGGGTCACCTGATGTTAAGTGAATACCGCTGCCCATGAACATCTGCTACACCCGAGGGTTACAGATGAGTTGACAACCTTTTTGGAAATTGGGCTCCGGCTACCTCACTCACCAGACGAAACGCAAGAGTATTTGTCATACTTCCACTTTACGCTGGTCTTCTGTGAGGTCGTGGTACTTACCCGGACGGGCCAGCCCATTCGTGCAACAGCCGAGGCTACTGCGTGGCCCTACCACCGTTAAATTCATAATGTATTTTAAAAACAAAATTCATAACACAATTAGAATTAAAACGTGTGAATGATGCGTTCCGGGGACTGCCCTAATAGCGGTACAAGGAACAGATCATCTCTATTATCTATTGGCACGGTCGTCGGAAAGAAAAGACATGTAATTCTAATTAGCGAAATATTGTAATAAAATTATAAGAAGAACTTAAGGAATACTTAGTTCAATGTTTAAAACCTATACTTCTGAAGTTATCCTATATTACATACCTATTCATCAGGTGAGCCTCGTGCTCGATTGCTCCTTTTCTCCAAAATGAATTGCAATTCATCTATAGCCATAATGTATTTGTGCGAAAAGATAAACATAACCTTGAGACTTATATTGCGCAGATACTATTGGGTTACGTAACAACTTGTTATTCGCATAATTAGTTGGAGACGCGTATTTAAAACCAAAGATGATGATATAATTAAAGTGTATAGTATATTAAGTCTATAAAGCAACACTGAATAACGATAGGGATAGATTGATAGATAATAACTACTAGAATTAGAAAGTACCAGTTGTTTGTTTAATTTTCACATGTCACACCTAGCCAAAAACAAAAACAAATAACGCCAACGTGCAAGATAAAGATTTTCAGTTCGGCGAAAATATGTTTTGGTATGTCACCTGCGACACACTTGTTTGTACGCAAAATATTTACGTAGAGAGATGTCGACTAAATGGAATTTATGCGATAAGTACTTGTATTACGCCTTTACTTTCAGAAATTATAACGCCGTAAAAATTCCATCCTTTCCCAGTATACGATGTGTTAAATACAAGGTAAGCCATCCGGCTCTTGTCGCATCAATGAATCTGTTCGTCGGAGGAAGTACCCAGACGCACAGAGTACCAGCGTGCAGTTAAGTACCAGGACCCACTCTTTAAACATGTGGCAACTTATCTGCAACCTCACAGGTGTTTAGATGTCGATGGGCGGTGGTTTCGCTTGCCATTTTCCTACATAAATAATCTTTCGACTCTATAAAGCCGAGTCAGTTAAATATAATTTCAATTTAGGCTCGTTTGAAGCAAGTATGAACGTCAAAAGACATCAAATCTAATCACCGGTGTAGAGATTCAGATCTATTATACTATGGTCAGTGCCGGATTAAGCACGTACGTGGCCCGTAGCAAATTATTTCAAAGATCCCTTGATTTGCTATGGGTTCTTAAGTATAAAGTGGTAAAAAAGTAACTCAAAAACCTTTTACCTCAGCGTGAACAAAGTTTGAATAGTTCGTTTAGTACGCTCTGATTGAGGCGCGCACGAGTGACACGAGTAGCATAAAAACAAGACATAAATATACAAAAGTTTTTAGTTATTACATTTTTTTTCATCAGCTTCGTAAAATTTAAAAAATGTTTTTTTTTCTTTTCCATTGTTCATTTTAATCGCTACTCATGTCGAAAATGTGAATATATGTAGAACAACTTTTGCTGTTGCATGTATGAATCTTATTGACCAGAGAAGTACCTCGGTTTTTTTTACACTAACAACAAAACACAATTTACGTTTGTAAAGTAGCGGTATTCACAATAAACAAGTACACGTAGAATAGGTATATATTACAAAAGAAAATCTTTCAATGATTTATTAGATAAATTTAAAGTTTTTTATAGTGCTAATCTCTGCACTTAAGATTGAACATTGTTTTAATGTGTAAAAGTACGAAAATTTATTAGATGTTAGGTTAGGTTAGGTTATTAGATGTTAGATTCCTTACGTTACCAGTTAAATGAAATGTATTAGGTTCTGTGACGTATGTGCCGAAGAGACAGCCCAACACGCACTGGAGGAGTGCCCAGCCTGGCGGGAGGAGCGCCGAGAGCTGAGAGCTATCGTGGGGCACGATCTCTCGTTGCCTGCCGTGGTTCGCGCTATGGTGGACAGCGAGAGGTCGTGGGGTGAGGACATAATCACCCGGAAGGAGGCCGCGAAGAGGTAAAGATAGGCAACTGCAGCCCTGGAAATCCGCTGCCGGAGACCAGGGCGCAGAAGGATGGCCTACGCGCGCAACCTTCCCCCCTGATAGCAAGCCCCGGGGTGGCAGATGTGGGACTAACTGCTGCTCCACTGTGGGCTTTAGAGGGGTGCCGTGTTCATTGGCTACCCACAATGCGGCGGGGGATCCATAAAGAATTTTTCCCACGTAAAAATGTATTATAGGTTATGGAGCATAGAAAAATTTACAGTTAACATTACCCTCTTTTGTTTAGGTTCTATTTCATCGATGGTAGAACAGGTAAAAGAAAAAGTAATTCATTGTAAAGTTTCTGATTTCATCAGCGCACTGTGTCGTTGTGTCTTATCTATCTATCTTATCTAATATATAATACAATTATTTTACTAATACATTTCCTTTTGTAATAATATAATATAACATTTTTATATTTAATAAGAGTGAAATCGTTTCCCAAGTGAGCATTTTATATTTAATAAGAGTGAAATCGTTTCCCAAGTGAACAGTTTTTGTGCCAAGTGGAACAAACACCTGTTGTAGTAGTAGTAAATATTAGTCTTTTTTAAGGTTCCGTACCCATCGGGTAAAACGGGACTCTACTAAATCTGTCTGTCTGTCCGTGGCTGTCAACTGGGTCACCTGGCTGTATCTCATGAAGCGTGTTACTTTGGCAGTTGAATTTTTTACAGGTGATGTATTTCTGCTGCCGCTATAACAACAAATACTAAAAAACAGAGTAAAAAAATAGTTAAGGGAGCTCCCATACAACAGACATGATTTTTTGCCGTTTTTGTAGATAATGGTACGGAATCCATCGTACGCGAGTCCGACTTGCACTTGGTCGGTTTATAAACACCCTGCAAATGCAGAAAAGATAAGAATCAGTGCATAATATCAGCCTTTTACATTTATATATCAAAGTACGTGCGTTTATTGGTATAGCGATCGTTGAATAATTCATAAAAATTTCAGTTAGAAAACGTGCAGTGTTAATGGAACAAGATATATTACAGACATTGTATTTATGCATTTAAACAATAGAGTCCGCCTTTCGATTATCATCCTCATTACAGAATTATTACGTAAATATCACGTTATATTTGAGCACAGAGCATTGGTCGGCATTTTTATTCAGTATATAATGTATAATTGTAAACCTTATATATATATAAATAAATAAGAACATTTGTGTATAGGACTCTCTTTAAATCAAAAACATCTAACATTGTAAATGTAATGTATAACACTACAAAACATTGACTCATGATACGTAACCGTTGCTGACTTTAGTTCGCCGAAACACTTGGATCTGGTTCAAAATCCGATCATACGATGTTTATTTACAAGTAACGCGATTCTCCGCACCACGTGGAGGTGTGGCTAACGTCGTCACCATACGTAGGAGATTAGGTGATTTGTGGACAGGACAAACATGTTTTGATAAAGCTATAAAAGTGGTCGGCGACTCGGTGGTTACCTTAATAAGATTCTTGTTCTCGTTTAAGCAACATAAAATTGTGACCAGTATTTACTAATACATCTACATTTGTAACTTTCATCGGTACAAATTATAAAGTGAATAAATATTAAATCGTTAAGAAACGTAACCTCACGGTTTGTTTGTGTTGTTGTGGTTTTCTGCAGTTGTAGCATTGATCGCGCCACTTTACGTCATTTGCGAATTGTGTCATTGAATTGATCTATTTATATTTGTCCAACGATACCTATTTGCCAAGTCGCTGTGAAAGATTCAAGCTTGACGTTCAAGCTGATAACTTTTCTTTACAAGTAGAATCTATCTTATGGAATCTAGATAATTCTGTGTCGATTGTTCAGTGTGCGTCAAACTACGGGTGAAAACAGTGGTGTACGTGACCGAGCAACTCCACCGATCTACAGTTATCGGAAGAGAAATATATTCATAAACAACAAATGACCCTTTTTCTGTAAATTAATTTGGTTAAAACCGGCTTACCGTGGTCATTTATTGCAAAAATGTCTTCTCTCGGCGGGCAGTGGAGAGTTATACGACATTATTTGTCAGTGTCCAACTTGAATGCTGAAGTTGAGAAGTTGGTGCAGAAACTTAAACCTGCTACGCCTGAACAGTGGGAAAGTAAGTTCTTTTATAAATTTTCTTCAGATTTTTTAGAAGAAATAGTGTCGCAATGAAATAAATATCGATATCATTTTCTTTACATTGTTTACCTTTCAACATTAGTAAACAATAGATATTTAAAGTATTTTAAACAAGAAACACATGACAAAGATTCGATATTTTTTTCACATTTATAATGTCCCGAAGTTTTAATCTACTCATCCATAACTTAAAATTAATAATAATGGTTATCAAAAATGTTTTTCTAAACAAAAATATCAATTGTGTGCTTTTAATCAACACAAGCTATACTTGTGTGAAATTTGTGAATAATTGAATATATTTATTGTTACTGCTTCGCGCTTTGTAGGAAAATGGCTTGAATAGGAAAATTGTAATAAAACCATCCAACATTGGGCTATTTAAAAAAATTTAGGTAACATTGGGAATGATTTAGCTCAGCTCAAGTACTCTGGATATATTCAACAAATTGCAATTGTTAATAAAACCATCCAACATTGGGAAGCTATTTAAAAAAATTTAAGATTGGATTTAGCTCAGCTCAAGTACTCTGGATATATTCTGTGTAATATTTTGGTATTATTTATTTTGCCACATGCTTTAGAAAAAATTGACATTCTACATTCTATTGTCATTTAATTGTTTTTATTAGAAGAAAGCAAGAGCCAATGTTATAAAGTTTTACTTCTGAATGACTTAATTACTTTTTTTAGGTTTAATAAAGAAATTTGAGAAAGCTGTTTCCATAAGACTATCGCAGGGCAGCAAAGAAGCAGAAAGTATACCAGACAAAAAATCACTTCATACAGTAAATGCCACAACCATTGAAGAGGCAGATGCTAAGGAAATAAAGACAAGATCGGCAAAAGAAGTAGTAGAGAAAACGGATGACAAACAGAGCCAAGGTCTAGGTATCGGTTCTGACGCAAAAGAAATCACATTTGAGAGCTTCTTACAAGGGTTGAAGCTGAAAAAAGATTTGCATTTTGGCAAAATTTCAGAGCAAAGCTGGAAATCTAACAAACCTATCATCACAAAGGTTAGTAAAATTAATTTTTACAACTCAATGGTAAAAAGTAATTTTGGTTTAGTTATTTTATTTATTTAAAGTAAAAACACATTATATGTATTTAAAATTTACATAGCTCAGTTTCATATTATACTATATATACATGCATATGATGCATACATTTTACTATTCCCCCATAAATTTACCATGTGCAAGTTTTACTTTTTGTGTGAAGAGGTGGCAAACAAGCTGGTGGTTCACCTGATGTTAAGTGATAACTGGCACACTTTGACATTTGTAACACCCGTAAATATATATGATAGCCACCCGTAATGTAAATGAAGCAAAAAACAAAATAAAACATGTTGAATATATAACACCCAGAAAAACAAAACTATTTATCTTATCTACCTCATGCTAGCTGCATGACTAGCAGCAAAAAGAAAAGAAATTGAAAATGTAAATAATGGTGACAGTTGGAGATTTGATAACAGAGTGACACGATTTATTATTATCTATGGCCTATTAAATTATCAACAGACATTATTGGTCCATATGCATATTTTGGAATGTATTGATGAATTATGTTTGAGATACTGTCAATAAATACGACGACAAGATAATAGATTATCGAAATTGGCGCATGGACAATGCATGCAGTATTATATAATTTGATCATGACAATTAATATTTATACAATTTTTGACCTTTTAACTGAGAATAATTGGGAACAGCTCTCTTGTTAAATACAATTTATCTTAGTATTTACCTATTTTAAATAAAATAATTTTATGGATTTTTCTTATGTAGTATTATGGCTTTAATTTATAAAATCTAAATGGGACTTCTTAATACATGTTTATCCAAGCTCCCATGAACTTTTTAATAATTTATTAACCTTCTAAAACCAATCGAACTACCTTTTCATAACAGTTTTTAAAAAAAATGAAATAAGCATATTTATATTATACTCATAGATGAAAAAGGATTTGTTTTCAACATGCCTGTATTTTTGTTATTGGGTTTGAATGAAGGGAAAATGTGTGCAAGGACTATGAAAAAAGGATATCAAATTAATATAGTCTTCAAACTTTTCAGACATCGATTCACTCGCGAACAGCCTATGTTATATCGGCTATAGTCACAGCTGAGACGCCAGAATGTTTGATGAAGAGAACAGAACATTTTATAGACCACTTACAGCAGTATCCTGAAGCGAGGGACTATGCCATTAAGGTAAATTAAATACTACTGTGTATTCTAACTAAGTAAGTATGCCGAATTATCAAAAGGTTGTCAATGCTTCTGCAACCCGTTCGGCGATATTCACTTAACATCAAGTGAACCGTCTGCTCACTTGGCAACTTTTCACATAAAAACAAAAGTAATTGAACAGTTCAGCAAATCAGAAAAAATATAAATATAAAAATCTCAAGAATGCAGCAAAAGTATAGAGGAAGATTGTTGAGCGTATGTTGCATCCTTCAGGCCATTCAGTGGCGCTGTAACAATTTGTATCCAATGTAATCAAACATTACAACACCTTTGAGACATTTGCAACATCATCGGGTTGCAGAAGACCACCTTACAATAAAAAGAGCCCCGGCTGCCTCCTTTAATAGGCGAAACGCAGAAGTATAGCTCTTCCATTCACGGCTGTAGCAAATACTTTCTGAGCCATTATTTATGTATATATTTCTTTTACAGGAGGGTGCTGTCCGTGCATTGTTGCGTGTACAAAACAAATTGTGTGACGATTCACCAGTGACGGTAGAGGTCAAAGGGATTGTTAATGAGGTTAGTATATATAAGAACCTGCCTGATCAATATTATATTATTATCCTAACATTACACATATTATTGGATGAAAACAAAAAATTGCGAGAATAACCAAGGCTCCCTTTGTGGAAAGTTGCTTTGGCTATAAGCCAATATCTAATGTTTCTCAGCGAAAAACTAATGAAACAAATTTTTAAAATATCCCTTAGACATTTCAATGTTGAAACCTCGGCACAGATAACTCTAGTTTGTCTTTCATTAACTATGGATATTTTGTATTATTTCTTTAATATTAAAAATGCTTTTAAAAAGAGGTTATCGGGGTTAAGTACTGTAAAAATTTGGCAGCATGGTTTTGCCAAATTCTTGTGTTATGTTTGTCCATTGGCGGCGATAATCACTTGTCATCAGTAACATTAGAAATGTTATTTCGAAAATATACGCATTCTATCCATTCGATTTTTTCTTTAACCTGTAATAACCACAATTATATAATAATTTCTTGTATTTAAGCGATTACACATTACTAAATGAAACGATGTTTACGGATTTATCGCGTTTATTCTTGGTTTTAATTCCCGTCGTTTCGAACCTTCGGGAGACGAATCGAAACGTCGGGAATTAAAACCAAAAATGAACGTGATAAATCCATAAATATAATTTCATTCAGTAATACAAATATACTCTATTTTTTGCAGGCCCTAGCGCTTATGGGATATACGGGTCCAACCAAAGGCCCCGGTCCAAATATCCTCTCCATCGACGGAGGTGGGATCCGCGGAATAATCGCCATCGAAATACTCCGACATTTGGAGAGGATGACAGGCCGGAGGGTCCAGGACATGTTTGATTATATAATCGGTGTCAGCACAGGTGCCATAATAGCTGCTGTCATAGGTAAGAATTTTTTCCCTTTGGTGGCCTTTTATAATCACCCTTGAATGGCATAGCTCGTTATTGTAAATCGACCAGATGGTGGTTATATCTTTGATGGTTAGGCTAGTTGTGACTTGACATAAACACAGTGTGATTCAATTGAATGAAAATTATTGAATTTAATCTGAAATGAATAAAATTAAAGTGGTCCAGGATAAGTGACCCCATTTGTGCAAACAATTGGTATTCAAATACTTGATCTTGGGTAGATGTAATTGTTTGGCTATATTCATATAAAATTATTTATGATCTGGTTTTAGCATTGTAGCTAAAGCTGGAGACTAATGGCCAGTTTCAATATTCAATCTTCATTTTTTCTATAAGTATTATAGATTTAATGTCAAACACTTATGTCTAATAAAAAAGACATATCTGTAGATAGAATATTGAAACTGGCGGTACCTAAACATTTGTTTTTAATGACAACTTTTTTTATTACAGGAAGCGGCATTGGCAATTTGGACACCGCTAACCACATGTATCATACATTGTCAAAGAAGATGTTTGGAAACACCTCCCTCATTGGTGGTGAGTTTCTCAATATATGTTATGCATGTTTTACAAAATTCTCCAATTAAAATTTCTGTTAATATAATTTTTTCATCACAAAACCTTACAAATTCTTAAATTAAGAATCGTATTTATTTTAAAAGAAAAGTTGTAAAATCCACTTCAACATTCCTATTTTTCCAAATAAATCATGAAAAATATATAATGTCATATTTCTTATGATTCAAGGTAAAATTAGGACGCTTTATGGTTAATTCTTTCATGGAGCAATAACAGACATTTTATGAATTTAGCTGAAGTCTTTTCGAATTTTAGAAATAATTATTTGTAAAGAAATAATAGGCCCCAAGTAGTAAAGTATATAATATTTACTTCTTATCCTTTGCAGGAACTTCCCGTTTGGTGTGGACTCACTCCTATTACGACACGGAAGCCTGGGAGAAGATGCTGCAGGAGAATCTCAGGGATTGCAGCCTCACTGAATGCAACAGATACAGCACACCCAAAGTGAGGTTCAGTCCATTAATTGAGCAAACAATTGAGCTGTTTATAAGTCGGTGTGATGGAAACGAAAATGGATACGATTTGTTTGACTGTGATCTTGTTTGTAACGTTTTCCAATTGACCTTGATCAGAGAGCGTGCTCGGGGATACTCGCCAGCTTTGAACTTGTCTTGGTGCACAGTCCTTTTTACCTCTGGTCTTGGACCAATGCTTTAGACATTTAGATGTAGGTTTTGGGACCTCTTTCTTTGACCCTGCCCGTCAGATGGCGCTAGTGTCATCGATTACTCTTTTATGCTGTCGCACTATAAATGTTTTTGCCGTTGACTTTGTTGCGGATTTGGGTGTAAGCCCGCGTGAAATTTATGCATGTAAAACGTTGTTGCTACACGGGATAATGCTATCCTAAATGGCAATGTTTTTTTTGAAGAAAAAAAAAACATTAAACTCGTCGATAAGTTTTGTATTTGTATAATTGATGTTACGCTTTCAGCCCTTAGACTATTAAAGCTTCATCGAACGCAGACTAGCCAGAACTCACGGGTTTGTGGCCCTTTTTAGTGGGTAGGGCCGCGCGTGTATTCACGTGTGCGTTAATTATGGCATGTCGCCTACGGGCCATCGAAGTGACCCCGATGGCCGTCGACTGTGTTTTACCTTATCGGAGGGCGGTGAGAACCGCCCTGGAACGCGGGTGTACCTAGTGTACGCGCTGTGTTGGTTTCGTCGTGCTCAGAGGCGAGGACGAACTATGGTGTTTGTTGATGAACTAACCGAGTGTGTGGTGTTATTTGTGGGGTCCTCCCGACGGTTCGACGTACTTAGTCCTCCCTCCTCGACCGGGTCGGTGAGGATGTTGAGTGCGCGACACTTGTTGACGTTCGCGTTAGTGTCGGCTCGGTTATTTGGCGTCGATAAGTCTACTGTCCGTTTCGCTAACAGATGGCGCTGCTGTAGGGCCGTATCGATCGAGTTCACTCGTCGTCCCGTTCACAGATGGCGTCGGTGTCGGGCGCGGTGTCCGTTTCGTCCATAATTGTTCCCGGTCCCACTAACAGATGGCGATGGCGTCGGGCCGTATCGATCGAGTCCACTCGTCGTCCCGCTCACAGATGGCGCCGGTGTCGTGCCGTGTTAATCGAGTCCATTCGTCGTCCCTGTGACAGATGGCGCTGGTGTCGTGCGTGGTGAGCCCCGGGTCGCGGCTGGCGCCGTTCGTGTTCCGCACGTACGAGTGCGGGTTCCGCGTGCGCTCCGCGTTCGCGGGCACGGCGCGCGCGCGAGTGTGGCACGCCGTGCGCGCCTCGGCCGCCGCGCCCACCTACTTCGAAGAGTTCCGGCTGCGAGGCGCGCTGCACCAGGTGGGCGACGCCTCTGCTTTGGATAGTGGCGGCCCTGCGCGGGTGGGCTCGCTCTTTAACGTGGATAGTGGCAGCCCTGCGCGGGTGGGCTCGCTCTTTAACGTGGATAGTGGCAGCCCTGCGCCGGGTTGCCTCGCTTTCTATGTGGAAAGTGATCACCCCACGCCGGATGACCTTCACTTGCTTTTTTATATGAAAAGTGACAGGTCTGCACCGGGCGTCTACTAAGTCTAAGAAATGTTATGTGTAACCGTATATCAATTCAACCTATGGCTCATAATTTAAAAAATCGATGCCATCAGCACCACCTACCCGGCACTAAAATAACTATGTTAGTCGGAGTGGTCATCTCGCCCTTTCATACAGCGTGTCTTTACAATAGCGACAATAAATGAACGCACATATAAAGGATAACTTTTTAAAATTGTATTAAACATTTACTTTCTTTAAAAATCAATATTTACGAGTTATCAAATTTTCCAAAACAAAGAATTTTATAACACCCGTACGTATAAAACTGTAACGTAAAGTTCATTTGTAAAGGTCACAAAGCATATGAATGGGTTGAATGAATTTAAAAGAGACAAAACATACGGTTAGAAGGAGAGGCTTGTAATTCGACGCTGTGGCGCGAGTTGTATAGGATGTTACAAATTTTGTTACGCTTTTTATAGGAACACCCTTAGTGTTCTAAAATTCTTTATTTTGGAAAATTTAATAACTCTGTAAATATTGATGTTTAAAGAATTTAAATGTTTAATACAAGTTTAAAAAGTTATCGCTTATATGTGTGTTCATTTATTGTCGCGATGGTAGCGACACGCTGTATATATATATAGTATAAACATTCATAATTTATTAATTGCTGTTTCAGGACGGTGGCATTATGGTCAACAATCCCACGGGTGTTGGACTACATGAAGCAAAGCTTCTGTTTGGCGCTAACGCCTTGAAAAAAGGCACAGTGATCTCAGTCGGCACGGGCAGAGCCCTAAACAAACACCTGGACTATCAGCTGATGAGTAAGGGCCTGAACAAAGAAGCCTCGGGCACAAGCTGGAAGGACAAGTTCAATAAGATTCTGGACTCCGCAACAGACACTGAAGGTAACATCATTTTTTGATTCTTGTTAAATTAAAGTAACCAGCCTATATAAATGTCCCACTGCTGGGCAAAGGCCTCTTCTGTACAGAGGGTATTAGGACATAATCCACCGCACCAGCATTCAATATACTTGAGCAACCTGAGTTAGATCACCGGTGCCTGCACCAATGACAGTTTTAGTTTGAAGTTCCTACTTATCACCTGATCAGCGGTGAAGGAAAGCATCGTGAGCGTAGTAGTAGAGCGTAATCCAAGGTGCAATCCTGTCATTTATAGGTTGTTACTTTACTTTTTTTAAACCACTACCAATATACATAATGCATATAATACACTATTTAAACTTCACGACAATGCAAAAAATAATACCAACAAAACATGACGTATCTGTAACATTGCAGGAGTACATCTAATACTGAACGATCTCCTGCCACCCGGCAGCTACTTCCGTTTCAATCCACCGCTGATGGAGGAGTGTGCAATGGACGAGATCAACCCGGAGAAGCTGAACAACATGGTCGTGGACACGCACGCTTACATCAGAAGGAATCAGCACAAGTTCGAACAGGCCGCTTACATGCTGATGAGGAAGCGGGGAATAACTCAACGGGTCATGGACTATGTGTACCACAGGAGCCAGCTGATGGGCATAGTTCAGACTAACTGACGGTCGGACAATCAGCAAGATGTTGAAACTTGCTGATTTACCTCGAATAATTATGATATACATAATTTCACTCTTAAGTTATACTTGAGAAATACTTTAAACTTTTAAAGTTTAAAATGATTAAGTTAAGAAAAAATTCTTCGGATTGGTGACTCATCAAGATTTAAAATGCTAAAAGCTTTTTTTTCTTTTTTTTTTGCTACTATGGTTCCACTGATAAGTCGGTGATTTTGAATTTAAAATCTTTCTAAAGCTTAAAAAAAATCCAAAAACTATCTATAATTGAGTGAATTGCCTGTTTGACATGCATCTTTAACAATAGCGCAGATAAAATATAAAAGAAAACTTCATAATAATTATTTAGGCTGATATTGTTTATAAAAACAGCCTGAAATGCAGTATTCTTAGTTTGGAAATAGGATCTTTATTATATCTTGAATTGGGCAATTTAATATACATAGTAAAGGATGTATTTGCTTACATTTATGAAGTGCATTTATTGAGTTTTACATTAATAAATGTGATTTCTATTTAAGCAATATTATGGTAGTTAGCTTTTAATGTTAATATTCACATAATGTTTAACATTATAGTTAGGTCATAGCATAATAAAAATACATAGATTTATAGCTTTTGCCTGGTAAAGAATTATTAACAGTATATAACAAATTTATCCATAGGATAGTAGAAAGTGATTTTCAAAGAAAGTTACTCTTTTTTTAGACGGTAAAGTAATTTTAAAATAGTTATGTTTCATATAAGATTGATAAATAAAAGGCATTAGACAAAGCATATGTGATTAGAAATTTAAATTTTGTGTAATAGTAGATTATGTGAAGGTACTAAATACAATGTTTTTTCTCTGTATTTATGTATAGTAAATTATTTATACATATAAATGATAAATTTTAAATGTTCTGAAAAGTACTTTAACGGGCAAGCTAATTACATAAACTGTATCTTAATGTTCTTTAGAAGTCTATTAATTCATTCTTAAATTTACTATTGCATTTCTAACTTTCAACACTGTAACTATTTATCATATATATGACACACATAATGTTGAAAGTGAAAAAATGATAAAGGCTTGCTTAAAATGCTAAGCTATGCTCATTTCAATTGTTTATAAACCTAAACTCTCCAATGTTATATAAAACTAATTTAAATTTTTAGCTTACGATACATGTTATGTTTTATCTACAGTTGTTCTTCTTATTTGTATTTAGAGTTTATATATATATTTATTTGGGTAGTTCTTGAAAACAGTAAATACTTTGCTATGGAGTCAGTTAAAGTCTATCTTCCGTTGTCAACTTGGAGGATATTATAGCAAATTTGGATTGGATTAATTTTAAGCGTTGGGTACAATCGGTGCCGATCTTCTGTGATATTGTGCTATAATGTCCTTCGATTGCTTGTTATATCTAGTCATTTTTAAATAAATAAATGAAATTATTAAATCTCTTTTTTTTTGTTCCATAAAACGGTAATACATATGAAAAACATACACAAAACCGTAGGTTAAATGACTTCGTGGCACAATTGGTAAAGTGTTGGCTTCGGCGCCGGAGGTCGTGGGTTCGATTAATTGTTTCAAATCTGGGTGCCTTGCCAGCGGTGAAGGAAAACATCGTGAGGAAACCTGCATATTTTCGAAATAATAACAAAAAAAATGTTTCGAAGATATGTGAAGTCCGCCAATCCGCAGTGGGACTGGAGGACTATGCCCTGATACCCTCTGTACAGAGGAGGCCTTTGCCCAGCAGTGGGTACATGTATAGGCTGTTACTTTACTTTACTTTACTGGGTGCCTTCCCCCCGCGAAATTTATATGTGTAAAACGTCCTTACAACATAGTTAGCCTACAGTGCAGAGCAACGTTTTTTTTAAACAAAAGGTAAGTGTCTGACTGCACACTACACTACTGTTCCTGTTATACACTTCCTTCCTTTTTTACAAAATCACTCCCGCAAACAGCAGGAAATATGTTACACATGAAAAAAGCTAAGAATTAAGCTATAAATCTGATAGAATCACATTTCAATGGTAACTAACAACATTTTTACTAATTAATGTCTGATATAGTTCGGAAACTTGACACGTGACGTGTTTCATCTGCTGGCTGCCGGTATCTGAAACGCTGAATCAGAATGATCTTAATGATCAATTCAAAAGAGTTTAACAAACCTTTTGGCAACTCAAATAACATTTGAAAATCCATTTGACAGCTGATTCTACGATGATCAGTGTTTCAGAAACCGGGTGTCAGTGTTTCAGAAACCGGGGGTGAGTGAGGTAAAAGGGGCCTACTTTTTAAATGTTGGCAACAGGCCAAGGGGGAACTGCCTTATGAATGAGGAATGCTTACCGACTTATCACATAAAAAAAAATTAAACAAGAAGCGTTCCCGTGGAATTAATTTAGTATCGATTACATAATGTCCTGTTTAATTTAATAACAAAGTTTTAATTATTGATTTTATATATTTTTTTTAAATAATATTTGAAACACTCGTCCAATATACGTGGAATTGATTTATTAAATATTCTATAACGACTATTAAATATTTTAATAGAAATTATGACATTAACATTCGGTTACAAAGAGTTGTCACTACAATTACTTAAGAAAATTGTGGTAGTTTAGAGCATTGTGTGTATTCGATTCACAGTCCGTTAATATATTTTACACATGTTTAATAAACCTACGGAGTAATTGTGTCTAAAATATGTTTCAACATTGAGTTTTCTTATCTTTACATCCTCTTTCTTTCTTCTCGAATCCGTAAACTTTGGAAAAAGATGGAATATTCTAGACAAAATGGATGACGTAAGTGCAGCTTGAACATTACGGTACAAGGCGTACAGAACTTTCACTTCTGATGAGTGTAGGTCGACTGCAACAATTTGATACTTGAATTCTAAATAAAACGTGAGTTTTTGGAATGATGCGGAATAAAGTACCATATTCAAACACCATATTACTTATACCTGTTGCTCGAAAAATAATTTTTAATTACCACAAGTTCTTGCTATATTTATCAATCTATCTCATGAAGAAATTAGTCACTTAGATGTCGCGAATACAAGTTAACAATAAAATAATGATACTGATATAAAGACTTATTTGTACTGAGTAGGTAGATCAATGAATGATTGGTCAATATTACCCTATTTAGTTTTTAGTTTCACTATTTAATTTAGGGTTAATATTTTGGGAGCTTAAAGCTCTCGTTTCAAATGCTACTTGTGTAGACACTTTGGCTGCCTCTCATCTAAGGGGTACTTCGGTCAGGGCCGGGACGGCATCGGAGGCAGCTGAAGTAAGTGGCGCAAATATGGGTCTCTTTGTCCGGATTACATATTTTTGAGATTGGCTGATGAATCTTTAGATCGGTAGGGTCCCCGTACAACGAAATTATTGAAAGGTTTACGACCTACCACGTTTTACCACCTACTGCGGATGGTGACAAGAGGGCTAGTTAGAGAGAAGTCTCGCTCAATGGTTAAGCATAACTATTCAGGGAGGAAATGTAGCTTGCATATTTTGGCAGCATGCCGCGTGAACTAAGTTTATAAGATAATATGCAATTTAGTTAGATTAAATGTTGTAAATATATGATTGGCAAATGTCTCTTTTCTCATAGTATATGCAAATCTTAACAATGCAAAGTAAGAAAAAATACCAACAAGGATTCTTCATCATCGTGTTAATGAATTTTCGTTATATACTGTACATTTAATAAATAAAAAAGGTTCATGAGTATTTTGACTCTTATCCTTTATTATAATTCTGGCCGAACAAATATCAAAATCATTAAATGCTGTAATAACTCACGCATAAACTAATCCTTGATTAGTAACTTAACAAATTGAAGATGTGTCGCGAAAACTTTAATGACTTCTTTTAATAAAAGAATAAAATACCAATTAATACTATAACAATAATGAAATAGAATTTACCAGCACATTTTAAAGTCATTAACATTCTACTCAGCTCTCTCCACCACCACTCCGACAGTTTTGTAACCGGTTCGTTCGTAGACGCACGTACACACTAAACGGTGCTTCAGAGAAGTTGTTTTACTTCAAAAAATATTATAAGTTGTTCCCGCGCGAAAATACTGTTTTCTATTTTCTTTTTTTATTCTTAGAAAATGGAGCACTTTTTTAAGTTCCTGATGTTGATGGTAGGTTTTAAAAAGTGTGTAATTTTTAATATGTTACATTTGTTTGCTAAATAGCGTTCCCTAATTATAAGGCATTTTTGTTATTAATATCTAAAAGCATCCCTGATATGGTTCAACAAATAAAATTATTGTATGATATAATAACTTCTGAACATCATATAAACATTATCAAACGCTTCGGAAGCCGTAGATATTGTATCCTGTGTCGCATTTATTATTTCGTATTTTTACTTTATAACTTAATGTTTTACTTCGAAGTTCTTTTTTTAAATAGGTCAGTATGTCATAGTTTACATAACTTAAGATCAAACTTTCAACTTTGATTTAAAAATTAAATAATTTATATACCACTAGATGGCGCTTATGAATGAAGGTAAAGCGCGGATATTACGTAGTAGTGCTATACTTAGTGTAAGTATGCGTGCTTCCTTTGGCATTACTTAAATCTTTTCCATTATTTTATATATTTCAGATCGTGATAATCCTTTCTACAGTGATTACAACCGAGTCTTCTGTACCACAACCAAGAGCACCCAACTTCCAATATTTTGAAAGGTTTGCAAATGCCATTAGTTTTATATTTTATCGCGTTAAATAAAAAAAGTCTCGTCTTATGTCACCGTAGACGAAGTTAACGTTTAAGTGTTCACTTAACATTTTAATTTCAACTGATATCAGGTAGTAAGGAACATATAAAAAGATGTTGATTTATTATTTTGTTGTTTACGCGCTACGCAATTTCTTAAACAGAACAATGCTTTTAGTCATCGATGTTTCGAATACTTTAGTTCATGGAGACGGGTCAGACAGGGATGATTAACACCCAAATTGATAGTTATTCCGAGATTCCGTCAGGGTTTTTATAAATGATTTTGTCCTATCAACGCACTTACAGTATTGGCGAGTTGGGATTTAATTTTATGAATAACTAGCTTTTCGCCCGCGGCTTCGCTCGCGTTGACGCCCTTAAATAAATATATTTCCCCTTTAAGAACACTTTATAACCCTTTTTCCAATAAAAAATAGCCTATGTCCTTTCTCAGGCTCTAGACTATCTGTGTACCAAATTTCATTTAATTCGGTTCAGTAGTTTTGGCGTGAAAGCAAGACAGACAGACAGAGCTACTTTCGCATTTATAATATTAGTATGGATTGTTTTATGAATAATTGGATCTTAAGTTGGTGGTAAAGTTCAGCCACTTTCACCTTTTATGAATATGTTCGTGTTTGGATTATTGTATGGTCACAAACAGCAGACTTCGTAAACCAGCGGTGCTTCACACCTGAGTACTTCGATGCTGATTTATGTAGCTCTTTTTGACCAGTCCAAAGAGCGAGTTTTATTTAACAAGTGAAAGACAAATTATGAATAAAATCAATCACTTTACAGAAATAGGGAATATCTTATACGTCCAGTTAAATTGTTACTTTTTTGGGTTATTTTACAAAAGATTTTATTAACTTTTAATCAAAAGTGTATTTTTTCCAACCATGTAACTAAACGAATCACAAAACTCACGAGTAGCAACATAAAATCTATTTTAGCGGATTGTGTCTCATTTTTACGACCGTAATGGAGTGTCAAATAATTTTACAGGCCCAAATATCGATATCCGTATTACGACGAAAATGGCAAAGGGAAGCTTTTGTACGGCTACGGAGGACCGGAGTTGTACCAGTATAAATCTTATTCCCCACTAGAGGGCATTCATTAACATAAGCAAAAAAATTGGTGTTGTTTTCTTACTTAAGTAATCTTTTAAATTAATTAGTCAATATTGTAATCTGTATGTTAATAAAATAAAATATGTAAAGAGTTATTTTATTTTGATTACTTTAGCATAGTTTTTTTTTAATTTATTATCTGCTTCTTTTTAATCAAAACTTGGATAACGTTTTGATTAATTTGTACCGTTGGATGAGATGATTCTGCTGTGAAAGGCGTTTTACAAACAAAAAGTAAATATTTAAGAACAAAGGGGCCTGTTACTGCTTCATTAAAATTATATTTTGAAAAATACTCTAAATAATCAGTTATTGTTAAACGAAAACGTTGTAACGCCATCTATTGGAGCCTACCTTAGTTTATAGTTGTCAAATATATTCCAAATGGTGCTCTCAAACCTTCCGAGCCCTAATATTATATGGCCATGAAATAAATTAAGAAAAATCTTAATCTCTTTCGCATTTATAATATTAGTAGGAAAATAAGGATTACTTTTCATGCATAAATATTTAGTAATCAACAAAATCAAAAGAAACATGAATTAAAATAATTGTTATTACTAAACAAACGCTGTATGGTTTTTTGATTTGCATGGGTTAGATGGCACATGAAATTTGAAAATGTAATTTATTGGTCGTCAATACAATATCACACAAACACAGCGTTAGAGAGGTTACGGATATTTACAAAGTGATAATTTAGCTCGACATTGTTAGATTATTTACGATTTTGCATTCAAGAAACGCATAAATACGATGCCTTATGTCAAGGTTAAGGTCGTATAAAAATAACGAACAATATAAAATAATAAAGGGCAAGAACTTAAAATAAGTTTTGTTTAGTTAACTAATTTAATTTATTAATATATTCATAATTCAGTAGTAAACATGGCGACTGGCGACACGGGGGCTTAGTTGCTAAGCCATTGGCTTCGGTCCTGGAGGTCGTCGGTTCGAATCCCACATGGAGCAAGTATTTCTGTGATACATAGATAATAAATTACCCGAGAAGAATAGCATGAAGTGGAAGTTGTTATATTTTTGAGTTTCGCCTGGTGAGTGAGGTGACAGGAGCCCACTTTATTGCTAGGTTTTAGGTACGCATTGGTAAAACTCTATGAAAGTCGTAAACGTCCATGACTGGCGGTTATCTTGTAACAGCAGGTGAACAGTCAGCACATTCGCCATCTTCTCATGTAGAAAACCTTGCAAAATTAAATCTTCTCATTATAATACTGCTTCGTTTCGACCTATTATATCTTCATATTCACCAAATCAGTGTTGGCTCGAATAAGCTATTGGCAGTTGCGTTGCGGTTTGAGTGATTCCTCGAATGAACTTGTAAATGTAAAATCTATAGATAATTTGATATTGTGCAATTTATTTGTACTTAATTTTCCATTCTGAGCCGGGTGTAATAAAAAAATATTGTCCTTCGAACCCAGATCTTAAAGCTCAGTGAACTCACAGTAGTGGACACAAGAGTGTTTGTGTTTTAAAAGTCAATGTTTTCAGTGAGTTTTAATACCAAAAGGCTTTGTCTGCCCCTTAACACAACAACACAACTACGTCAAATCCTTGGGCATGTTAACACGTTAAACAAAACAACCAACGTTATTTACGCGCTCATGATTTATATATTTTCCGTCGTGTCTTGCGGTTGTTTCCTTAACATTCGGTATCTGTCGCTCCATTCATAAATACTTTAATAGAGCACTCTTCGACGAAATAAATTCGTTTTTATTAAACAGTTCTGCCAAATTCCAGGAGAATGTTCAAGATATTATTTTTAATATTGACATTTTCGTTAATCTGTGACTGTGTACTGTTTTCGAGCTTTTGGGCGCCTTTATTCGATCGAAGGATTCTTAATTACCGCGTTGACGCCAAATTCGATCCGGACGTCGGGAGAAGCAACAGAGAGGAGTATCAACGGAGAAACGGTTACAGGGGAGAAGCTTTGATAGCGGACTTGGGGAACGGAAAAGGGCCAAATGACCGTTCTGATAAGGTACAGATAATATTTAGGTCGTACTAAATTACTTGACTTACAAATAATTTGTTCTGAATTGTTCGTCCTTCATAATTGTTTGTATATTCGATAAATATAAAAATAGATCTATTTGTTTTAAAAGTCTGCATCGATGTTCTTCAATTCTGAGTTACATAACTAATCTTCACAAGGCAGTTTTGTTAAGGCCGTTATTTTTTTAAATGTTATGACTGGCCTAACGCTTGCTACTTAATAGTTAATTGTATTAAAAACTATAAGAAAGGGAACAAGCATTGAAATCATTACTTTGTGAAAAATAGCCAAAGCGAAATACTGGCCGAACGGAATTAAACTTAATTGCATTAAAATTGTTAACCTTGTGAAAAGTGTAAAAATTTAATACGAGGGTAACAACTTCGAGACTACTTTTGCGAATGGTAAAAACAAGGCTGTTTTGTGAAGTTTTTTTTTTTTATTGTGAAAAGTTGGCAAATGAACTGATGGTTCACCCAATGATAAGTGACTACAGGCCGTTCATGGCCATCTACGCCTGAGGGGTTGCCAACTTTCGGTACAATGGACTCCGTTTACCTCACTCACTAGATGCGAAATATATTTTAGTACTGGGGATGTCGAAAAAAAATAACTATATATCTATATTTTTTATTTTATATATCGATGTTTTTAACCCATATATCGATACAAAATATTCAATATCAAAATCATTTATCAAAAACGATATTTTTTCAAATTCGAATCCGGGATAGAGTAGAATTTTTAATACTCGATATACCGTTTTGGACAACGGGGTCTAAAATATATAATATCGATATATTTTTCTTCACTAAGTTTCTTATGTCTGTGAATAAATGATTTTGATTTTTGACTTTCACATACCTACTTAGTATTTCCACTTCATTCATGCCGGTCTTTTACGAGGCCGTGGTACTTAACCGGAGGAACCTTCCCATTAGTGCAAGCAACAGCGGTTGCTGCGTGGCGCTAACACAGTAAAAAAGGGACTTTGCTTTTTAATAATTGCGGCAAGGCATTCTATCGTTTTAGTTCCGTAGTTTCAGTAATTGTCTGGCGTCATTGTACGGTAGTCAAATGTGACCTCAATATTAATATTTCAGTAAAGTGAAGTTACAACCTATACATGGCCCATAGTTGGGCAAAGACCTCCTCTCTACAGGGGTATTAGGGCATGGTCCACACCACGCGACACCACTTTTTTTTTCCTCAGGCCGGCCCAGTGTGGGATCCTCTTAGCTTCACCGTGGGTGACCAAGCCACGGTTACAAAGCCCGTCCGCCACGTCAAGACGGGACCACGTGACACCACTGCGGATTAGCGGACTTGATACAGCTTCGAAATATTTTTTTTCGTTATTATTTGGAAAATATGCAATTTCCTCACGGTGTTTTCCTTCACCGCTGAGCATGAAATCTGTACTTAAAATGAACAATTTAATTGGTGCCGGACGTGATTTGAACTCGGGCTGCTTTTTGAATGAAAAGCGAGCGGACACTGAGCTATCACGGATCAGTATTTAAGTGTGATTTGAAAACCGTTGGGGTTTCACAACTCTGAGTTTCGACTTAGGCCTCTTAACTCACCAAGCCGCTAGCATCGCTGCGATAGAGGAGTAGGTACCCAGTGCGACTAAGATCCACGTAAAAATTATTCATAACTGACATGTCTTTCTTATGAAGAATGAATATCTGAACCTTATGGTTGATGCATTATATGAAAAAACAATCACATGTATGCAGTGAATAACTTGCCCACAAATCTATAGTTTATTCAACATTCTAGCGTACATTTTGGTTTTGCTTTAATTCAAAATAATATGTTAAATTTCAGGATTACGGAGAGGTGAAATTTTACTACACACAACAATAAATCTTTGCTTGAAGTACATACACGTTTTTTATTTTAATCGTTCATTGACTATTTGATTATAGTTTAAATACTAAAGTAAAAAAATTCGCATTGTGTGCCATAATTGGAACAATATATTGTAACAGCTCACAAGTGGAAATCATTGAAGACGCAAGTGTATTTATACTTTGATTTTTCTATCACTTCAGTGACATGTTATAATTTTGGTAATTCTAAAAAAAATTCTTTACATCCATTGTTGTTCTAACATAAAGCAGCATTGCAGTTTTATATAATAACCGAAAAGTGGGCTATTATCAAAATAACTATGTATTTGGAATAATATTATTATTATTCTTAATGATTTATTAATACATTAGGTTAAGATCTTAAAAATATAGTGAAAAAATTTGCTGCTAAATCCTTCGTTTTTGCGTACTGATATAGAGCACATTATTTCCTCTGATGAATGCATCCCCATATTTGTTCTTTAACTGTCCATTGACATACTCCTCAGTTTGTTCCAGTGCTATGTTCATATAACCATCTAAACAGGCGAGGACTCCTGGAATGAACAAATAAAGGTATCATGAACCATTTCAATTCAGCTCGTATTTCTTGGTGGTCATAAAAAAAAACCTAACATCGAAGGTTAAGGCGACTCGGATAGATTAGGTTACTAACCTAACCTTCTAACCTAATCTATCCGAGTCGGATTCGCTCTGTGTCGGTTCTGTGACTCATTAAATTAAAAAAAAATCGGAATATCGATACGTGTCGATGTCGCCCGCTTCCTATATTTATCATGTTGGCAGAACTGTGTATTGAGTTTTTGAAGTCAAACAAATAAAATGGTGGATTTCTTAGTACAAAAAACAAGTTTTAAATATTTTTTTCTCGAAAACTATAAGCGACCGCCGAATTCTGCTTGTTGATTAATTCATTACAGATTTTTCTCTATCGTTTAAAATTTCTTTTAATTGAATTACGCCGGAGTTAAAGTTATTTACATTTACCAAAAACTTAACTAGATGAAAAAAATGACAAACTAAATGAATGATGTTAGTGATTACCGCTGCCGCTGCGCGCTGTGAGTGTACATTAAATATTTATTCAAACCAATATATCGATGATTACTTATCGGGGATAAACAAACATAACCTTGAAGATTGTAACCTTAAAAATTAAATTGATTTAAGACCTGATTTCAAACTATGCAAAACATGGTTTATTTGTTTTAGTTATAAATTATTATTAAACAAGATCATAAAGTAGAGTTTTACGACAGAAAATAACATAAACACATTTACCTCTGTAATCGACGCCGCTATTTAATTTAACTACTACTGGTCTGCCGTGAATTTGCTGTATAAATGACGACAGTGCTTCCTTGCGACTCATTTTTTGATGTATCAAATAGACGTGTGAAAGTGAAATATCTTAATTATTTATCAGTCCTAAAAATATAACAACTGTCGATATTTAGATAAATATCGGATCAGAATTTCAAAAACATGAATTTGACACAATGACACAGGTTAAGTAAACTTTTTGACAGTTATGGAAGCGTTTAATAATTTTTGTTTTCAGTTCTTTCAGACTAAGAAATTAACAGAAAATAGGATTTAACACCCTTTTAAACTTCTAAAAATTTTATTCAAGTATTCATATAAAAATAAAATGAAGAAATTCTTAAAAATGTGTCATTATTACATTAGTCAGATAATAAAAGACCAATAATTATAACCCTTAACATTTATTCAGTACCTTTAATCTATAGCAAAATTTATTGCAAATTACTTTGCAAATATAACTATAATTAACATCTTTCTTTAGGTTCTAATGATGTCCATATAAATCCATTGCAATTATTGATCTCTGCGTCTGTTGGAGGGTATGGAGTGTTGCTAGCTTTGTAATAATCAGATGGAGCATGCATTACAAATTCCATGTATTCCAATTTACGCGGCAAGTCTTCTTCTGGACCTAAATGAACAACAAAAATGGTTTTATTTTGTGTCTGTGTTGCAATGATTTAAAATAGTTTACACTCAAAGCTTTAAAGCTTAAAAGCAGATAAAAAATTTAGACCAATTGAAAAATAATTTTTTAAAGATATTGATTAGCTTATAGTAATTTCTGTTCAAGTCACCAAATAAATCATAATACTAACGTTGAAAGACTATATAGACTTATCAAGTCTCAGATGCATTTGTTATTTAACAAAGAAAAGATTGAATTTCAAGAAATTGTTGGACAAAAAATGTCCTTTTTAGTTTTGCTTACCAATTATATAGGTAGCTGGATCAAAGCCCTGTTCCGGAGGTGGGCTTGCCTTAGTAGGTAGTAACCAGGTAACTACAGCACTCTTTTCGCAATATTGATCTGTGAGAAATCCACGGATCTGTGCATAGTATGTGCCACCTTCTACATCAATCATTGATACAATATCCCCCACTTGCATGTAGCTACCCTGAAAATTATATATATTGCTATAAAAAATTATGAATATTACCTAAAATCTTTGTTGATAAACAAAATATATTCAAGGTTTATTCTCTTTATAACTTTATAAAATAGAAACAGATCTTGGCAGACAACAGTTTGTATTATAAACTATAATATACCTCTGAATACCTCTCTCCTTACTAATATTATAAATGTGAAAGTTTTGTTACTCTTTCACGCAAATACTACTGAATGGATTTTAATGAAACTATACTATAATATAGCTTATATGTCAGAATAGGACATAGGCTATAATTTATATACATATTTTATGTATATCTGTCTTTCTGTCTATGAATGAATGTTACGCTTTCAGCCTATTCTACACGCAGACATAGTCGCAGACAGCAGCTAGTAGTGCAATATATACCAAATTATTAAAGTGCATCAAAACACACTATAAAAATGAAAAGATTTCAAGAACCAAAGGGTCAATTAAAATAACTTGAATCCATACAGTGATTTTTATCTATATTTTAAATGAATCAAACAAAATTTAATGAAAAGTTCAAATGGTAACTCGAACCATTCACTCACTGCACTCTAACTATGTGTAAGTTAGAGTGCAGACTAGCGATGGGTCGTTGAAGGTATTTTCTTCAACTTAACGTTAACGTTGATTCATGTTCGTTCAACTAGTTGATCAACTAGTTAAATTCGTCAACTAGTTAACGTGACAAATACAAATCAACCATCATACGCTGGTGTTTAAAGATTGGTACTAAACACTAATTAAAATATTTAAATATATTTCCGCTTCAAGTACTTTTTAAAATTAAAGTGGTCAATTTGTTCGATATTTTCTCCTTGCATACATTACAAACAGCTTTTCCGCTAGAACTGTCTTTTTAGGTATGAAGCCATAACTCACTGTTAATACGTTCAATTATTTTGAATTTTGTACCCACAGTCACTCTATACACTTAAATAATTATAAATAAAAATAAAAAAAACACTAACCACAAAGTAAAATTCTGATAAACAAAACTAATACCATAAAATAAAATTCCAAATATAATTAATTAAAAATTAACAAATTAACAAAAAAAAACACTAAACCTGAAGTAAAGTTCTGGTAATATTTACGCAAAGCTGCAAAATATTCTATAACCTTGCGCACAACTGTTCACAAACTGTCAAACAAAAATAAAGAAGGCGAACTAAAACATGTCCTTCATAAAATTAAACAAACATTTCAACTCAACTCTGTTACGTTTTTTCAATGTAAGGTTTTCAATTCGTTACGCTTATGTTCTGTTGATTTAACGTTTCGTCGACTGCGTTTTTAAATGAATTGATTCAACGACAAAATTTCCGAAACGACGTTAACGTATTCAACTAGTTGATTTCAATGACAGTTAAAGTTAATTAACAAGAGATCAACAGTTGATTCAACTAGTTCGTTGATTCAACGCCCATCGCTAGTGCAGACATAAAAGTTTGAACTTCTGATCTGGTCAGCAATATTTATTTATTTATTTACTTCACACACATACTACAACTTGTTTCTATTTACAACTGATTTACCTTAAAGAATATGGAATCACTTGTCACTACAGTTGCAGTAGCTGTTGGAGCTTTAAGAGGCGGTCGCTTAAAAATACTTCTACGACCTCTTCCACGAGGTGCGGGAGGTTTAGACTGTGCAGGGGCCGGAGTTTTGGTCTTGTACCTGGTAGTTCTTGTACTTTTCCTGGTTCCCTTTCCTGTAGCTTTAGCAGGAGTAGATTCGATTTCACTCTTTCCATTCTTTGTTTCAACGTCCTCTTTATCTTCTTTTTTATCATCAGTATCCGATTTAGCGTGTGAGGTCTCTAACTTTGCTTCTTTATTTGTGGTATTGGCTAGGTGGCATTCGTTACATATCTGACCGTTCTCTGCGCTTCGCCACAGTAAAGAATCATTGGCACCACATTGTACACAAATTGGCTTAGGCATTTCTTTTATTTTGCGCGCAGTTTTTGATTGTAATTTTAACTTTTTTATTTAAAATCATTCGCATAACTTTACGAAACTCATGAGAACCAGATTAAAAATAATTTTAAATTTGAATGTCAACATGACAGTAACGTTTACGTTCCGTTTCAGAAATGTGTTTTCTATAATATCATAATAATAATTTGTATACGGACCAACCGAAGTTTGAGTTTCAATTTGTGTCTGCATCTGCTGTGCTTGCGTTTGTCCTTGCTTGATATTCGTATTGTCTATATTTCGTTATCAGAGGTCGCTGACGTGCAGCGTAGCGGATGGTGTCATCATCGTATACTAGCTACATTGATCTGAGCCCGCGGGTTTTCTGCCTGAGAATCTTTTCACACGAAGGTGAAACGCTGGTTTCGAGTAGAATAGACTAATAATTAGCTCAACAATCCATAATAAGACTATACGACCGACTACAACATTCGCTTAACGTAAACCATCCACTTTCCCATCCTTCTCCTTAGTTGGTCCCTCAGTGCTGAGGATCGCGACCCCTTTCATATTGTCTTGTCGGGATAGTGTCGCCAAGCATTGCAGTGTGTTGCTAGTCATTCCACCTCTTGCTTTGACGTTCCCAGAAAATTCGTTACTAAATGGCTGACTACCGAGCTGGTCTACGTTAACGTAGTGGTCTTCCATCGATAAAGATATACAACAAGTTAGTACATTTGAGGATTTCGGTTTCTACACACCACAAGGCCGAATTATTAGAGTGTATATACACGTATATGTATAACGGTTGTATAACGGTTGTTGAAAGACAAGCTGTGTTCTTTTTTTTGAGCTTCAAAATCGAGATGTTGCTTCGTCGTGCTGTCCATCGGATTCTAAGCAATTTACGCCAACACAGCATTTCGAAAGCATCTATGCGTTTGATGTCATCTGCATTTAAGGTGCAGGTCTCTGAACCGTAGAAAATATGGAAAAGACGAGTGTGTCATGTCAATAACATTTCAGAATTCTAGTAATATGTAATAATTCCAACAGAAGTGATTTCTTTTTGATTATTTAATTGCATTTTATTTATTGTAATCAAAATATATACCTACGATTAAGGTTAAATGAAACTACTAGTTTGATGTGCTTTATTTTATATAAAGGAAGAAAATTTCAAATTTTTTAAAAGAGCGCTCCGTCACTAAACTCTAAGCGGTCGGTATTTTAATTTTAGTTTCCTATTCATTTAACACAGAAATTTTTGTTCTTTCCAATTAAATTGAAATTACACTTATTTATTTATATTTTTGCAAATAATCGTCGTTTTTTTATATGCGAAAAGTTGTCATACGAGCAGACGGTTCACCTGATGTTAAGTGAATACCGCCGCCCATGGACATCTGCCACACCCGAGGGTTACAGAGGAGTTGACAACCTTTTGAAAATTGGGCTCAGGCTACCTCACTCACCAGACGAAACGCGAAAGTATTTGTCAAACTTTCACTTTACGCCGGTCGTCTGTGAGGTCGTGGTACTTACCCGGACGGGCCTGCCCATTCGTGCAACAGCCGAGGCTGCTGCGTGGCCCTACTAACTATATAATATTCGTACTTTGAAAGCTGAATCTTCTTATAACAGACGACACACGTATTATGTTAAGGCTCGTTCTAATGAGGTTGTTCTCCACAATATCAGGAGATGGCGCTAGTGGTAGCATAGGTATTTAGTGAAGCTCGGTGTAGATATGTAAGAAAATCCCGGTATCAAACAGGAGACACCGTCACCAGTGATGTTCTTTTGATATCATCGACCCTTTCTAATTTGCGTACATTATTGTTTTGTGGTATACACGGTAAGCCACAAGAATTTGCATAAAACCAACATTTCAGTAAATCACGATTTATATCTGATCGGATGTCGGATGCGGATGCTGAGCTGGACAATACTTCGTGGACAATTTTGTGTTTGTTGGTTATTTATCACTGGCGATGCATCATCGTGGGATTTGATTGTTTAGCTAAACGGCGCTAAACTGCACTCGGCCGGTTCCGTTAATGTTAATTAAGCGGATACCGGGGCTCTAATCTGTTGTTTAAGCGGCGATGATTGTTTATGAATAGTGCTAAGAGACACATGGGCGTTATTAAGCCGGTACCCATCTTATCTATGATGCGATGACATTTTAATTATACCTTAATGTGTATATTTCTTTTTATAACTTATGTTGCATTCATTGGGACTTTGAAATTATAAAGCAAGAATGCGTTTTTATGCCCAGCTAGTCTTAACAAATACCATATTGAGAAAAAAAAAGATAGTCGTCTTTAAAACGATAATTCATCGAGTAAGGTTCAAGACTTAGTCTAAAATTTCTTCTCTTATCTACTAATACTTACATCAATTTTTTTGTAAGTTTATGGAAATGCTGGTCGTGCAGCTTTATAATTTTTTATATTTTGACTACGCTCTAGTTAAAGTTTTCTAATGCCCATTGTTATTTTACTTCACGCTGTTTTTTTTATTTTGAGCACGCAACAGTCTTCGCTATTGTACGAATGAGCAGATCCATCCGGGGAAGTATCAGAATTTTTAGAAGACCAGCGTGCAGTGGACTACGTTTCGTCTGGTGAGTGATGTAGCCGGGGCCCACTTTATTAATAGGTGGCGACGCATGTGTTACCCTACGGGTGTTATAAATGTCCATGGGCGGCGGATATCACTTAACATCAGGTGACTCGTCAGCTTTCTTGCCACCTTCTCACATAAAAAAACTTCAAGCATATTTATTCGTGAAGCCTTATTATTGGCTTTCTCTATCTCTTTCTATATTTTTGTCTTTGGTTTATATTATTATTTTCTGTAATATGCTAATGGGATGACAATACTAACACTACACACTACAGTAAATACTTACTACAGTAAACTCGTCGTGGTCGTTAATATTGTATGCAATAAGTAAAGTTACTTTGAGAATAAGTATATTCCTTTTATTCAAAATGCATCAACAATTTCAGTAACTTATTGTTTTTTTTTCTATCGTCCGTTTAACATTATAAGTAACAGCGGCATATAAGATGTTTCTGATTTCTTTTTAAGGAGGTTGATGCACTATAGGTAATGTTCCAAAATTTTTAAATCGATTTTTGTATGAGATATTTTAATAGTTCACACTTGTTTTTTAACTTCCTCATTCTGTTTGGAAAACTTCATTATTTAAAAGGAAGGCTTGTCAAGTGACACAATTTTCTAAAAAATAGATTTAAATAAGAACAACACAAAGAACAAACAACTCTGGATGTGATAGGGTTTTATTTAAAAAGTCATATTAAATGGTACAATGAATAAGTTAGGTCTTAATCTAAGCGGAATGTATTGTTTAAGTACTTATGTATATGAGTAGGTACATAATTTTTTTTATAATAATTTTAATAATTATAAAATATTAAAGCATTCAGGGACATTTCAAGTTTTGGAAGAGTTAGACGTTCGAATAAAATCTAATAATTGATAAAAGTTACAAGGATTCTTTACATTCGTGTTTGGATCAGTTTCAATTACGACTTGCTTATTACATAATACGTTGAATAAAATCTTTCACTAATTGGGTAGGTTAAAAGGTTAACTACTATTAAGTAGGGAAGAAAGAATTTGGTAAAAAACCGAATAAAAATTACAGAACATAACAATAATAATATTTGAACCTGTAAAGATAAAGGAGGTCCTGTAACTGACTAATGAATATTCTTCGTCTCCCATTGTCAAAGTAACCTTATCAACTCAGTTTATACACCTTTAATATATCTAAAAGCAGAAAAGTGTTAAGAGCCGCTATTAAATATTTCTTTCGCGGAAATGTAAAACACAAAGTTAATGTTTTACGTAGATAAAATTGTCTGTATATTTATTGAATTTATCAATCTATTACTATTATTTCAATATAGACATATTTGATTACCATTTGTGTACAGTTTTCGACCATCTTCATAACCTCTTGTTAATATTTTATAACATGTTCATTATGGAAATGTTAAAATATGGAAAAAAACGTTATATTAAATAACTGTTGACGATTATAACGATATTTTTTTACCATTGATCTATTTCGTTAAAACAAGACAAGTTAGTGGAAACTGAAAAAAGTTCAGAATTGAAAGATAAATAATAAACTTTTATAGGTCACATGTATTTTGTACTGGTGGCATTATGTACAAGGGCATATATAAATAGATACAATTAAGCAATTAAAACACTCTTAATGTCTAAAACAATGCTTAAACTATGGCAACACTTGAAACTGGCAATTCAAAGGACGTATACAGATAAGCGTAAGTCTTTATTTAATTCCACAAATAGCGCTGTTACATATAGTATAGCATCGATTATAAGTGATATGTACGACAGGTTACGATAAGTAAACTAAAAATAACGTTTATTCACTTCATATAGATCCATTACACATATCTAAAACAAAGTAAATGAAAATAAACACAAAATTACAGAAAGCCTTACATTGTTAACAAATTCTAACTTAACTGTACATTTTCATACAACGGTTGTCTATTTTCACAGTTTAACTTAGTATAATTTGAAAGATGCGCTTTTAAAACGTGTGCTTTTTTAAATATTTCGAACGTCGGAAAGTTACAACGTACTAATACAGCGTGTCGTTACCATCGCAACAATAAATGAACACACATATAGGGGATAACTTTTTAAAGTTGTATTAAACATTTAAATTCTTTAAACATCAATATTTACAGAGTTATTAAATTTTCCTAAACAAACAATATTAGAACACCCTTACCTATAAAAGCGTAACGTAAATTCATTTGTAAAAGTCACAAAGCATATGAATGGCTTGAATGAATTTAAAAGAGACAAAAAATACTGTTAGAAGGAGAGGCTTGTAATGCGACGCTGTGGCGCGAGTTGTATAGGATGTTACAAATTTTGTTTCCTTTTTACTTAATTAGTTTGTTTGAAAAATATTTTTTTTAAATTATGGATTTTGTTTAATGTTAATATTTTTTTATGATTATTGGCAAGTAGCGTTAGATGTGTGTTCATTTATTGTCGCGATGGTAACGACACGCTGTATAGAGCAGTATAATCGCGCAACTATGGGCACGCGAACATGCAACGAGATTGTGTCCACACTAGCACATTGCCAACTTGTCTGTACACATAAACACTCGTCCAAATTTCATCTCCGTACGTTCACGACACATCCCAGTCTCATCTCTGCACGTGAAACGCATTAACTATAGATTAATGCACGTACAGCCGTTCTCGTCTCTGCATATGCACGAGGCGCCAAATCTCTTGCATACATTAGGGATGTCGAAAAAATATAGACAGATCGATATTTTTGATTCTATATAACGATATTTTTAGCCGATATATCGACAGAAAATATTCAATATTGAAAATCTTATCAAAAACGATATTTTTTGCAAATTCGAATCTAGCACGGAGTCCGTAGATGTCAAGTATTTAATACTAAACGTATTTGATATTTTTTTGGACAAATGGGTTTCTAGGACCTATATCCGACATATCGATACATCAATAAATATATCGAGGTCGATAATGATATTTTTATAAATATCGATATATCGATATATTCACTTCCGACATCCCTAGAATACATGCATATGCGCGAGGCATCTCGCGGCTCAGTTGCACACGTGCGTTTCAGTGCGGCTGAGGCACTTCTCGCAGCTGACGCGGCAGCACCAGTGGAACTGGCAGCGGCACTTGGTCTCCTCGACCTTCCGCACCGTGCTGTAGCCGCGGCCGCAGCACAGACTCTCGCAGCTGATCTCGCCTGGCGGGCAATCATTCGGCATTAATGTGCGAGCGATTGAACCTCAAAGCGGTGTGCGAAAACCGTAATAACTTTCTTAGATTAACCCACGACGTAAACATAGTAGTTTTAGTAGTAAAACACGCTTAATAAGTGGAAAATAATTTTCTATAAATTTAAATTATAACAATGAAAAAAATATAGCAAAACGCGGTACTGGTACAAGTCCATATTTTTACGAAAGAAAAACAAAACGGACTTCAAATATCTCGCTCTGTATTCATTTTATAATTGATTTTCAGGAGTTCCCTACTTATCTCGGAGCCCAAGATCAAAGAATAACAGTGAAATCATAACAGTAGAAGCGAGAGTTTTCAAATCAAAAAAGAATCATCAAAATCGATTCACTCGTTCGAAAGTTATGAGGTAACAAACATTAAAAAAATACAGTCGAATTGAGAACTTCCTCCTTTTTTGTAGTCGGTTGAAAAGTAGTAAAAATGGAAATATCTTAAAAAGCACCTTTAGACGTCCTGTTGCAATGGCGGCCGTGGGTTCCCAGCGAGCCTGATACAGGATCCGGTTCGCAATACGAAGGCGAGGGTTCGAGGTAAACCAGCTCCGATTTCCGGGGCTGTCGGCCGACACCGGCGTTCTGCCTAGGCCTGGGGAGGGAGACCTTTTTAATTTGTGAACGTGGCAAACGGGTGGTTCAACTGATGTTAAGTGATAACCGCCGCCGGTTGACATTTGCAACACCTGCAGAGTGCAAATGCGTTGCCACCTTAATTAAGCCCCTGGTGAGTGAGGTAGCACTCACCAGGCGAAACGCAGAAGTATAACACGTCCAATTCTTCTGAGAGATCGTGATACTAACCCGAACGGACCTGCCCATTCGTGCAACAGCCAAACCTCTTTTTTTTTGGTATCGGGGGAAATCTACGATATACACCCTGTCACTTTACATGACAGGGTTATGTGGGGTTCTTACACACTAAAACCCCCTCGGTGGCCACCTTCCGTATTTTTGGAGGGACTCCGGGATCTCCTTTGGAACGTACCGGTGTCCCTCGGTACTGGGCCTGGGCATGCCTCGGAAAAGGATAAACCTTCCCCGATTCCCTCGCCATCTTGCAGCAGCTCTACTTTTAGTCGCCATTTACGACAGGCAGGAGATACCCGAGTCTTATTCTGTGAGCACAGAACTACAGGGCTGAGTAGATTACGCCCTAGACCTTCCCCAAATAGCCAAATGCGTGGCCCTACCACGGAGGAACACCGGTGAGGGTGGAACTCGCCTGCGTATGACGAGGTGGGTGTGCGGCGCATGCGTGGCGGGTGGCGGGTGGACGGTGACCATCTTGGCGCGGTGGTAGCGGTCCCTAAGGGCGGCGGCGACCGTCCGGAAAGGCGGCAGCGCGCGCCAGCACGTGCGCAGCGCACACGAACCGGACACGCCGTGGCACTTGCACTCGCGACGAACCAAGTCCTTCACTAGCTGGTGAATGGAAAAGTACAAACGGAGTATGTTAAAATTCATCATCATCATCAGTGCAGCTCGAGTCCGCCGCTGAACCTCCCCCACAGACTGACAAGAAGCACGGTTCTTACCCCCCTTGCACAGGTCGTAAATATATCCAGTTTAAAAATTACACAAGATTAATGTGGTCGACTGAAAAATGATTTAAAAAGTTCAAGGTACTTTACGGTGGTAGGGCCACGCGGCAGCCTCGGCTGTTGCACGAATGGGCAAGCATGCCAGGGTAAGTACCACGACCTCACAGAAGATTTATCTGAATACGATCGCGAGATAGACCATAGAATAAATAATTAAAATCGAGAACCCAATATTTAGGAGTTTAAAACACTGACCAGAGAACTTTTATCGGGCGAAATTAACTGTTGCGTGCGTCGGTAAGGGCCACCGAAAAAAAAGAAAAAAATGGCGGCAGATTTGCAGACAGGTTGTCGTAAAACAAAACGCTAATTCGCCACTGCGCTTCGGGTAATAAGACGTTAAGACGATCTCAACACTGGAGTCGTTAATTTTGACTCCTTCGGGCTCTTAATTATTTTTTTCTTTGCATTATTATTGGCATGCCGTCTTGAATATGGCTTATGTCAGTGTACACTTATTATTTAAACGCATCTTTTGCTTGCAGGTGTATTTATATAATTAAAGCTTTGCATACAAACATGCCATCTTTTTAATTTGAACTGTAATATTATATTTCGTAATACAAATTGATCCTTTTTGGTATGTGCAGAAAATTTAATTCATTCTTGTTGGGTAGATTACGAAAATGATTACAGAAAATCACAAAATATTTTTTTCGTTTATTATGAATTTTTTCTTTTATATATCCTACTTAATATTACTATATATATATATATATATATATATATATATATATATATATATATATTATATATATTTATTACTACTTATTATATATATATATATATTTTATATATATATATATATATACCAGTGCACGCACACTTAGAGGGCAAAACGTCGCCACGCCCGCGTGCGCTGGTCGCCCGCTTATCTAGACGCGCACTGCGGGATTCACTGCTGCGGGCAGCACGCGTTCGCCGTGGTCTTACAACGGAGGGAATTACTTCTATAGGTGTCGCTCGCCCCCTCTATATAAATGAGCGCCTTACGAAATTTAATCGGCAATTGTTCTGGAAGGTACGAGAAATTACAAATAATCGAAACTGGAAGTATGTCTGGACGAGAGAAGGCAGAATATATGTAAGACGGGAGCAAGGTACGGCACGCTATAGACTTCGCTCGGACTCTGACATAGCTAAGGTTTTTGGTGCTCACGTTGTTAGCACTGACTCTTAATTTATTTAATTTTATCTTTTATATATATCAGTGCAATTTTATGGTTAAAAATTCCTTAAAAACTGTTTTCACTAAAACTTCCTCAAATTATTGTTTGCAATGTTTTTTAATTATTTATAGGCAGCTTCACGGTATTATACATAAAACCTCATTTAAACATATCTGTTACCGATTTCACTTTGATTCTGTTTCAATGCATTTAACTAATATAAGTTTCTTTTTGTTTCATAACTTTTTGTCCATGTACCTTTCAACAAGATTCCCAGTGTTTGATCTTTTTAATAATTGCTATATATATAGGCTACTAATTCTACAACAGTTGACTAATATTACTTTATTTTACCTTTTTAATGCTTATCCTATAACAAATGCAAAATATATCAATAAGAGCTGTGTTTATTATTGTGTTTGTTATTTAATACCTTTTGTGTCTATGATATTGTTATATTTCAATTGTGTTACTTATAACATGACTATATTCCGTTACTGTTTAGAGAATAAAATGTATCAGGCACCGTTAAACGTTTATACTTCTGTTAGAGACAACTTTAATGTAGATCAACGACATCTGTTTTTTTTGCTAAAAAAGTATCTTATGTGTTGCAAGTATATACAACTATCATACAGTTTTGTGATACGGTTTGTTAAATTTAAAAATCTAACATTTGGTTTTATAAATCCGGGTTCCCTTTGTAATTGTCACGAAGAGTTTTTAATTGTCATGGAGCGGCACGGGGCGGACGTTGTAGCCATCAACGAGACCTGGCTGCGGGAGGGCGAAGAGAGGCGCGCTCCTGTTCCTCCTGGATATCGACTGCGGCACGTGCCACGTCCTCCTGGCATACGTTCACGCGGTGGTGGCGTTGGATTTTACCTTAAGCGCGGAATATACGCGCGCCAACTTGTACCCCCACCTTCAGCCTTAGTCGAGCAAATGTGGCTCAGTATTACTTTAAATGGAAATAAGCTTGCTGTTGGTACTGCTTATCGGCCACCGTGGTTAAACTTAGACACTTTCATCGATAGTCTAACAGAAACACTGAGCTCTTTCTCGTCACATGATCATGTGGTGTTAATGGGCGACTTTAATGTCAATCTGCTAAAACCCTATGAAAGTAATGCCAAAAAAATCTTAGATTTTCTTCGTAGCATGAGTCTAAAACAGTACGTTACCGAGCCAACTCACTTTACTGATCACTCCGAAACTATGTTGGACTTAATTTGCAGTAGCATTAAGGTTACAAAGGTCTCAGTTAATTTAGTCCAAGACCTTAGCAGTCATGCGTTTATTTCGTTTGAACTTAATATAAAGAAACCAAAACCAACACGTCGTTGGCTAACATACAGACCGATTAAGGACATTAATTTGCAAAATTTTAATAATGACGTAAACAGTATACCATGGGAGAGACTACTCAGCGAAGACGTTAATGATTCTCTTGCAGCTTTCAACTCATGTCTTAACAAACTTTTTGACATTCATGCACCCGTAAAACATCATATATTAAAGAGCAAAGCTACCCGTGGATTACAGAAACCGTAAAAGATATGGTGAGATTGAGAGATGAAGCACATGCTAAAAGTCGTCGCACGAAATTGGATTGTCATAAAAAATACTATAAAGATTTGAGAAGCATAGTAAGAATAGCCATCCGTAACGAAAAAAACCGCATACTTCCAACATTTTATAAACCGTAATATAAAAGATTCACGAGCCCTATGGAGAAATTTAAAAAAAACTGTTGTTGATTTTAAAAAGAAACAAACAGACTTACCGGAAAATTTATGTAATCCTGACCTTATTAACAACTATTTTCTTAATATTCCTGGTACGACTGATAGCAATCCATCTGTATTATCACGATTTTATTCAAATCGTTTCAACAACTCGGTTTTTAGCTTGAGACCAGTCGACGAGGAAACTGTTTTTAAAATTATTAAAAATATTACGACAAACGCTCAGGGTGTAGATGGTATATCACTGAATATGATTCTTTTAACTCTACCTCGAACATAAGTATATTGACTTCTATACTTAATTTGTCGATTAGAACTGGTAAATTCCCGGACTTATGGAAAGAAGCTATAATTAAACCTATTTCCAAAATTAATCATCCAACAGAGTTAAAAGATCTACGACCAATAAGCACTACTACCAATACTGTCAAAGATTTTGGAAAGGGTTGTATGTTTGCAGATGACTGACTACCTACATTCTAATAACATCTTACCAGAAAAACAATCGGGATTTCGAGCTGGACGAAGTACCGCAACAGCACTTTTGCACGTAGTTGATGATGTTTTATCCGAACAGGATGTTGGAAAGGGTACAGTTTTGGTGCTACTTGATTATTCACGTGCATTTGATACAATCAACACGTCCTTACTCATAGCAAAACTTGTTTATTATGGATTTGATCAAGTAGCAATTAAGTGGTTTTCAAGTTACTTGACTGGCCGTACTCAAAAGGTTGAAATCACTCATATAGACGGTTCCAAAAAGTACTCAAGTGTTTCACCAATAAATCGAGGAGTTCCACAAGGATCTATACTCGGGCCAATCCTTTTTATTTTATATACAGCTGACCTACCGAAATATATTTTGAATTGTGACCATCATTTATATGCTGATGACCTACAAATCTATAAGCCTTTGATGCCTAGTGAAGTAGGGACAACTGTTACTCAAATTAACGAAGATCTTAACCGAATAGCTGAGTGGTCGGAAGCTAACAGTCTTGTTCTGAATCCTACAAAGACAAAGTTTATTGTTTTAGGTACCAAAGCACAAGTAAACCAAATAACTGCTCTTAAACCACAGATAAAAGTAAGAAATGACAAAATTGAACAAGTTCAAGAAGTTCGAAATTTAGGTGTACTACTTGACAGTCATTTAAGATTTGAAAGTCATGTTATAAATATAGTCCAACAATGTTATTATAGGCTAAAAGTGCTGTACCAAATACGTCAATTCCTGGATATAGACTTGCGGATTCATCTCTGCGAGTCTCTAATACTATCAAAATTAAATTACGCAGATACAGTCATCGCTGGGTGCTTACTAGAGCGTACAAAAAAATTCAGCGAGTTCAAAATTCCTGTGCTCGTTTTTGCTTTCCAATTCCACGCCGGTCTCATATAACACCATACCTTAATCGAAGCGACATGTTGAATATGCGGTCAAGGCGAGCACTACATTTTGCTTCCTTAATTTTCGGGGTAATAAATAAACAAAGTCCATCATATCTCTATGGCAAGTTAAAATTTACACAACGCCAATCACGACTTTGTGACCGTCTTATATGCCCTGTTTTTAGTTCTGCGGCTTTCCGTGGAAGCTTTCGATACTCCGCCACAAAGTGTTGGAATAACATCCCACCACCTATTAGAAACTCTTCGTCTTTACATATCTTTAAAGCAAAATACAAAAAGTTTCTACTTCATTTGCAAAAGACGGAGTAAAACCGATCAGATCGCTGTCTGCATATATTATAATATATTATATATATATAAAGTTGCACCCAGACAACTCAGCTCTCATAGGTATATAGGCACTCGTATTGTGTTGAGGACATGTTATAGTTTTTGTTAATAATTTTTTTTGTTATACTTTATTTTTGATTTTATTGTTCCTAACTTTTATATTCCTTTCTTTTTTTTTTTTGTTTTTTTTTTTTAGTCTATTTCATTGTTATTTTTGTTGGCTGTATGCATGGAGCTGAACGCCAATCTTACAAGGTATCCGCAGAAAACCAGTGCCGTGGTATTGTTTGCCAGGGCAATATACTGAGCGGAGACCTTTTTGGTGCATACATTTTTACAATTATAATGTTATTTTTTTTTTTTTCCTGTAATGTAATGCGCCGAATAAATATTTCTTCTTTCTTTCTTTCTTTCTTTCTATATATATATATTTATATATATATATATATATATATTATATATAACATATTTCATCTGTACTTTTAGCTGAAAAAGTTTTCACAAAAAAGGTTTCAATAAATGGCCACTAAGACATTATATTACTGTAGTATTGGAGTAATCACGGTAGTGCACGAAATAAAGCCCGCCCAAGAAAATTAATAGATAATGTATGAGCACACTTTTTAGTAAGGTGAGAAAAAAAGACATATAAAACTGCAAAGTTAAAGTTTAAATGCAAATTAAAAAGTGTTTGTTAATAAAAAGTTATAAATAAATAAATAATTTCGTACCGATTTTTACACAACGTTCTCTAGTCCCAAACTAAGCAACAGGGTTGTACTATGGGTACTAGACATTTGTTTTGTATATAAATACATATTATACATATACAGCGTGTCGTTACCATCGCGACAATAAATGAACACACGTCTGACCCTACTTGCCAATAATCATAAAAAATATTAACGTTAAACAAAATCCATAATTAAAAAAATATTTTTCAAACAAACTAATTAAGTAAAAAAGAAACAAAATTTGTAACATCCTATACTACTCGCGCTACAGCGTCACATTACAAGCCTCTCCTTCTAACAGTATCTTTTGTCTCTTTTAAATTCATTCAACCCATTCATATGCTTTGTGACCTTTACCAATGAACTTTACGTTACAGTTTCATACGTAAGGGTGTTCTAAAATTCTTTATTTTTGAAAATTTAATAACTCTGTAAATATTGATGTTTAAAGTATGTAAATGTTTAATACAATTTTAAAAAGTTATCCCCTATATGTGTGTTCATTTATTGTCGCGATTGTTGACAAAGCGACGTTGAAAAAGCACTATTTTCATCACACAATATTTTTCCAGTGGCGGGATCGAATCCACACTCTGGCGCAAGAGGCTAGTTGATTACTCCCCACGCCAATCGGGTCATCATCATGTAATATCATTGTTTAACTCAACATTCGTAAAATCTTTTAGGTCAACAGGTATTTTCTCCGCCGAGATCTTATATAACTTAGTTATTTGTTCGAGACGGAAGAGCCGCGGGATATAGCTGGGATCGCTTAGCGGACGAACCCGCAGTCGGTGGTCACGCACTCTGTTAATTGCGCCCAAAGGCGAGTCGGCTCTCGCATTACGGCAACATTACCGCCACGGCAATCAGGGCAACACACTGTTGATTTGGCCCCGCTGCCCGTTTCCATTTCGAACGGAGTTAGCGTAATTCCGTTTCATTCGTAACGTCCAATTAGGTATTGAATCGTACGCTAGGTTCTGTTTCATTAGCAATCGAACTGGTCATCATTTACACGCCGCGTACCAACGTCTGCGATTCCATTTCATTAGCAATTAAACCGTTCATCGTTTCGACTTGTGCCGTTATTCGTTTGATTGCCATGGACTGGGTTTTTAACGTTCTTTGGTGACCGTTTGTGCGGTTTTGTGCGACGATAACGAAACTAAATTTCCATTATAAATCGTCTCCTTCGAAAATAAATAAATGTTCTAATTTTAAATGGAGAAAATGCTTAAGAAGCTTGGAACTCATAACAGGAAGTTTTTTTTTATGTGAGAATGTGGCAAACGAGCTGGCGAACCTGATGTTAAGTGATAACCGCCGCCAATGGACATTTACAATACCCGTAGTGTTGCAAATCTGTTACCACCTTTTAATAAAGTAGGCCCCGGCTACCTCATTCACCGGACGAAACGCAGAAGTGTAACACTTCTACTTTACGCCGGTCTTCTGTGAAGTGGTACTAACTCAGACGGACCTGCCTATCCGTGCAACAGCGCATACTGTTGCGTGACCACAGTAAACGCGTCATGTCATTATTAAAATCAAATTCTAGGTCACAAACTTGCCGACCTCAAGGTACTATAAGCATTCTTGGCAGTAGCCTGGGTTAACTTTGACATTAGGGTGCAAAACTACTCAGACCTTTCAGGGACCATCAAAAAGGTCGAATCGTCGTGAATTTAGAAAAAATCTAATAAATTAAACAAACATTTTATTTACACGATAAAGTAAAAAAAATGTCAAAACAGCCTACAAATGTCCCACTGCTGGGCAATGGCCCTTCTGCGGATTGGCGGACTAAACATAAATCTTGGAAATATCTCTAACATTTGTGAAAATACGCAGGCTTCCTCACGATGTTTTCCTTGTTCTTAAAATTAACAAGATCATATGTGCCGGCACTGGGGATCGAACTCGGGTATCGAGTTTATTGAATTAAAGGCGAGCGTCCGGAAATTGAGCTATCCAGGCTCTGTCTATTTATCAACAAAAATCACATCATGATCCTCCTGCCCCTATCCCACCTAGGTGGGGTCGGCACAACATGTTGATCATGTTGTAAGCGGTTTTGGTTATGTTTTTTACGACCAGCCGCCTGCCCGACGTCAACTCTCCTTGGGAGACAAACACCCAGATTCGGAAAAATTATCTGTGGGTCACACAAATACTTGTCCCGTGCAGGAATCGGGCCCACGACCCCCGACGCCGAAGCCATTAGCTTAGCAACGGCACCGCCGAGTCGTCTAAAAAACCAGTTTTTTTTTTATGTGAAAAGTTGCCAAGCTGGCGGACGGTTCACCTGATGTCATGTGAATACCGCCGCCCATGGACAACTGCTACATCCAAGGCTTCCAGATTTGTTGACAATCTTTTGAAAATTAGTCTCCGGTCAACTCACTCGCCAGACGAAACGCGAAAGTATTATACTTCCACTTTACGCCGGTCTTCTGCGAGGTCGTGGTACTTACCCGGACGAGCCCACCCATTCGTGCAACAGCCGAGGCTGTTGCGTGGCCCTAATACCGTGAAGGTATGGCGTCATATCAGCCAGGTCACTTGGATAATATATACCTCGCTCACCTTCCGGCCGACGCGGTTGTTGTGTAGGTTCATGAGGCTCCTGGCGTCCGCCTCCAGCTCTCTGGCGTCTAGAAAGCGCCGCGCGAACCTCATTCCGTACGCCGCCTCCCCGCAGCCGCCCCACTGGAACTGCTCTGAAGGGCCGCTGACCCGCCTCCTGATGGGAGGAATAAAAAAAAAGTAGCCTATAAATGTTCCACTGCTGGGCAAAGGCCTCCTCAGTATGGAGGGTATCAGGGTCCACCACGCGTCCGCACTGCGGACTGCGGACTTCACATATCTTCGAATTATTATTTTTGTTATTATTTCGAAAATATACAGGTTTTCGTCAAGATGTTTTCCTTCACCGCTGAGCACGTGATAAATCAGCACTTAAACATAACAATTTCATTGGTGCCGGTGATCGAACTCAGGTTGCTCGAGTATAGCTATCACGGCTCTTATTTAAAGAGAAATTAAAAAGTTAACTAAATTAAAGCAACATCCTTTATAATTATGTCAACGAGCGTTAGCAAACATAAATGTTTCTTTTATTATTTCGAAAATATACAGGTTTCCTTTTGATGTTCTTCTTTATCGTTGAACACGTGATGAGACAGCATCTATTATTGTTGTTGCACCGTGTTTCTACCCTACAAATGCCTTGGGAATAATTATTTTAAGAGACAAATAATGTTTTCCGGGTCAGCTAGTTTGTGTATGATCATTGGTTACCTGTTGGTGTTGCAGTGGCAAGCGGGAAGGTCGCCCCTGGCGCACGCCGAGCTGAGGGCGTGAGTTACTCCAGCGGAGGTTATCGCGTAGGTGAACGCTGCTTCGCGCGTCGCTGCCGAAATGGATTACAGTTACATGTTGACCGGGGCATAGAGCCGACTTACTGCGTGTCAGATACGGGGCAACCCTAGCGCCAGACGGAAGTTGTCCCATCACTAGTTTTGTTGCTACATCACTGCGAATGTTGACGGCGTATTTGGTATTTATCATTTGTGTAGAGCTAGTTAATATTTCCTTTTTTATTTTATTTGCTTCTTCTTGAAATGTGTACTAAAACTAACGAGGCTTTCCATATTGTTGTATAAGCAATCTTATAATACACAGCGAAAATCTGGCGGCATTCAGCGAGAAATAGTTAACGACAGAAAGTTGACGTTCAGTCGCTAGGGCAACTGTCATTTGTGACAACACATCAACAATTAATTTCATTGCGAAACTCCCTACGCTATGCATGTTTATGTTCCAGTTTACAGTAAGTATAAAAAAGTACGACTATTGAATTAATGGTAAATGTAAATAACTTTAACTCCGGCGTGATTCAATTGAAATAAATTTTAAACGATAGAGAGGGATCAGTAATGAATTTATCAACAAGCAGAATTTGGCGGTCGCTTGTAGTTTTCGAAAAAATAAATAATGAAATAGTGTGATTTTTACTATAGAAATCCGCCATTTTTTTGTTGTCAATATGTCAATTCAGCTGGTATTTCTTGGTGGTCATAAAAAAAAACCTAACATCGAAGGTTAAGGCGGGAGCTTCGCTCCCGCCTGAACCTTCTAACCTAATCTATCCGAGTCGGATTCGCTCTGTGTCGGTTCTGTGACTCATTAAATAAAAAAAAAAATCGGAATATCGATACGTGTATGATGTCGCCCGCCTCCTATATTTATCACGGCAAAACTGTGTATTGAGTTTTTGAAGTCAAACAAATAAAATGGTGGATTTCTTAGTACAAAAAACAAGTTTTAAATATTTTTTTCTCGAAAACTATAAGCGACCGCCGAATTCTGCTTTTTGATAAATTCATAATTGATTTTTCTCTATCGTTTAAAATTTATTTGATTTGAATTACGCCGGAGTTAAAGTTATTTACATTTACCGAATTAATAATTAGAATATAGTACTTTTCGTACTATATTATTCTTCTATATTGTATAGTACAATTGGGTAAAATATAGTACGATATTATGTATTTGTTTACAAAAGAAAAGTATGTTTAAGTATGTTTATCAGTTCTCTAGTACCCATAGTACAAGCTTTGCTTAGTTTGGGACTAGAGAATGTTGCGTAAAAATGTGTCCTAAAACATTGCGCCAACCATTATTCCGTTAATCTATGATTGGTCGACAGTATTTTGGCATGAGAGATGTTAGCAGACTGTATAAGGCTGCATCGGGCACCGAATTCGTGGTAAGCTACGTTTCCACGAGCTTGGTAGACGCTACCTGAGCAGAGTCTCGCACTTGGACATTAGTGCATTAACAAAGTGTCAGGATTGCCGTCTACGAACCAATCAACAATCGATGACCGTCGATATCAAGTCTTTCCTGCGGACCTTATGTTGAATGTCGGCCTCTTGTCTTTGATGACTCCGTGGCGCAGTCGTCAAGGTATCGGCTTCGGCGTCGGGTTACGTGGGTTCGATTCCCACACGGGACAACTATTTGTGTGGCCCACAGATAGTTGTTTCGCATCTGGGTGTTTGTTCGCGTGAAATTTATTTTTGTAAAAACGTCCTTACAACGTACCAGGTTTTTTTTTGGTAAATCGTGTTTTTTGGAAATTACATTTAGATACAAATATTGAGTAATGAAATATGCATAATATTTTTCGATCTTATCGACGTAATAATAAGAAAATATGAACTGGTGTTTTTCACAAAAGAAAGAACTTTAAAAAAAAAAAGGGCCGTCTGTTTTGTGGTCGCCCGATTATTACATTTTTAGCTATTATTACATTTTTTTTGCAGCGAAATTTACCGTCATATTCGAATGGTATTTTTCATTCCCTGAAAACAGGGATAAAAGGACATTTTCTAAAAATGAAACCTAGCCAGATCGATTTTTCGCCCCGGAACCTACGCACATACTAAATCGCTGGAGCTGTTTCCGAGATTCCGTTTATATATATATATATATATATCGTTTGAAGGATAATTCCAATACGCGCCAACAGAACTACTGTCATTAATATCAATGAAAGACTTGAAAGGCATAAATATTATATATAATTTTATTAATGTTTCTTCCAATTTGCAACTCGAATTGCTAGTATAAAATAAATTCAAAAGCAGCAAGGATTCTGTAACGCATTAAAGATTCCTAACAGCTTGGTCAAAATGATTGACAACTCATCTCCCGAAGTGGCTTCCTAATATCATACGTCTTTATGGGGAAGAAACGAGTTATAAATAACACCGATGACGTAATAGGCTTATAGTAATCTGGAAGGGCCTTTGATTACGTTATTAAAAGGATCCAGTGATGTAGATTGAAATGTCACTCCTAGTTAGATGTTCTTAAGCCATTGGACTCACGTGAAATAATTTATTCTGTAACAGCTCAATAAACATTTTGATCCGTATCTATCAGTGGATCAAATTTAAATGACAATCGGAGAAATTAACGTATTTATCAAGTCGATAAAACATATACACAATAAATTACTAGTTAAAAAATTACACACTAAATAAACAAGTTTTGGAAATGACGTATTATTTGGCGCCATTTTGTCTAGCTGTCAAGATAAAAACCTCGTTTTTTTTATTTAAATTCGATTGCTTCTCTATGCTGTATAAAGATAGCGAGTCTGCTTTTCGGTCGGTGTGTGTAAGGTTTTATATCACATAGGACATTTATCAAACGCTACAGCAGCGGCGACATTTTAATAAGTCAATTAGTACATAGGCCGTTGTAATATTGCGTTGATGACTTATGCATTATGTTAATTTTATTATTAAGTTGTAATACGCGTGGGTTATCGTGATAACTTTTGTCAGGGCATTTGAAATTCAAATGGTACTGATTGTTTTTAGAGAACTGGTAAGGGATTTGATTTCTTAAATATGAGCGAATACTACGCATTGTAACGAAGTTTTGAATGATTACACACAATAAGGTTAATAAATATAATTATTGCCTACTGACTATCTCTGATAACTCTACTTGACAAGGAACCCTAAGAAAAATTACATTTATATTAAAAAGTTTCTCGTTTTTTTTTTGCCTCGGAAAATGAAGTTATGTTTAATTACAATTGTAATTTGGTTAAATATAACAAGCCAAGAATTAGTAAGAGAACCAAATAGGCTCCCAATCAAGCAATCATTGCTGAATCGATTGAACCAATTTTGTTCGTAATATCTATTAATTATATTTTGTGAGGTTTGATTTAAAAAAAGTTACGTTATTACAAGTATCCATTCTTGTAAAAAAAACAAAATGAAGACACGTGTCATGCAGATAATATTCTGGGAATGAACTACTTATAGAAGACGCGATTGGCGTAGTGGAGAGAGCACCTGCCTCTTGCGCCAGAGGGTGTGGGTTCGATCCCCACTACTAGAAAAATATTGTGTGATGAACATGGTGTTTTTCCAGTGTCTGGCTGTGGATATTTATAATATGCATTTATTTACAAAATAAAATTATCTTCAAGTATGTTTATCAGTTATCGAGTACCAATAGTACAAGCGTTAGTTGCAATGAAAACTTTTACGTTTTGAGTCATCCCGGCGTTGACAAGAAAGTTATGTGAGGTTATTTTATTCGTTTCCAATTCAGGTGGCTCGGATTATCTCCTTTACCTTTTTTTTTGAAAGTTTACGTATTAAGTTGAATCACTGTGTGATATTTATGTGCGGTGCATGTGACGGTCGTGTAATAAGTTTGATGCCACTAGAATAGCATTTAATTTTTATGACAGCATCAGTGTATGCCAAATGTTTTTGAACTGCTTCTGTATGAACTAATTTCTATATGCTTTATGTGAACAAGCATGAAAACTATTTCTACCTTTAATTAAATAACATAGACAGTCATGACCTAGGATCTGGGTGCTAACAAATTTCAAAGTTGTTTATATTATCATGAAGTTTCGCATTATGGTGTAAGAAAAAAGGGACATCCCTGTTATTGAGACTTAATTAAAGTGTGTGATAATTCCGTCAAAATGACCGAAGACATGAGAATTAATCCTTTGTTGGATTTAATAAAATAAAAACAGTTATTAAAAAAGATAAAGTCCCGATAAAATGCTGTAAACACTCCGTGCGATTGTCGAGTGTGATTGTTTATTTAATTCATGGACGCGTTAATTGAGAGACGGGCAAGAATGATTCCCTGGTGACGGCCATTTTGTTTTTTATTCTGTCGTTTTATGATGACAGATTGGCGGGAAATAGGGCTATTGGTTTGGGACAAAAGAAAGTATTAATAATGATGAGCATTATAATCCAATGTTAGTTATAGGGAATTCCATAAAATGTGAAATGTGACACAGAAATAAAAGATTATTAAGATTCACAGCATGAAAATTGTTATTCTATTGTGCGATTACAATCAAAATGTGAAATTTGATTTAACATAAGTTGTATGTAAACATACAATTAGACAAAGTCCAGATGTTTTAATATTTCAGAAAAGTAGTAAAATTTTGTCATTAATTGTATATATAAAATTAAAGTTACGATAAATAATCACTGTTTTATTTATTTATTTATTTAAAGGAAAACAGCAGTACATACTTCCACGTTTAAACAAAAAGAATACAAAAAATTCTGATGTAGACCTTATTAGATTTACACAGCATTGTTTTAGCTAAATATAAGAATAATCGAGAACAAAAACATGCAGACATATTTACCAGCAAACATTTTTGCATTTATTGTTTTCGATGTTAGAGACAAAGAGTCTTAGGCTAAACAAATTGTACTATAGAGTAATCACATTAGTAACGTTATATTCCTCTGTCTCCTGCACTTATATCTAAGCTCAGTAACATGTGAACATGCTAACAATGGTATCGGCTAGGTCTTTCATGACCGGTCTTCTGTTTGCCGACAACCTTCCTTAGGAACAAGCACCAAGTTATCCGTGGGCTACACAAATACTTGTCCAGTGTGGGAATCGAAACCATCGTATTATAAAAACAACGACCCACGTATTACAAAAGATTAAGTATGTAATATCGAAATGGAAACACTGCAAACACTCGGCAATGCCTTAAAGAATAAGAATGCTACTATATGCAATTACGAAATCTGAGTTCCTTTGTGTGCAGTAGACGTGATGTAAAAGATGAAGATGGACACGGAAAAAAATTGCCAGCCCTAATCGAGAATCGATTCAAGTTTACGGACCACGTAGGTAGCCATTGAAAACCGACGAAATGTTTACGTAAATAATACCGGCGACCGGGAATTATTTACGCCCCGTCAATTTATTTATACTCTGCGGTTCTTTATGGCCGAGTGCGGCTAATTTGTTTGTTTGTGGAGGTTTCGAGAGGCGACACGATGCTCGTCTGTTGTCGTTTGACGGAGTCTCGATTGGCGGCGAATTAAGAACTTTTTGTTTGCCTCGATTACAGAATGGTTTCAATAATGTAGAGACTTCGACTAATATTGTAACAACAGATTTTTAAGCCCATAAAATGCGATGGATAAGTTTTCTAGAAATAAAGTACATCCTTCATTTGAGTTTTTTAATTTGCCTCGATAATGTTTTAATAATGTATAGAATGGACATTATCTCGACTAATATTGTATTGTACATTAAATTTTTCGCCCATAAAATAGATGGATTAGTCTTCGAGAAACAAAGTAAACATTTTTGTACCAGACCCTCTTTGTAAAGCTAGACAACGGAATGGCTTCAATACTCTATCAGAATTGACATGCCGGTTAGAAACTGTTATCGACGGGTACATTGTTATCTAAATTACAATTGTAATTTTCCGAAAGTTATTACATAAGAACTTTTAATGAATTCTCCATGGATCCTTCTTGTTTCCCTAGCAGTGAAGCGTAGTTCTCGTGTCTTTTTTACTAGTATTTCTCTTTTTTTATTCTAAGTAAATCGATATTAGAAAGAACCTTAACAATTTATCATTTTAAGTCACCGACGTTTCGAACATATTACATAGGTCGTTATGGGCTGAACTGAGGTGTTCTACTGTCACCTCAGTTGTCACTACAGTTGCGTGGCCCAACCAAATCATCATGGTATTATGTGTGATTGAAAAAAGCCATGAACCATGGGCCGCTTCAAATGGGCTCATTAAGCACACTTTGGACGCGTAATGGGAGAAAGATGATCAGGTCGAAGGTGGTAAAGGTGCAATCACTTTCACATCGTGTTAGAATCGCGGTGTAAGAGGAGTTTTGGGGTGTATTGTATAGGAGGGCAGTGAATTACGATACGCTGTTATCTGTACCCTCTGTGAACAACACGTGGTTTGTAGTGGACTCACAGACTAGCTATGTTAGTTATTATTTTATTATATAAGTTAGAAGAAACTAGCAGTAACACATTTCTCTGCTTTACCCGTTACTGTGAAGTCGAAAGGGTCCGGATTATATATTCATATATTGTGAAAACGCAGCAATAATTTCCAAGCGAGCCACAATTACATTGTCCACATGCAAATAGGTAAACGATAAATTATTGGAAACGCGGCATGCTCGATCCGTGCAAAATACATTTTAATAAAGGTTCGGCTTAACGGTCGCAAATCATCGATATCTCAGCGTATCGATGACTTGCTGATTAATTGTGATTAATATGTTTAACCTGTGACAGAAAGGGACAAAGCATGACGCGTTTCATTGACATACATCGTGTTCGGTTTTCAAATGAATATCGTTTTTAAATATTGCTTATTCCTCAAATGTTTTTTTAAGTTTCTATATTATCTTTACCGAATTTATATTCCGAATACACCAGAGAGAACTTTTTTTTACATTATTATGCATAATAATTTCTTGTATTTACGCGTTTATTTTTATAAATAAATGCGATAAATCTGTAAAAATTGGTTCATTTATTACTATTCATACTATACGATACTTTACGTGTACGTAAATTTTTAACTTGCAAAACCTACTGCAAAAATGGCAAGGGAAAGGAGAAATTCTTTGAGAAGTCTACTCTTTTGGGATTCATCGATCATCCTCCTTTGTATATTTACCTTTTTTAAGAATAAGTAAAGTTAAATGTAAAGTAAGTCCTAGTGCTAGCTTAGATAGAGGCTTCGAGAGTATTGAAGACAAAGTGTGGCAAACGTAAAACAGATAAACAGGTAAAACCTTAGAAGACTTTGCGTATTTTTTTAAAACTTCCAGTAATAGCTGTATATCTAGACTTCGACCTTAAATTGAGTTGAATATATAATTGTTTTATGAGTATAAGTATGTTTAATTTAGACAAATTATCGACGCAATTTACAGCGGCAATCGTCAGGGACCGGACCGAAACATTCTTGCGGCAGGACCGGTTGGTTCTCCAACAAGAGTTCGCGGTGAAATCCGAACACCCTGTACACAAACGTGTCGACAGTTAGTTCGTCGATATATTATTCAGGCATCACGAGTCAGTGGGCGTCAGCGGTCACGAATCGAAAATAATATTGTTTTGATCTTGAACCAATGGCATCTTCGTCAACTATTAAATGGTCTCAACATTTGCATAGCTAATTGGTCGTGTTGCATTAACTTAACCAACGAACGTACGATTGAGAAATAATAAAACGGATTTAGCTCCACCTAGAGGCATTTGTATTAAAACGTGACTATGCTAGTATTTTGAGGACTCCGTAGTAATGAGTTTTCTATTTTCACCGTGTTGTTTTAGTAATTTTTGCCACTTATTGCATGAGCAAGAGTGGCGATGGGAGAAGAAACGAAGCTTTTACTATAAGCTAGCCCCTGAAACGGCTATTGTTCAGTTGTCACCGAGCCATTTGTGGCCGGTTTGTAGGGAGTCGTGATTTCTGAAAGCATACTACGTTATCGTAGTGCGAACTAATGGAACGGGTTTTCTGAATCTTCTCTTACTATTTCATGTAAAAATTACAGGCACTTAAATTGTTGTATTTAACATTTATGATTACCTTCACCTACCATCAGATGGCATACTGGCTAAACGCTTGCCTTGTTGGTAACTTGGATAGATTCACGAGATCTGCTAGATTTGAATAGATGTATTGCAGAATTTGTGACGTATCTTATAATACGGACTTTGTTGATGTCTAATCGAGGTATGTACCAATTAGTACTTAAACTGTGGCGGGGCCACGCAGCAGCCTCGGCTGTTGCACGAATGGGCAGGCTCAGTCCAGGGAAGTGCCACGACCTCACAGAAGAGCGGCGTCAAGTGGAAGTATATAATATATATAAGTATAATAGTAGTACGCGTTTCGTCTGGTGAGTGAGATAGGCGGAGCCCAATTTTCAAAAGTATGTCAACGCATCTGCAGCCCTCGGGTGTAACTGATGTTCATGGGCGGCGCTATTCACTTAACATTAGCTGAACCGCTTGGCAACTTTCACATAAAAAAAGTTTCGGTCCTATCGGGGGATTTTCATCACGCGTCAGAGTAGACATGAGTAAAGCCGTTTAAGTATTTACTTAATGACTCACGAAAGTTTAAATGATCTTATTGACAGTGTTCCACTCACCCAGAGGCATGACGTGTCCGAAATCGTTGCCGTCCCCAACTCCTGAACAGTTCCACCTGTAGCCGCTGAGCTGCTCCCGGCACTCTGTGTACGCCATCCTGCAGCGAATAGAACATAAGTGTGCTGTAAGCCAAAAATACGACCTCTGCGGGAAGTCGATGGATTCGTGGCAGTCTGTAGAAGAGTTTATACTATGTTCAGCAGTTGACTATAACAGGCTGAAATGATGATGAATATTGTTTTAACAGATTTTTATTGATTTCAACATCTTACTTCTTTACCAGCTTCAAAAAGAGGGGTTCTCAATTCGATAGTCTTTTTTATGTTTGTCAAGGTGAATGTAAATGTGTAGTGAGTGGAGGTATGTGTAGTCGATTTTTCTTTTATCTCTAAAAATTAACTGTAAATTAGGATGTCGATGATTTTAATTTTGCTTAACAATTTTGATGGCTCATTCCACAATTGCTAAGATATGGGTGGTTTCCAAACGGTGGTGGGTACGATTCCCATATGGGACAAGTAACCGGGTGACAGCAAGAGAAATATTCTTAAAAATCTATTCATGTTATTTGATTGAAGATTGAAGGAAAAAGAACAAACACGCAAACTTTTGTAATAGCAGTATTTTCGTCGTTACTCAATTGTATAAGCAAAAGTAATATTTTCGTGGCTTTATCGATTGTACCTTTCAAGCAAATGAACGGCGTATTTAAGAACACGTGGATTCAACACGTGGTGCAGATGAACGAAGTATTTACGTGAATATATGATGCGAACATGAAGTGGAAAATTAGAAAAAGATCCAATAGAGAAGTAAGAAAGCTCGTGCCTGAGGTGTTCTTGTGGTGGGAGTGGTAAGTGAAGTGTGGAAGGATAAAGTAAAGTTAAGCTTTTAATTTCATATACTCGAGCAACCCGAGTTCGATCCCCGGTGCCGGCACCAATGAAATTCATTTTTTTAAGTGCTGAACTATCACGTGTTCAACGGTGAAGGAAAACATCGCGAGGAAACCTGCATATTTACGAAATAATAACAAAAAATATATTCCGAACATATATGAATTCCGCCAATCCGGAGGCGTTATAGGCTGTTACTTTACTTTTCTTTACAGAATCAAATGGCATACCTCAGACCATCACCTACGGCGGCAATCGCCGCTGGTGACGACCGACACATCGCGCGTTGTTTGTCCGTGAGCCCGGCCACCCTGGCGCAGACCAAATGAGCCCCTAAGGACACCCCACCAGCGACGCTACCCCTGCAACGGAAAAGCAAACAAGAATGTCACTACATAGTATAAAACAAAGTCGTCCCGCTGTCTGTCTGTCCCTATGTATGCTTAGATCTTTAAAACCACGCAACGGATCTTGATGCGGTTTTTTTTACTAGATAGTGATTCAAGAGGAAGGTTTATGTGTATATTACATTGTACCCGTGCGAAGCCGGAGCGGATCGCTAGCAAGAGATCCTTCTAGATGAAGTTACGCTCTGTGCAAATGGGCGGAAAGTCGCCATCCAGGCCTAGGATTGTGCTTCCTGGCAGTCTGTATCCTAAGCAAAAGGACTAAGTTAGGCAATGGACTAAAACAGGCTGAAATGATGAATGATAATGATGACTTATACATATTAATTCCATCATCACCACCGTCATTTCAGCCTGTTTGAGTCCACTGCTGAACATAGGCCTCCCCACAGACTGCCACGGGCCTGAGCCACCTGCATCCATTGATTTCCCGCACACTAGCGTAGATCTTCACTCATATAACATTTAAACACCTATAACCATTAATATGTTCAATTACTCGGAACAAAATTTGAAGATAAAAATGGAATTTAAAAGTATACACTGAACAATATGGTTCATAGAAGACAGAATCGTTTCTGTGAAGATAGAAGGGTTTCACAAATCCAAAATTAAGAAGCCCAAAGTCCGAAGAAACGTATACGGGCGGCGTTAAGTAATCGAAGAACACAAAAGGGGAGACTAAAAGTTAATTAGCAACGCTTACTGGCAATAAAAGTACCGTAAGCCAAACATTCAACATGTCGTTGATTGAAATCCCATTTAAGAAGTGTGATTGCAGTATGTATTTGGAGAAAAACTGTAGTTTAAGATTTTTATTGATGTTTTTTTTTAATGTGAAAAGTTGACAAGCGAGCAGGCGGTTCACCTGATGTTAAGTGAATACCGCCGCCCATGGACATTCGCTACACCCGAGGGCTGCAGAGGCATTGGACAACCCTTTGAAATTTGGGCTCCGGCCACCGCACTCACGAGACGAAACGCGAAAGTATTATACTTCCACTTTACGCCGGTCTTCTGTGAGGTCGTGGTACTTAGCCGGACGAGCCTGCCCATTCGTGCAACACCCGAGGCTGCTGCGTGGCCCTACCACCGGCGAAGTTATACTCCTTTTGGCGCGTTTTTAGTCTACTATCCCTTTTTTATTCTATTAGAATTAATACAATACCGAATTAATCAATACCATAACAATGATATGTAAGTACTTCTATGAATTCAGAAAAATATATTCTATCAGCTAATTATGTTTACAATTTATCGCGTTCGTAATTAAATTCAATCCGTTTCTAAACTCGAGCCGGATGAATTATTGCTTGGGGAATTGTTCTCCCTTTGTTATGTTAATTTCTTTACGAACTTCGAGGGCGGACCCGCGATATCTAACTAGTGGTCCGGTTAGAGGGATTTATTGCCAGACAATGCCGTTGCGAACACTATGAATTGAATGCTATTTGGCGGCACGAGATTTTGGTTTATTGCGGTTTCATTAAATACCAATTATTATGAATTAACACGTTATATCACGAATGGACTACGAGTATTTTGAGTGACCACCTCGCCTACAGTGCTGTTTTGTGTGAGTACAAATTTGTAGCACACCCAACTTTTTGCGGATAAGACAATTGTCTTATCCAGAAAAAATTGTGTGTACTTTTGTTTTGTACGGGTGTTTATGAAAGTCAATATCACAGGAATTTTACTTTATTGATAGAGCCTTGAATGATTAAATTAGAGAAATATATATAAATCCTTTTTAATTTTCAATTTAGATAACAATATTCAATTTAGTTGCAACACCTAGGTTATAGTTGCAGATGTTTCCACCTTTTTATAAAGCGCGCCCCAGCTACCTCACTCGCCAGACGAAAAAGTAAAAAAAAAAGTAAAGTATCAGCCTATATATGTCCCACTGCTGCGCAAAGGCCTCTTCTGTACAGAGGGTATCAGGGCATAGTCCGCCACGCGGCCCCACTGCAGATTGGCGGACTTCACATATCTTCGAAATATTTTTTTTTGTTATTACTTCGAAAATACGCAGGTTCACTCACGATGTTTTCCTTCACCGCTGAGCACCAGACGAAACGCAGGAGTATAACGCTTCCACTTCACGGCCCTCTGTGAGGTCGAGGTCCTTACGCGGATGGACCTGCCCATTCGTGCAACATCGAGCCGTTGCGTGGCCCAACCACAGATAGAAGGTCCGAAGTATCTTTGGTGTCTGTTTGTTGGACAATAGCAGAGGAGGCGGCATCGAATCTAATGGGAATGTAATCACGGGGCGACCTGGCCCTGAAATTGCGGCGCGTTTGAATGAACTACAAACAAACGTCCACCAAATAGCCACAATGCGCTTTGTGTTCGTGACGCTTCGAATACGTTACGCACAACGGCCGTCCGCTAAAATGATCCGTGGACAATGGGACATCCGCCGTTTTGCAACTGCCGGTGCAAACTCGCGTATCTTAGTTACTTATTTATTTATTTTTAATTTTACTCACACATGGAAAACATACAGCTAACATGCAACGATTAATACATAAATAAATTTATGGCTAGCTATGGTCTTGTAAGCTCGTAAGCATTACAAAGGGCTGCCGTCGATGCCATTTTGACGGTTAGCAATCCTCAAGGCTTACGGAGAGAGGTCTATATTTTCTCACAACGACTTTGTACATGTGTCGCTAAACCAACGTTAGATGAGTCGTTAGTCACTTCTCAAAACCGATGGTAAGCGCTTGTTTATTACACCTGGGGTTTTTTTAATGTGAAAAGTTGCCAAACGAGCAGACGGTTCACCTGATGTTAAGTGAATACCGCCGCCCATGGACATCTGCCACACCCGAGGGTTACAGATGCGTTGACAACCTTTTGAAAATTGGACTCCGGCTACCTCACTCACCAGATGAAACGCGAAAGTACTTGTCATACTTCCACTTGACGCTGGTCTTCTGTGAGGTACTTACCCGGAGGGGCCTGCCCTTCCTTGTTCCTTTAGATTTGTTGCTAATAACTTAGCCACTTTTTTACTGCGATAGGGTCATGCAACAGTTTCTGTTGATGCACGAACGGGCAGGCGCGTCCGGGGATACGGCCTTTCGCGTTTCGTCTGGTGAGTGAGCCAATTGGGGCCCACTCTTCAGACGAATTCTTGGTTTTCAATGGTTGCCAACGCATCTGCAAGCCTTTGGATGTTGCAGATTTATATGGGCGGCGGTTATCACTTAACATCAGGTGTAGCGGCCAGCTCGCTTGCCACCTTCACACATAAAAAAAAACGTCAGAAATGGTGCTAACATTAACGTTTTCAAGAAGATAAACGAGATTTTTTTTTACGATAATTTCTTATATATTTTGTTAATTACGCGAGGTCTAAACGTTGCGACTTATCTAAATGTCCAAGTTTTCTCTTATATCAAGAATTTTTTTCTTTACAAGCTGTGTAACGAACGTGTATTTTGTACACCGCTTGATTGTAAGTCAAGGACGTCACGGCACGGTGTGATAAGTGGACAATTTTTATGATACGCTAATGTTATATCTAAATACATAATGTGTTACGTTACATATTTATTATATGACGTATTTTATTTACTTACACGCGTGATACAATTTAGCGGATATAGATTATAAAAAAAGCAAATATTCTAATATCAGTGTGAACTGTTGCGTTGTTGAAAATAATTTCATGTTGCGTGTTATCCCGTAGTACGACAATGAGTTTTAAGGCCCATTTACATGGTGCCAGTTTCTTGCCTGTTGTATACAATTAAATTGAAGCAATAAATGAGTTGCATGGTCTAAACAACAAATGGTCTTAACAATTATTGCGCGCAATTTATTGCATTCAATTATTGCTCTTGTATGTAGAAGAAAATGGCATCGTGTAAATGGGCCCTTATTGAAATGTGTAAAGTTCATGACATCTAAGATTTTTTTTTTTTTTTTTTTTAATTATAGTGGCTCCATCAAGGATAGCTTGATGATTCTGCCAATGTCAAGGTTGAATAAAACAAACTGTTATTGATAAAATTTCCTAAAGTGATGACTTTTGTACGGTATTTAGAACATCATACTTTATTGGTTGAGATACCTGAATAGAAACTAAACATTTTGTAAGAAGATGAATAAAAATAAGTAAGGATGACTAATGACATCTAAGATTAAAGCTTACGTTTAAGTCGTCTGCTATGAGTATGACACATTAGTTGTTGCTAGTGGGGAAAATTTCGAGAGTTGCTAGTAGAGAGCTAGGTCTTACAGGTGCAATGAGCTGGAAGTGAACTAGGTTCTATTCACTTATTTCAAAAGCTTAATGCAGGTATTTTATTTATTTATTTAGTCTTTATTGCATTTTCTTGAATTTGGAACACAATAGGTTGACTGAATGTCTTTTGGTGTTCTCTGCCATTCAACCTATTGTGTGGTGATATCTTTAGGTAGGTGCAATAATAAAACAAAAATTAAAATTGGACAAAAACAATAAACACTTTTATGTACAACAAAGTTAATTATTACAATACAATAATTACGACTAGTAAACGGACATTTGTAAATTATAGTAATTTTAAATCTTCTGCTTAGCAAGTAAAAGATATCATCATCATCATCATCATCATTTCAGCCTGTTTGAGTCCACTGCTGAACATAGGCCTCCCCCATAGACTGCCACGAAGTACGATCCTGAGCCACCTACATCCATCGACTTCCCGCACATTTGCACAGGTCGTCATTCCATCTAGTGGGGGGTCGTCCCACACCAGATAAAAGATATATTAATGTTTAATTTAAGTAATAGATTTGCACAATGGGAGTGTTTAGGTTCGGACAAAGCATCCTTAGTCTTATAAATGCAGCCATCCTCATCTCCGTATCACCTCTACCTTGAGCACAATTTCTCACAAGTTCTTGACGTCTTCTATACTGTAAAAAATACTTGAATGTCTCTCTTAATGTCT